CGTTTTTTCATTAACTTATTATGTCTGACATACAATGATGATTTCATAGTTCATCTGATATTTCATTGAAGACTATCAACATTTAAAGTCTTTCACCCCTAACTGATAATTTTTGCGTATACATGTTTTAATTACTTTAATATAGAAATCACTCTAAGAGCAACATTATTTTATGTTCCAGATATTATTCGTCAAATTAAAGAGCATCATAAATATATTGTAAGTTTATATAAGAATTTTGTTAATCTATATTAATTATTTAATATATTTATATTATATATTATTTATAATTTTTCAATGATGTATACTTATGTGTATGCTTGAAAATGAAACCGTGATATTTGCATATCTATCGTCACTACCTCTGAGAACAAAATAAAAATCAGTAATGCATGAAGTTCTTTATATTCTTTAATAATCAATAATTTTTATATTGTATATGTTACAGAGTAGAATTGTGTTGCTCAAACTGATATGATGTTCGCATAAGTACAAGACGAAATATATACGGTGAGTTTATGTTCGTGTTACAATCGATCTATTTCTTACGTAAATTATATAGGCTGCGTTTGAATATTCATTACCAGTATTCAGTTTTCACTATCAGTATTGAAAATCTATACGTAACATACACTATAGATGTTTAATATCGGCAGTGGATGTTTAGTATTGGTTTAATTTCAAAACACAGCCATAGAATGATGATTTTTATTCACCATCTTTCGACTGAATTGTTGTGATTATCTATTATTAGCTCTATCTGAAACATAACTTCGCTATCAACTTGCCAGACAATATTTAGTACATTTTGAATTACAAATTGTGTTTTTGTTGACAGGTATGTTGGAATACAATGCGACGTGGATGTTATGGATGCAGCAACATTTGTCATCAATTAGAATATTCAAATATCTTTCTGAATCTTATGAATTATATATTCATTTTCATATATTGTCTTTATTATTTCCCGATACCTTCAACACAATTCTTTGTTAAATCTTTTCTTATTTCTCTCGTTTACGGCATTATTAGTCACTAGCTTAAAACATTGAAGAATTTGAGTATACACATAGAAAGCTTGTTAAATTAAATATTGAGTTGGGTTATTCGAAAAGATATATTTCAAATCATAATTTACTATTTTTATTTTAATAGTAAAAGTAGAAATTGTATATTTTATAATGCAATAAATGTTATATTTTATTATATAATGAATCAAAATTTATATAACGATTATATATGTTGTATAATGATTCAAAATTTTCTATCAGTAACATGTAATTTATGTAATACAGTTTATATGAAAATTAATAAAAAACGATATAAATAAAAAAATTCCTCTTTAATTCAAAATATAATGTCACTTACAACCATTATGACATTCAACCTTTTAATCAACTTTTCTCAAGAGGCTTATAACACTGATGACATAACGTACTTATTTCTGAAGTAGATACCCATTGGGCAATATGTAATCTCAAGAGCACAGTCGTGTTAGTTAGATAGACATTTCTTAAGTAACGCTTGTTCTTTCTATATTTATTTAACAGACAAATCTCAATAATAAAGCAGTTGAAACAATAATTAGCAATATTAATACAGAAATTTGTAAAACTGACTTCCTAACTTTTGAAATCGGAGCATGGATTTAATACTTGTGCGACACCTTTTCTATGCTTTTCTATTTCCACTGTACAAACGACGTTTTATAATCCGTATAAGAGATATGAGTAAACATTGTGTGAAGAAATCATTTTTTTATAACTTTCTGAGGAATCATATTGCTAAATATCGAATGTTAGATGGATAACATATTGCTAAATATCGAATGTTAGATGGAGATAGAAAGAAATTCGCTTTAATATTTGTCGAAATATTTGTTAAAATATTAACATTTTTATTGCTGCTCTTCAGCATACAAAAGAATTAAACTATATTTTTTCCTGTTATTTCTTTAGAATTGAAATAAAACCAGGATAAAAATGTAAGGTCGACTTCTGCGCGCTCGGAGATAGAGAATTTTACATCATATGCAAAAAGTGTCATGTTATACCTACACATACGTATTTGATTTACCTGTATCTTTACACAGAGTCTTATCTGAATACTATTAATATGAATGAAATTTGTGTGTTATATGACATATATTATCATGTTATTACTAATACGATTATAAAAATGATATTGACGAGGTTACTTACGAAATGCGATAAATTAAGCGGGGAGAACGCATCTTGAATAATAAGTATCTTGGCATACAGGTTGACTTATATTCTCGTGGTGTGGCTAAATGATCATTCTAGCATCTCATTTACGATTTAATATGTTCACGATTTTGGTAAGTCCTTGCGGACGATCCTAACGATATTCAGAATAATTATCGTGCTGATGTCAAAACCAAATGTCGTATTACGTACCGAAAGTTGATTTGAAAGCGAAGCCGACGTTTCTAGACTGCAGGCGATATTACAGCTTACTATTAGCTTGTTAATTAGATATGTTGATATATCCTAATTAAATTCGCAATCTTCAAAATCGCAGCAAATTAGTCAATCCTCTCATTTTCGTGATATAATTGTTGCGCTTTTGTAATATATTTACATCTTTGTTAAATCAGTCAGTGTTTTTATTATTGACTATTCCATATATAGGCAATATAGATAGATTTATTATGACTTCAGCTTACATTGCCAGGAAAGGACTTAGTTTACGTTTGTTCTAAAATTCATTCTTCCACACATTTGCACCCAAACACACTCTCCATATACTTTCTATTTATATTTTATCCAAACCAAAAGAAAACTAAACAACATACCCGTAGAAAACATTGAAAAAAACATTATTACACAACCCCATCTCCGTATCACAGAAATTGTATTTATTTAATATAGGCAGTATAATGTAGATAGATTTTTTTTCGTTTTATGAAGATAAAAGCCGAATGAAAGAAACAATTTTATTATCCCGTAAATATTTAGTTATTTAAGAATACAACGGTTGCCCTAGTTGTTTTGCGTTAAATTAACACATTACAAACTACGTACAGATATTCGTGCGTTTCAGCAAACTGAAGATAAAACCCGTTTTAAACTTTTCACCTATTTTCAAATTTCACTTGGTTGTAATGAAAGTTTTTCAAAAACAAAAAGTAGCGCGTAATGTGTTAATACACATATGAATTCAACTTTAATTTTAATAATAAATTAAATTGTGCAGACAACATCTCGACAACATTTATTTGCATTACGAAACTATTTTCATTTGTTCGCGACCTAGTAACGACCGAAAAAACACGGACAAAATTACGAGGATCGCAAATGCGTTGAAAGAAGCAAGAGACGAATGAAATGTTTATCGGCATAGATGTTTAACGAGTCGGTTGTCTTTTTGTTTACAAGAGCATAGAACGTAACGTCGAGTACGACCTAGTAATTAAACGTGATTTTATGCAAACGCGTAGCGCTTGTTAGCGCGTAAACTGCGATTTGAATTTGAATAAAACGCTATAGAGTCAGTAGCGAAAAAGAGATTTCGGTTTCAAGAATAGGATCATGGGAGTGGACCAACATCTGTTGCGTAATATACACCATTGCAAACCCGTATCCCTAAAATATTTAAGGAACAGTTTCTTTTTGATATGTAACCCGTTTACCAACACGTATCCTTGATCTTTTCCCTACGATGGAGATGCTTCGATCATTCTAGGTTGACCAGGATCCAAAATGGATTGTGACACTTCATTCTATCTTCACTGTGACCTACGACTAGGTAGGTAGAACGTGAATATGTATTTCTTCAAGTGCTAATAAATCTGCTTCTGTTGCTAATAAATACCAGATTTTGAATACGAAATTTCAAATTCAAAGCAGCGCGCCATATCCTTCAAACGTTATGCGAATTATAAACACATAGATACGGGAACAGTTGATAACATTTATTCGAACGCGGATATCGGCGATATTTTATCCCTTCTGATAATATTCCGATCATTAATGGATAAGTAAAATTACGTTGTTAGGTAGTTTATATATTTTACGTTACTAATTAATTATCATAAATGTTTGCAAAGCCGGGGCGTACCACATCTAGCATTCGATAACGATAACGATTTTGAACTGAAACAAATACGCGTGACTAATTAATTTTGTCGATGTCGGCTGAATATTTAACTAGCTTACGCGAGTACGGACATGGGCGACGACACAAGAGGATTTGCTATTTACAAATACAAGTATAATTCCGCGCGTAAATGTGACAACGTAGTATGCGTATAGTGAGGCGGCTGTGTCAGCAATTTCAGGGTTGGCAATGCACGGCATTATGTCGTTCAATAAAGCGCCGTCCGTGAGAAGCAATAAAGAAATCTTTATAGATCCTAAGATGATAATGTTATACTATGAAAACGCAAATTTTCAATACATATATACTTTTTTTTTTTAAGGTAATCCAAGTATCTTGAAAGAACCTGAATGGCTTCCACGCATGTATTTCATAAACTAGTTATTCATCTGTCGAGCCCACCCAGTGACGCAAATGGAACCAGGGACACTGAATTTAATTTTAGTTCACTGAAACTGGTTATATATGTTATTTAAACTTGCCCTGTCGGTTGAATTTCCCAATATAATAAAATCATCTGACTTTTAACACACCAATTAGGTCTACCTCTGCCGTATATATCTACATAATAATGTCAACCTCTTCCTGTTCAGAATTCGATACAATGATTATGTAGCAATATGTTACTTCTTGAAATAAAGTTGCACAATTGCGTAAAAGTGTTATTAACGAACATTATATATAAAATATGTATATGCGTGCGTGTTTGGATGTATGCAAATATCTAATAAAACTTTTTCTCAAACTTTCCCCGTTCAGATATCGATATCGAATAATTATATCGCAATACGCTAATCCTTAGAACAAAACTGCATAATTGCGTAAAGTTATTAATAGTAAATGTCATGTATAAAATGTGTATATACGTACGTGTATCGATATACATAGTAAGAATCGTGTTAAAAACAGTCTACTGAAATTTTGCGTTACTTTAACATGAGGGACGTGTTAAAAAGTATATAAATACAACGTTAAATTAACACTTTCAACTTCTCAACATATGCTACGGTTGTTATTAAATCGAATTAACGTTGCCGTGTAAACGTTGTCTGCGTTAATTTAACATTATATTTATTTATTTTTTAATACGTATTCGTGTATTTTATACTATATTCCCCATGTTGAAATAATATAAAATTTCGGTGGGCCATTTTTAACACAAAAATGTTTTACCGTGTACGAAGATATCTAGTAAAATCATAAGAGAGACATTTCGGGACAAAATACAGACATTTTGGATGCCTCTGGTCAATTCTACAATGGCGTACGGTTTAACGATGAATAACGACAAGTTCCGCTGCAATTCGATCGTTTCGACAATTTGCCGACACCGCCGTAAATAGACGTTACTCGCGGCGAACAATTCGTGCACCATCGTCAATGTTCATCGAGCCTCGTACGTCGGGAATTAGAACGAGCGTGCCGGGATAAGTACGGCACCGTATACAAGTAACACCGAGTTATGTCAGCATTGTAAAACACTTTCCTCTGCGTTTGGCCGATTGCCAAAGATTTCCCCGCCCCCACTCATAACGTGGGGTTTCATCTAACGATGGTACCGCGAGTACATCGCGGAATACTTGAATACGATGCGACGCATTCGCGCGCCTCGCTCTCCGCGACGAATGCGACGACGACGATGGCTACGCACGTTCGTGAATTACGTGTCAGGAGGCGTAAACAATACGGCGTCGTATAACAACCCCTACTATGTAACAACCGGCTCGCTCACGCACACACGCAACATATACAAATCGCGTCCTCGTGCATTGATCAATCGTCTAGTGAGGCCCGGTGGAGCGATCGGATCGACGAGTATATAAGCAATCGTCCGAAAAGCAAAGGCATCATTCAGTCACTGTTCATCAGCAACTGATCTCCTACGAACCAGACCAATCCAACCAACTATGAAGTGCTGGGTCGTAAGTATAACGCTGGATCTTCGCCGATATTTTCGCACTCACATTCGCCCATATCACGAGTGTCCATCGAGTCTGCACACACGACACACGACATACTGATAGATTTTCGTCTATAACTTATCGCACTTATTCGCTGATCGTCCTACACGCACCGATTAGCCTAATTACCGCATTATCACGATTATCCGTGAATCGATCGGCTTGATCAGCTGCACGTTCTAGTTCTGGATCAAGTCGCGATACATGTAGCTATATAGCTCTGTAATATTCGGCTGATCTCGCATGCCACTGATATTAACTGATTACCGGTAATTGATTTGTAATTTCCCCTTCCTTCGGAACACCGTCCCGCTATTTGCAGTTCATTCAATTGATGTGAGAATGTAAATCTTCCTCACACTGCAAGATTCATTAGACTTATGTTCTTTTTTTTTTCACAATTGCGGCTTATATCTTTTTCTTTGTGTCGGTCTGTTCCTTCTCAGTTTCACTTTCCAATTTGTACATATTTTTAGTTGAATTAATTATATTCATTGTATCAACTACATTCTCACGCAAGTGACTTCATGAATGCATGATACAATGAATGTGTATCGGCTAATTACAAAATTCTGCTCAACATTTCTTCGTCCCGTATATGCGTTCTGAAGTTACAAGTTACATAATATATTTTTATACACCGTTATTACATCATTAGGAAAAAGTACAGCTCTAATTCGGAGATCTCATATACATTCATCAAATCTAACTTTACTTAATAATATTATTAATATTGCAAATTAATTGTGTCGTAGCGAAATGTCTATAAACGTAGAGAAATATTTCAATATTTAATAACAGAAAATCCATGATTCCTATATTGATCTTTATATAGATAATCCCACGATAACACTAACAGTAATACGACATAAATCTTACGCTATTCGAGCTGATTAAATGGAAACGTCAGCTGCAAATTAATCGGAGATTACTTTCGCAGGCTATCGTTCTTATGGCTCTCTTCGCCATCGCTATGGCGCAGAAGGTGTCCAAACCCGCAGAGCAAGGATCAGAGAGCGATAGAGACAAGAGAGGATTAGGCTCGCTGTATGGACTTGGAGGATACACGTACGGAGGATATCCTTATGGCTATCACGGCTATCCTTACGGCTACCATGGCCTCCATGGCCTCCATGGCCTCCATGGCCTCCATAACTATCCTTATGGCTACTCCCGCGTCCCGTACTATGGCATCTACGGCGGCGGCTACTACGGTTAAAAATTGAAGACTACGGCTCTATAACGGCTCGTGATTAAGGACTGGACCATGAAAATCTCGAAAAACCTTGATCAAGATGTACATTCTAATCGATTTGGAAACTCTTGAGAACCATGAACGCAATATGTTTGAGTTCTTTGGCTATCAACGGTTGTGTTATATACTCATTGCATTAATAAAGTAAGATTAGATATAAAATGAAGATTTTCTTCGACGGATTCCTTTCGCACAAACCCGATCTCTCCTAGTATTTCTTTTTTTATACGATCTCTGCTTTGAGATTCAACAGTTCGAAGTTAAGTACTACGATGTTTGTATAGCTCGATATATCAACCAAATTGTTTCGAAGTAAAACTATTATTTCTCCGACAGATCAAGTTATTAACGGTTAACAACGGCATTTTCTTTATCCTGCTGGACATAGCGTAAAATATACAATATACTTCGTGATATATTTTTTCATTGTCTGAATTTATGAAGATACATCAGAGAATATTTCATTTACAATGCCATAATATTTCAAAATATTCATAACTTTCTAAATTTTGGTTTCTGAAACAAATCCAGTATAATCATCGCATATACACTTGCGAAGCATGTATATTATAAATAGTTCTCGAAAGCAGCGATAACTTTTCGCAATGACAATCTCGGCAGAAGATTATCCGGAGAGCGGACTTTCCTCAGGATGCTGCAAGAATTCATCAAAGAGATAACGTATTTATCTCGCATGGAAAATTCATTAAGCGATATAAACAACCGGCGGTAATTGCGGTGGATAATTAACGGGAAAGCGTCGCAAATTTTAATGACTACGAAAGCGCGTTAATCCGAATGTAATTTATGTAACCGCAGATCGTGCATATATCCGGCGTGCAAACGTCATTCTCACAGCGGGATCCGGCGAGTTCATCGCGCATACATTTGCGGTTTCATGTTTAATACGAGTACGTAACGTATGGTCGAGAATCGCAGCGCGAATTTCCAGACGGGATGCGGGAAAACGTCCGATCGACGTCGTTAAAAGAGCATGCCTGCGACGAGACGAGTCAAAGCTCGTGAATGCACGCGCGTGTTTACGGGGCCGCGTTAACGTTGTGTGTTCTGCCATTAATCGTGGACGCTACCGTCAAACTTCATTGGCACGACGTCGCCTATTGGCCTCGTTGGTGTCACAGGCAAAGGTAATAAGTAGCGACTGCGTGAGTAACGCGTTAAACGACCGCATGGTTGTTTTGTGTAATCTTAGATGAAAGTAGGTCGGTCTCTTTCTCTCGACAAGTTTTAATCAGTTAAGCATCTTTTCGCATCTTTCCTTGTAGCTACAATTCGAAACGTTCACATTGCTTCAACTGGATATTGGAAAATACTATTTTATTCAATAACATTTTGTGGAACAACACGAAGGGTAAAAAATGTACGAATATTTCACGACATTCTTTTCATCGCGATTATCGTATACAATCACATTGAGAAACTTGCAGATTTCGATCTGGCGATACTCATTGGAGCCGATCTCACGCGGAGGCGATTTGCAACATCGCGAGGCCTTCCATTGATCATTTAAAACGGTCCTTCGGAAAGTATATTCCGCAAAATTGAGTCGCCGTTTTAAGTGTGTTTTTTTACGATGCGTTTCACACTTTTACGCCATTCATAATTCAGCAGCTTCCCGAGTCCGAAATGCCGCTTACGGCATTCGGTCGCTGAAGGAATCGCGGGAACGAGCGGCACGCGCGTCGTTATTCAATCCGATGTCCGATTTTACGGAGGACAGCGGACGAATTCGTGTAACAGCGCGTCCGGGGTGCATCGAAAAGGCGGCGAAATCGACGCGAGCTCGCCGTGAATCTGATTTACGCGTAACCGCGCGTTACACAATACGACTGTATTCTTGTAAACGAGCACTTATTCCGTATTCTCCGAGACCCGGGACTTCGACGGTACTTTCACTGGTGAAGCCGAAGAGGAGCCGGCCGGGCGTGACGAGCATGCCGTATAAGAGCCGCTGCGTTTCACGCAATCGCGCGCGACCTCGTCGGAAGTTCACGGGACGACGCTCGTTTCCTCCCCGTTTCCCTATTGAGGGCATTATTTACGGGCGAAGCGCGCGAGCTCGCGGTGATGAATGAAAGTTCCGACTTTTTATCCGCCCCTGCATGCATTTCACCGCGGCAGCGCGGCGTACGGATTTACGAGGTCCTCTTTATCACCGCGAAACAGGAAGCCACCCCACGCAAGGTCGTGTTACGTGTCCTTCGTTAAAAGCGAGTATCGCGCAATTTCGACTCCGCTCTCCGCTCCCGCACGCTTCTCATATCGGTAGACTTTCCGTAGACTTTCGTCGCGTTTTGCTCCTCCTTCGAGATGCACGGAGGTCGCGATTCCCGGGCACTCGGGAATTGTTCGCAACAAGTCCTGGCAGACGGCCTCCTCGAAATTTTGATTATGGAACCAATGGGAATATACGACGTGTACTCGGCATCGATAAGTGTAACATCGCGGATCCGTAACAGTATTGCTTAAGTTCGATCGATGAAAGCCGGTAAGAAAGTCTATTGTAATTCGTGGACGGTCGCGACCCGATTGTATTTATACATGTGCGGGTACAGCCGTAGTCTTAGTCGGCGCGGACCCGTCCATCCTCGAGCAAATTAGCTTCTTGGCTCGCGTACTCTGATTCAATGTCGGGATCCCGCGGGAAATAGCACGGTTTCTTACTGGAGAAGAGACGTCCGGACAGTCTCGGTGCGGTGTTAAGTGCAATAAGGATTACACGGTCTTAAAAATGCGGCGCGTCACGGTAAGCCTGTGACTATGAAACTTCCTTCGGCTCGTGACTGTATGCTCTCCGTGCCATCCACCCATGTCTTACACGAAATTTTTTCACGTCTTCGTACCCTTCCTCGTCGGATAAGAAACTTTTGTGTGTTAATATTCATGAATTTTCCAACGAGAAAATCTCTCGTCAGTTGTGGCAACATTTTATAATCGAGTAAATTAACATGACAAGTAACAGCGCGCAATATACGAGGGAATTTTCCTCATTCTTTACACACATATATGTACATAATTTTCCTCTTGATATATTTCGAGACAGTGACTAAAAAACGCACGAGGATGTACCTTTATCCGCGTCGAAGGCAAGGAATTTTTTCAAAAGCGCCAAACGATGATCAGCTACATGAATATTTTGCGACAACTACATACACTGCGTGCGATCCTATTTTATCCTAACTTTTTCACTTTCGCTTATTGCTGCAATATTACTGTCGTTATTTAGTATTGCTTGCGTAATGTACTGCGTGATTTTTTAGATCATCTGCGTCTTCGTATTGGTGCTTTCGTCGAGCCTAGCCGAGCAGAGAGCCGAAGTGCAAGAGTCCAAAGTTACGAAGGTGGTGGACTTCGGCGAGGCCGAAATCAAGCCGAGCCCCGGGCGAGTCGACGTTCAACGGAAGCGAGACTCCGGATATTCCTACAACAAACCGAGTCGTGTCTCGTCGCATCCTCGGCTACGCTTCCAGGCGAATCAGCTCGGGGATGAAATCGCATCTAGGAGCCCCGGTCAGTTGAGCAGACCGTTCGCGAGATACGGGCCGCCGAGTCACTCGGCCCATCGTGGCGAACAGCAGCGAAACAAAGTACAGCATCACGTCAGTCAGCAGCAGTCGATCAGTTACGACGTCGGTCGGACGCAGCAGGAGGTGCCGAGCCTGATCAGGAACGTTGATTTTGCGGACGCGAATCCGATCGCTGGCCAGAATAACGAGCCCTTCGGCATGCACACGGCGAACTATCTGCCGCCGCGGAATCAGAAACTGCCGGCTTACTCCTCGGCGGATAGTTTCGCCTCGACGTACTCGCCGAGTTCGCCGGGTCAAGTTCAGAGCTCGCAGAACCTCGCGCACTCCCCGAATCATCAGATCTCCGACGCGGCGCTCTTCCTCTCTGAGAACGCCCGTGCGATTCAGCGATTGTACGGCGCGCCCGCGAGCAATCAAGATTTCGCGCCCAGCTACGAGCAGATTCAACGGCCGGGCGGCCAATTGGCCAACTCGGAGAGCACGTCGCCGAATCCCGGGGACTTGCCGAGCGCGTTGCCGCCGTACGCTTCGGGAACGCTGAACCCGCGGGAGACTCTCGAGCAGATCCAGTCTCTGGAGAAGGACCGGTTGATCGTGCAGCTGCAGCAAGCTCTGGCGCAGGCGCAGGGTAGCCCGAGCGTGGCCGAGGCGGCGGGAAGGTACGCTCAGAATCAAGCGAGTTTCCTTCCGAGTGAGGAACTTCTAGCCTCTGTAAAGCAGCAAATGAAATCGCATGCACCGACGACAGCGCGGACCGTGGCTTTCGCCGGCGGAAGCACAGCCTTTAGTCAGTTTCCTCTCCTGCCAGGGACGACGATCGATCCCCTGGGCCTCCCTCTTAGCTACGGCGTCCCGACTACCGCGCAGACCCCGACGACGACGACGGCCGGCGCTCCGTCCGCAGCCGATGCCGCCACTCAAGTAGCCTCCGCGCTGCCCGCTCCTGATCAGCCAGGCTCGCCCGTGGGAATTCCCGTTTACGGTGGGTTCCTGCCTGCTTTCATCGCCGGGAGCAGCTTTCTTCCTAGTTACGGCACGAACGTCTTCACGCCCGGACCGGTCAGGCAACCCTCCGGCTCGGCGCCTACTCACTTCGGCATACCCATTCCTACGGAATCGCCGCAGAAGCCGAGCTCGGCACCCTCGACGACGAAGCCCGTGTCCTCCCCTAATCGACCGGGAGTCGCGATCACGCCGGTGGTGCTGCCGGTTCAACCGGTACGACCCGTCGCGACGCCGGTGCACCCGGTGCAAGCCAACCCCCCCGTGGCGTCGTCCAGCGTGCAGCACTCGTACCTGCAGACCGCGCTGGTCAACCCCGTCCTCTACAAACCGGCCAAAGCGGTCTATCCGGTGTACTACTACTCCAACGTGGCTTACCAGCTGCAGAAGCCCGGCGCACCGAGTCATCCGTGGGGCTACGCGCCTTCATACGCGCAGGCGAAACCGGCGCAAATATGGAAATGAGGTGTTCCCATTCTTCGCGAACGGATCGCGCGATATTCAGGTTGGCTGGCTTACCCGCGCGGAAAAGAGAGAGGGAGAGATTGAAGAAGAAAGTACGGAGCACAGAGAGTCGCTATCATCGCACTCGCGTGATTCCGATGCGCTAATGACGCCGTATCGCCTATTAATCTTTTTCACCCAAACGATTTCGGTTTCTTCCTCCGGCAGGAGAGTTCCGAAAGAATCGCAAATCCTTCCCCCCCCCCGTTGCAGCGGTTCCCTTCGTTCGCCGCGGCAGGAAAGTTCCGGCATCGCCGCGACCGGAGAAATTTGTATTTCTCAGTGCACGAATCGCGGCAAGCGACACGCAAATGCGCGGACAACTTGTTTCACAAAGAGGAGGCTTCGTCGCCGCAAAATGTTAATTACGAAACGTTGAAACTAGAAAGACCAGGCGGGACAGTTTCGTCCGCGAGAAATCCGCGTGGCGAGGCTGCCAGTATCGCGGTTACTTTCCAGCCATCGTGAGTGACGATGAGATACGCGTTATCACGGGCGCAAATTCGATTATACGCGCATCGGATACACGCGGATGCGTCGAAGCCGACGCCGTGTTCCGTTCCTGAAGAGTCACTCAGACGGTCGCTCAATAGACAAGCCGTCCGGTGTTGAGCGTACGCGTACCACCATCTGTTATTGCGCCGGCTTCGAAGCGCCTTTGAGAAAGTGACATCGCGCAGGTGATAACGAGCGCGGTTGTTTCATTGTGGAGCGTCGCTCCGGGAATGACGAGCGAGTATTTCTTAATTGTCGATCACGCGCAAAGGAAATTGCCGTTGCCATTCACGCGAACCTCCGACGGCGTTGCTCGCACAATAGCGATCTCTGTTGCTTTCTTACGCGTTCCTCACGTTACCTACGCTACAGGCCGCTCGGACAAAGTGTCTTGCACGAAGAGTCGCGATCTGTTTTCCCCGATATCCGATGGTACACGCGTACTTGTCATGTAGAAGGCTCCTCGGCTATCCCTGAGAACACAAGTAAAGACAAAACCGCTTCGATTTTTCTCCCAGCCTCGGAGAAAGCAGCCTGTAACATTTCACGTCAGACACGAGCCATTATTATCGGCATTGAGTGGCTCGCCCGTCGAGGGTCGCTCCGGTGATACCGATAAGCCTCCGCACGGCGGTGTGGAATATCGCGGGGGTCCCTCCCGCGGTCTGCGAGCGTGTTTATCCTAGAACCGCATGTAAATACACATGTTCTATTTATTATATCTTGTGAAATAAATCTTTTTCTACTCTTTCGAGGGCGGCTCTTCTTTTGCGATATTTCGAGAAACCGCGCGCGGCCTACTGAACCCTGCAGTCGAACGTCCGAGATGGGCGCACAAGCTCGGCCGCATGTGAAACCGCACGGGTGTGTATCCCATACCACCGTGATGGAAAGTTGAGCCGAGAAAATGGACTGCCGTCACTTCCGGCACTGGATGGATCTACACAAGGAGACTCTCACTCGTGGTGGGCAGCGCTCGTGGCCGCGCGATCCATCGCCACGCCGCTCGATCCTGACCTCGAAAGTCGTTCGATCATTCCAGCCACGGTCAACGCAGCCGGGTTATCCGAGCAATCCCGGGCATACATAATATATCGCTGTCTGCAGGTGTACCGTTCGATTTCGTAATCTCTGCGCCCGTTCTTACTAGGGACGGTACGTCATGTGCAGCGCCGGCTCGATTCACAGATCGAGATCTACGGATCCGTAAGAAGGCAGAATCCATGAACGGAGGTGGAATGCGCGAGACGAGGCGCTCTCGCACCTTGTCTGTGTTAATGTTTATTAACACATTAACGGCGGGCGATCTCGACGAAAGTATGCGGCCGCCCGCCTCGTTTTTCGGCCTAGAGCGGGCGATATTTTGTGTGATCATAAAAAAATTTAGACTTAAAAAAGTTTATTTAAACTCTTAAAACTACGAGAAATATTAAAAAAGAACTAAACACTAATTACAAAAAATGTTTTAAAGTACATATTTATGAGGAGAATCTAGTATTTTTTAAGAGTGTGGTAATGTTGATAACACTCGCCACGGTGAAGAGGTGCATTGCAAAACTCGCATTTGAAGCAAGTCAACTTTCTTTTTTTATGTGCCGCACAAACTACGCAGTTTCGTTGGGCATATAGCTTTTTGCCTTTATTTTCTATCCGAATTAAGTTGTGCTTTTTGATGTCTAGCGAAAGACGTCCAGGCGGATCAATTTTATACCGTGGAGTCCGTGGTGCCGAGTTCGATGTACCACGTTGTGGCTCTTCAATGTCCATCAATTCCAGATCTTCGGTTTGTTTGTCAGTTATAAGACAGCGTGATAATTCTAACAAAAAATTTTTATATGGCAAGCTACTATTATTATGCATGTTATATACTAAATAGGAATTGAAAAATGCACAATTTAACAAATACATTACAGCCCGCTTGGACCACTTTTTTGTTTTTCGCAATATTGAGTAGTACGAAAGGTACTGGTCTGCCCTATCAACACCTTTCATATAGTTGTTGTATTCTATTACGCATTTTGGTTTTATTATTTTTGTCTTTGTGTGCCAATCTGTATTGGAGCTTTCTAATAGTTCACTCGAATGAATATTCGAAATCATCCTCACTTCTCTCTTTGACTGCCAAATTTGTACTAACACGTCTCCTTTTCTCCGGAAAATTGACTGTCCGCGTTGCAACTTATTATTTTTTAATTCATGTGGAAGTCCTCGGTTTACACGTATTGTTCCACAACTTCGTATTTTATGTTTTAAAAGAGTTTCGTTTATATCTACACTGTTATAATAATTATCCATAAACACATGATAATATTTGTCTTTATATGGAGTAAGAATATCTAATATTGTTTCCGCCAGTTTCCTTCCTTCTCCACAATACATTTTCATATTACTAATGTAGCCACTTTTCAATTCAGCCACAACTCTCACCAAGATTCCATATTTAATAATTTTCGAGGCATTGTAAACTTTAAATCCCAATCTTCCACGCCATGGTATGATGCTTTCGTCCAGTGAAATCTCTCTTCTTGGTGTATATACAGTATTGAATTTTTCAACCAAACTGTCATAAACAGGTCGAATTTTAAATAGACGGTCGCTCGATTTATCCATTTCATCGTTGTTCACAAAGTGCCACCATCTCCATATCTATCACGACTCATTGTCTTTGGAAATATTGGTGTTTCTAATAATGGATCTGTTGTCCAATATTCATCGATAGTATTTTTTGGAATTTGGCCCATTAGAATTAGTAATCCTAAAAATTTCTTGAATTCGCTAATAGTGAGATCCGTCCATTTTATCGCTTTCTTCTTTTTAAGGTATTTTTCGACGTTTTGATGGTGATATCGGTTAGTTTCTGTTACCATCATTTCGTAGAAATTATCATCAAGAAACACATCCAGAGATCCTTCAACGCCGTTCTGTGGTAAAATATTTAACCCCGTTCGATCCAAAAACGGTTCTATAGTAGGTGGAATGTCGACTTCAGTCCATTGAGGTATAATTTCTTCTTCATAATCATTTTCGCTTTCATCATCGCTAATCGGTAGTGGAAAAACTCGGGTCCTTCTCATAGATCGTATAGAACTATCACTATCACTATCGTCAATATCACAATCAAAAAAATCAATATCTAACCCTCTTTCATCGCAAGCGTTTCTTGCTTCATTGCGATCAGACTTTTTCTCGCTTCCGAAATAAAGATTATATCACTTCTCACTATTAGTCTATCTTCAATAAGTAGAGCGTTTCTTTTAAGAAGGGAAATCATTCGATTCATAGGCTTCATGGTAGAAATTTTATATATTTTTCGAACAGTTGCCGGACAGTTTAACTTCTGTCTAGTAACTGAGGAGTAAAACTAACTTGGGATTCCAATCGAGATACAACACTTTTTCTGCAGTTACTGCGCACAAAAGACGCGTAAAATCTGAACCCATTTACTGCGAAAACAAAACAATAAATGGACGAAAAAACTGTTCAATTGGTAAGCAAACCTGTTGTTCGAATGAAATGAAATTGAAATTAGCAGATATAAAGTGGGCAGTTTTGCCCTAGAAGAACCTGTGAATAAATCTCTATCGAGTTCTTGTTCATTTTCTACGAAGTATTGTTACTAACACGAATGCATTAATACTAGACAATAACTGGATGGGTGTCTGGGAAAATTATATTTCTATCAGAGTTATAGAGATATAAGGAGAGAGCTGAAAATGACCGAGTTTCTGTATGAAGATTCAAATCTACGAGGTGTTTAATGCGATTGTGCTTATTTTAGCGATATAAATTAGCGGAATAAATTAGCATATATTAGCGATAGGAATAAAAGGGTAATACGATCCAATTAGTACGAACATGACATTAAAACGATTATTCATGGACACTAAAAAAGTCGTCATAGCTCTAATGTCTTCTATTTGTGAGTCAAATGCGCGCATAGTTATTTACTTTATCTATGTTACGATTTACCAGTCGTTAATTTGGCAATAGGTTTCTAAATGACGCGAAATGACGAAATTGCGATACCGTCGGTGAAAATCAGACTTCCACCGAGTTCCGGCGTGAGTAAAAAAAATTGAGCGAGCTTAAAGGATCAGGAAGATCGAAAAAATGCGGCTTGACCCTGAGTCAAACTGGTTCGTCGCATCCAGTCTGTTGTCAACTCACTTTCTGTATGTGACCTATATTCTACTGCCCGGTTTCCATTTTATTGGCATTGGTGCACTTTTACCACTTTATCTCAAACTTGTTCAGTCGGAATTTATTCTCAGATGAGCACTTTCTGGTGCCTATTTAGGAAACCTGCACGCAGAGGCCGACCCATTGTCGGTTGAACTTCTTTAGTGAACTTTATTCACGAGCTTGTTGTTTTTCATCGGCAAAAAGTATCATAGTGGACGTATAAAATATTCGGCTAGATTAATGCGAAAGATAAGGTGATGAGGCGTGGAGGGGTACACGTGCGTGGAAAAAGAGAGGGATAGTATGAAAGTATTAGAGATCGGGAAAGTGAGAAACCGGATGAATTTTAAATTAAGAAAACAACCGTTGAATGGTAAAGAGATGAAGAGACGAGGCTTGTTTTGAACTGAAAGGGAAAAGTTCGGAGGGCCGTGTTACATTATTTTGATGATACAATAGAGATGCTAAATCGAAGGAGTAAAGAGAAGTCGCGGTGATGCAAACGAATTATGCGGATGAAATGACGAGAAAGCAAGAACGTGAGAAGCGACAGCGATTTTAAGCCGATAGCCGATTTTAGCGATTCGAAACCATGCCCGAATGCGGTAACGAATAATCGACACTGGCATATTTCCAATCACCGTTATAATTGGCTCCCCCGGCTAATGACAGAATCGATTCTCACCGAGACGATATTCAGCTTCCGAATAGCGCGCTGCGTAATATTGCGCGTTGAAACAGTTCTCATTCGTCGAGATACGAGGATCGGTATATGTGAAACATTACGTGTTTTGTTTCAGCGCTTGTCTTGTGCAATAGCACGCATACCTGCACATTTACGTCTTATCAAGATGTTAATGGCGTGACAGGTGTATTATTCGCGGCACACGAAAGCGACGTAATACCTTGTGTGTGCCTGCAGGTATTTTATTATGCACAGATATATATATATATACGCATTGTATAACCGCATTGTAAATATGCAGTCGTCAATGGGGCTATTTACATCGCGAGTTTTATTGGCGGTGTTTCCATTTGGGATGGCGTGTTCTATATACAAATATTAATGTCGATGAACTTACATGAACACGATACGATTCGTGCGTACCATGTAATAATCAGGTATGCATAATATCGTATTTATCATCGGGTGTCGTCAGTACAGTACGTTGTGTATAAATAAGTTATTAAATTGATCTTTTCTTGATAATATATAAAATAGCATTTGATGAAAAATGGCATATTTTCTCTGAATTCCTCTGAAGTAGTTGTTTCATAGAGTGCAGGATTTTTAGTGACGATATTAGGAGACTTTTTTTTATACATTTTATTTGCTGTTTGTTGAGAAAAGAAACTCTCCTTTAATTTTATTTAATTGTCTAAGTAATAAATATTAATTTTAAAGAAATTAAGATGAATATATACACAACATTGCAAACACGGAAATATTGTTTATTTTTATTTTTCTTATTAATGCTTTATTTATACGTCAGTCAAACTAATAAGGGTCTATACATAATAGAAAACAACATATGAATATTTCAATATGTGTATATGCACATGTATTACAGGTATTATTATGAATTGTAAATTTCCTATGATTATATTTTCAAAAATAATCGATAATTCAGAAATTGTTGTATAATATCTCTATATTAGTCCTTAATATTACGGTAGTTTTTTTATTAAAATCCCAAAGGTGGTTTAGAAGAAATTAAAAATAGAAGTAATGGAAAAATAAGACATTAACTCAAAAAATACGTATAAAAAGCGTCATCTTTAATTGCAGATGTCTTAACTTCCGAATGGTCAATCGCTTTCTGCGCCAATAATCAGATTATATTTAAATTTATATATAATGCAAATTTCAACAAACTCTTAAAAAAAATTTATTTCGTGTTACAACCATCTTAAGATATGTATAATGCTCTATTAGATATAAATGTGAAATATACGAATTTTGTGTGAAACCCGATAAAACTGGAGATACGTTATCCTCCTTGGTTTCCGGTATCTTTTTCTCCTCGCGGAAATAAATCGCATCGGCAGCTGCTTTGAAAATCCGCACTCGTTAACCGTGCTCGTCATCTTTTAAATAAGGAATTGCCCACAGACCACGACTCCTTTCTTCATCTTACGAGTGAAAGTAAAACGAAGTCAATCGAATGCTTTCAGGCGCTACAATTTAACTAGTTAGAAGAAGTTAAACGAATGATCACAGCCATGCTCATCCCGTGCGTGTGGCGATATGTTTATCACACAAAGGATCAAGAACGAAAAGAAAAACGAGGTAACGTTTCGTTCATTCCCAGGAGCACAATTCACTTTCGAATGTCGCGTTGATCAGCTTTCAACGCGCGACGAAAAATTTCATCTCTTTTTGCACAGAAGAACGTTTATCCTTTGCTTAATAGTACATGTCAAACTTTATGTAAGATCTTGCGGCTGACGAGCGAAGTTAAACGTAACGCTTAAAACACTGCACGGAATGTCGGCCTTACATACGGAATCAACGATAAAAATAGAATTTCAGAACTGTAATCGGGACGCAGAAAGACACATTCCTTTCCGCGAATGTTAAGAAAATATTACTAAACGATCGAGAGCATTGAAATGTTAATATCCATCCGTTTCGCGCCGTTCGTGCCGCATCAGTGATTCAAACACGCCTGGTTTTTGCAACTTGCGGCAAACCAGCCAAGTGGCAACGAGCTTTCGGAGATACGAGATTTCGTAGAAAAACATTTGCGGTGGAGGTAAGTAGAATAAGCGAATCCACTCTTTTCACGCGACGATCGTTCGGTTAACAGCGCTTTTTATCGATGCTGAGGTGAGCCGCGAAAAACAAGATCCGTGCGTGTGCCAGAAAGTTACGGCTTTCAGTGGACTTCAATGCATGGAAGAAGCGTTTTTTCCGCTAGATGATAAATCTCGCGGAAATGTGCCTGCGTACGATTGGACAGGTCTAAATATACCGGAAGGCTATATTTTAGAAGATGACGTAATTATACCGTTCTCCCTTTTTCTTTCTCCTCTTAGGTGTAATTAGTAGCTGGATAATTGCTCCACATTTATACCCCGTCGGCACGTGTCGTGACGATGTTTAGCGTCTGTTCTAACTCGCGATACGTGGTGGTGTGCTTTCTTTGTTGAAGCCCGACGCCTTCCCGACCGGTCGAAATCGGAAATGAAGAATGCAAAACGAACTAGAAGTCCTGCTGCACAAGTCGGGGAAACAATTGCGTTTTCTCCGGACGAGCGGCGAAGCAACGCTCCCCGGCCGCGGCCGCGGTAATTAATAGCGCCGGGCAACAAAATCACTCGAAAAAGTGAAATAGCTTGACCCGAAACCGCATTCCCCGGCGCTTTTATCGCCTCGAAATTGAATCGCCGCGAGAGCGTGGCAATTAAAAACGACTTAGCGTATACGACTCACCGCGCGCCAGTTCTTCCGGGCGATTTCCGGGATCCTGGAAAAGGACTGAGCTACTTAACTGTGCGTTCGATATGGCCCATCGGGATGTTCCTCCGCGCGCGACTCGGCGCATCGGGCGCGAAGAGATCCCCGATCGAAAATAGACGGAAGAGGGGTCGACCACTCGTGGCTGTACTTCCTCGAAATACCGCGCGAACAAAAGCGACAATGAGAGGACAAATTTTCGAGATCCGCGACAGGGAAACGATAAATCTCCGCGACTGGCTCCGCGTTCGCATTGTTCGCGGGCTCCGAGGACGCGCGTTTCGGCCCGATCGTCCTTCCTTCCTTTCCGTTTCTTTTCCAACCGGGTTGTTGACTCGTCCGAGAGAGGATCCCGTCCGTTTCTTTCCCATGCGAAAAAAATTCCCCGCCACTGATAAGAGTCCATATTGATCCGCTTTTACCAGGTGTGGGGCCTGATTTGCAAGCCGCCCGGGTATCCTCCGTGTTACACTTAACTACGATCGGCGGCGATGCTAACGATGCGACGCCCCGGTACATCAGCGCGGGGAGACTTACCTTCACCTAGACCTTTCTTTCGCCGTGCGAGAGGGGATCCACGTATAAATGCTTTCTTCTTCGTAGCAATGCCATCAGAAACCACAATTTCACTCAACCACTCGACTGCCACCCGATCGCGAGAAATAGTTACGAGAGCAACCCCATTCCGGCAAGCATGCGCTCGATCGTGAGTATCTTCTCTACTGTTTTCTACGAAAACCTCAGCTTTAAGTGCCCGCCAATTTGCTCCTCAATATTCTGTACGTTTCATATATGTTAAATTGGACTTTTTACACAGGGCGTGCTACGAGAAATTTTACGAAGATAACAGAGTTGTGTGTTTTCATTCAAGTTATAATTTCCTCTCCCAGAAGTGTAGTTCTTGGTTAAATCTCACGTAATTGCTGATTATTTCAGTTCGACAAGGTTTTTCTGTAAAAAACTTCACGTGAGATACGTAACTTTCCTTCATATTCCGCTTCGCCCGTAATATTACATATATGATGTGTATTGTGTCGTTTAACGCAGTCGTTTTAGTAAAACGCTTGACAGAAGATTTCAGTGCGTTGGTTAATTATTACGGATTAATTAGTCACAATTATTCTCACCCAATTGCTTCGGTACGCATTACTTCACATTAAGCTCGTGGCGCGTGCGTAATCTACAGTTTCTCTGGCTCGATTCACGCGCGCACACTCTCGCGAATATCATCCGAACGGTGGTTGTGTTATTCGTTGTATCGGATTTCGCTGCGTATTAACGAACGTCCATCGATTTGTAACGTGAGAACAATCGCGGTGAGTCATTTATCGCCAACCAATCGCATGGATCATCCGCCCCCATTTAGATACCAAACATGTTGCTTCGCAATTCGCTCGAACATTCTATCGATAACTCCGGTACAAGCAGGCTGACAACTTTGTCTTCCACTTTCACGCAAACCGATTAAGCCTACGAAAGTGGGACACCCTAGAAAGTGACGGTGCAAAGAAGTGCAATAACGTTAATGTTTCTCGCGTAGGTGTTACTGGGGCTGGCCGCTCTCGTCTGCGGCGTTCGTTGCCGGGATATTCGCTTCGAGCATTTGCCGCGTCAGCTCCGACTGCCGTTCAAGGACAAACGCGGCCTCGGCGACCACCCCGCGGCTTTCCCGTCCCACGGATCCTCTTACTCGACTCCCATTCACCCGAGCCTGAGTTCCGGTTACAGCCTGGGAGGACCGTCCGGCGGCTTCTCCCTGGGCCACGGCGGACTCCACGGCTTGAGCGGCTCGGTCGGCCACGGAATCACGTACCCCATCGCTTCGTCCAGCGGTCTCGGTTTAGGATCCGGCTTCCTGTCTTCCGGATTGGGCCACGGCTCGTTGAATCTGCAAAGCGCTTCTCTGGCGGGACATTCCGCCCAGGGCAGCTACTCCGTGCCCAGCATCGCGAGCATCGGCCTGAGCGGCGGTGGAGGAAGCAACGGGCTGTTCAGCCCGTCGAAAACCGGGCCCGTCACCTTCGGGCTTCACGGCGGCGGCGGCACTTCGGCGAGCTCTTCCGGGTCGAACGCGTACTCCACGCCGGTTTACGCATCCGGGAACCACGGGCTGTCGGCTTACAGCAGCGGGAGTCTCATGCTGGGGGCGTCGCACGGCTCTGCGTACAACCTGCCGTTGAGTTCCTCCGCGGGATACGCTGCGCAGGCCGCGTCTCCGAGTGCTGGGCATCCCGTGACAGGCGGCCTGGTCATCTCCACCGGATCGCACGGCTCCTCCCACGGCGTCGCCGCTCTCAGCAGCTCCTCGGGCTCCCGCGGAACCTCGTACTCTCTTCCGATAACTTCCGGATCACACGGAGGCTCCGCGTCATCCGGCTACTCGAGCCCCGGCTCCAGCTACGGCTCCGTCAACTCTCACGTCGGACTCTCGAGCGGCTCGTCCGACAGTTCCAGCTACGTGCTGCCGATCTCCTCGGGATCCTACCCGGGCTCCGGCTCCTCCGGCTCCAGCTCGTACACGAACTATCTGCCGGCTCAGGCGGACGGTAGCAGCGGCTCCTCCGGCTACTCTAGTCCCAGCGTGAGCTACGCGCCGCCGAGCTCGAATTACGTGAGCGCCAGTCCCGATTACTCGGCCGCCGGCTCCAGCTACTCCGGCTCCAGCTACTCCGGTCCGGCTTACGGAACGCCCGGAACGTCCAACTACGCGCCCGCATACGCCAGTCCCTCCGGCTCGTACAGCGCGGAGTCGCAGGCTGCCTACTCCAGCGTGAGCCCGAGGTACCTGGGATACGCGAAAGCGTACGACAGTCTGGACTCCGGAAGCGTCAAGTACGACACGATCTCGTACTCGAGTCCTAACGGGAAATATTGACTTAATTAACACTTCGTAAGACCTCCTTTTTATCTTTCGCTCTAACGCTATCAGGCTCGCTCGCAGCCGCTTAAGTATGGTAATTAAGGAATCAGCGTGCGCTCCGGGCGATGAGCAAGCCGAACTCATCGCGATTTCACATTGTCCATTTAACGAAATCGATGCTGACGCGATCTTGCCATGAGACGTAATAATGACCCCGCCTCCGATTATTCGATCGATCATTTACCGAAGCAGATCGGACGATGACGTGTAAGCGTTGGAAGCGATCGCAGCGAAATCCCTAAGAGAGAGGAAGGGTTGTCAATATATATTTATATTTTAATCTTCTATTGTAAAACTACATAGATTCGTACTGTAATAGTATTTAATGCAAAACGCGTTTTGTCTATTTATATCGCCGATAGATGTTATAGTTTATCCCTTTCTGTTGTATATCCCCCGTGTATCACCGACGATTGTGATTCTTGTTGCATAGTTTTATACGTTTTTTTTTATAATAAAACAGTTGATTCCGACAGATTAATTAAACCCACTTCAGATTTCCGAAAACTGCTCGTCTAGGAGTATATAATAGCGTCGAACAAATAACGACTTGATAAATAGCTACCGACGTTTATTGCTAATTCATTCATCACGATCACATGTAAATCCTTTTTCTCATTTGCGAGATTTAACGTCGTTAATTCATGCATCTTGTTTAGTTCTGCTGTTTGTAAGACTCGTTCCGCGTTCTAATTTTTTGCCTATTAATGAAAAGTAAAAGACGCACCTGGCAGCCGAGATGGTCGAAGAAATTGGAAAAGTGAAAGTAGAGAATCGATGTATCAAATCCTATCGTGAGGCGCGTGAATTCGCATACAATTAAAGAGATAGTTTCTATATTTAATTATCTCCCGCAATTAAGATTATAATTAGATACATATGGGGCGCCGGTTTACTTTCGCGTCCGCATTTGCGAGCGCGTTCGGAATAATCGGCTCGGCAAGCGTGACGGAAGGTAAGGCATGTGTCGGAAGACACTTATCTGAACAGTTCTAACGCAGACGTTGTTGTCCGTCAGAGTAATTGATGCATTCAGCAGCGAAGCGACGTGACGCGGACAAGATGCGACGAGGTGCTTTTGCTTTTATTCGCTCGCGGCGCTACTGTGAAAGTTATTGGCCGCGTACGACGCGCGCGCACGCGAGAGAGAGAGAGATAGAGAAAAAGAGAAAGATGTATGTATATAATTGTACTTTTATATAACAATAAAAACAAGTCCGCCCAACGGGCAAAAACGGGATCACTTTTACTCCAAGGCCGGGATATTCAAGATAAGCAGGTTTTTCCCTAAACTGTTATCTTATTTGTGGAAAAGCGCCTACCGGCTGGCAAAAACGATTGTGTGGGCTTATCTTTAATGCGATTTGCGTAGAAACTGGCAATCTCCATGTGCAATAACAGTATATTCTTATATATTTATTATACGTTGAAGAATATGAAATATTCACCACTCTTTCATGGAAGAAAATATTTTCCTAGCATATTTCTCAGTTATTATGAGAATAATAAAAAGATTTGTTACACGGGCAAAATAATTTTATTGTCGCAGCAAAACGTTCAGTTGGCATAACCAAAATTATTTTGTCGTCTAACAAGTATATCCAGCGAACAACAATTAATACTTTTAACGAATCTTTTCGCTCTCCGTGCAGTAACTGAGATATTCGTAGTGCCAGCAAGATATTTCTTCTGTATTCACAAATCAGTAGTTTGCCGAAAGTTATTTTTTTACTTTACCCACAATACTTTTATAAACATTTAGATCGAAGATTTCGTGAAGAGAGATTCAAAATGTAAACTAGTTCACCACAATTCGAGCGACAACGCGCGTAATGTTATATCGAATGTTATCATATCCTTATACGTTACGTGAAAGACAGAGAGAGAAAGAGAGAGAGAGAGGGGGAGGGAGAGAAGTCGTATTAGCATATTCTAATTTAAATCGCGGATTGACAGCGGTGTTCGCTTGCTCGGGAGCGACAGGCTTACGGTGAATTGATTAATCACGGCGGATCGTACGACGGGAACGATCACCGTTTCGTTAATCGAGTTTTCGACCACAAGACCGGAGATATGGAGCCGCCCACGCAAGAAAACGATTCCAGTAACGCGACGATCGCGCGTTACTCCTCGTGCGACCCAGTTTCCTGTGCTCCGCGTATACCTGGACACGAACGCACCGACGCACGCGAGCGCGCGTGCAGCTTACGGACGACACGAAGAGAGCCACACGCACAGCTCCAATGCGCAGCTCGGATGTACGATCTAGACGATATTCCATGATATCCGGCAACCGGTCGTTGTATCTCGCTTGTAGAAAACGCGCACGTTTCACTATTTTCCGACTGGTCTCGCGAGCGGCACGCTCCTTGCTCTCACGCCCGGCGCAGCGAGAGCGGGAAAAGTACGCTCTTACTCTTCGCGAAGGCGTTCCCTGGGCTGGACCTCGTCACGCACCTCTGAATTGATCCCGGTGCAAGTGTCCACCCTGTCTGCTGACTGGGAGATTCACTTTCGTAGTGCACCGACCCGTAACACGAGTTTTTATCTCCTTTTGGAGTAACGGTGAAGGCTCTACGAGAGTAACGACCAAAGGGCCATCGCGGGGAGCTGTAGGAAATATCTCTTTAACAGAAAATGAAATAAGAAATTCAGTCTTTGAAGATTTCAGAAGCCGCGAATTCTGTAATCGGAAATTTTGTGGACTCTACCTGGCATATTGCAGTTTTTAAATTTTCAGAAATACAGTTTATTATGAAATTATCAAATTTCGAAAAATTATTTCTGTCACGAAAAATGATTTACCAAAATAAAATTTTACAGTTTTTCATTTGTGAAGCTTTATGAAAAATTAATTTATTAAATTAATAAAATTAATCGATACAATTAATGAAATTAAATTAAATTAAATGATATGGAACGTTATTAATAACTTTTATTAATGCTATGTTATTTAACGAACGATAAGTTGCATTAAAAAAATATATATCGATGCAAAATTCATGAAAAATACCAATTAATATAATTTAAAAAACTGTACAGTGTTTTGCACGTGCTTTCGTACGACACAAAGAAAATATTCTTCACTTTAGAGAAAAAGGAAAAATGATAACGAGGATGTGTAATTGCGAGAGAGTTTATGGATAATTTTTCTTTGAATACCGTCGCGACGTAATCGTTCTAAACGCGGTATCGATCACGTCGTTATCGAAGGTGTGGCAAGGATCCGCTATTGGGAAGCGGCGCGCAGGTGAAAGTAAAGTAAATCGAGGGGAGACGTTTCCAAAGGCACGAGACCGTCGCGAAAGGCGTTGTTCAAGCGAGATTGGAAAGATTCTTCGAGGACGCCGGAGGGTGCTCCACTTCCTGGATCGATCCTGAGCGACCATCACCTTGTTCTCCGGCTAGCGGTCTTTAGTCAAGCCAGTCCAGACTTTCGCGAAAATCATGCATTGCCAAGTACATCCGTAGATTTCCTTGTTCGATGTCTCGCGGCAGCCAATAGATAATTACCGCCTGATTATCGTCTAATCATCGTCGGGGTCGAAGGGCCCTTTATCGGAATTCTGCTCATTTCCTTGTAACGTCTAACGGACAGGCGATCGTCCGATATCCGCTGCATCAGGTGATGGTGGACCAGCCCATCTCGCGTTCCTCGGCTGACGGCGATCGAACGGCATTCTATATATTTTCACTGCGCCACCGGGGCGCGCACTATCACTTCTAGGCCTACATATAAGAGCAGAGAAATGTTAAACTAGTTTCCGCGATTTTTCCGACGACTGGGTATAAAGGAGAAATTCAATGTCCGGCGATGTGTCATTAAAGGTGGAACCGTCGCGTCGGTCTGATCTTGCGAAATTGCTGGCGGACGAGAAGTCGGATGAGATAGCGATTGAATTGTGGAAGAAAGCATAGCCTCGTGCTCGTCCAACGGCGACAAGTGAACTGTGGCGGAGATGGAGCGGCTGGTTGGTATAAATCGATAAACTCGCTAATTAATGGAAAAATATTCTATTTTATTACAGCTTACCGCGCTAATTGAATTGGTGTCTGATTCTCTTTAGACGGCTTAAGAATTTTTACTACCAATAGACATTTCAAGGAATCTCGTCACTTTCACATACATAAGTAATTTTGCTCAACACAAAAAAATATTTTGAGTTTATAAAATTTTTTTTTTCTATTTTAGCGTTTTTACGTAGAAATCTCGTTCTTTTTTTATTTATTTAATTTCATTTGACGTGATGACTTGAATTAAATGATTGGAAGATAAAAAATTTGCGAAAAGAATGAATTATAAAAATAAAGAGTAAGATCAAATCTGTATATATATTTTTGTAATACTATTATAGGTAATTGATAATAATCTTTTTCCAATGATATACAAAAAAAATTACCAAACCATAATTGATTTTATGCGAACAGGAATACAATACGATTTAATTGCAGATACTGTTCTTGCTGTCACCGGTAATTTTCGCTGAGCCACTTAAAATCAACGATCCTAACGACGAGCCGTTTCTACCGATATACCCCAGCTACCCTTACAACCCTAAGCTAATCAAACGGGGCGCCGAGCGAGAATTAGTATCGCAATTAACGCCCGGGTCCTACGAAGCGCCGAAGGAAGATGCGAGGGATCCCTACGGCACCGGCTACAGCGACAATTACCAAAGAGACTCCTACTACCCCAATTATGACCCCTATCCTAAAAATACCTCGCCCTCACCCACCTACATGTACTACAACGAGGATCCATACGCGTACACCGGCTCGCCATACGCGACCTACAACCCGTATCCTACGCCGTACACGGTGAATCCTGCGGCGTATCCGACGTCCTCGTATCCGGACTACTATTACCAGCCATCCTATTACTATCCTCATTACTACAATCACGCGCTATTTCCGCCGCCGCCGATGCCGCCGCCGCCACCGCCGTCAGAAAGCGTCGATTATCACGAGACGTCGCAGGATCCTGCCGAGACGGAGGACGACAAGCGGGACAAGGAGAACTGGGGCAAGAAGACGAAGGAGGACGAGATGGGTCAAAACGCGTCGGCGGGCCAGTTCGTAGACGGCGGAAACTACATATCCGGCAACACGAGGGATCTCGACGTGCAGTCTAGCACGTACAAAGTAGCCAGCCCGTACAATCAACTGGAGAAAGACGTTCGGCCGGAGAGCCCGTCGATTCCCTTACCGAAGACGACGTACAGGGTGATCAGCGTGGCGGGACAGCCAGTTGCTCCGGACTACCCGTTGCCCGCGCAGTACGTCAAGGCTCAGCAAATGGAGCAGCTGATGAGCGACACGTTCGCCACGTTATTAGCACAGAACGTGCAACAGCAAACGGATCACCCTTACAGTAAGGACACTCTGAGTGGCGTCAACGACGAATCGCACGGCAACCAGGACACCTACAACCCGAATACATCGCACTCGGATACAGACGCACAGCCGTACGTGGCCGGCGTAAGAACCAAGGCCGGTGGTGCGGCTTACGTGGTAAACTCCGAGGGTATCGCGAAAGTCAACGGGGAAGGGGCGAGTCCTCAGGTGTCCTCGTCTCAAATCACTTCGAGTAAAAATACCAAGTACCCCGGTAACCTGTACATACGGAAGCCGGCGACGCAAACGACCCTGGAGCTCTCCAAAACAACGTACGTTCCGCAACAAAGCAAACGCAGCAAGCAACATCGCGATCGAGTGGTCGACAGTCAGCCGGCCGATCAGTCGGGCGAATACGACGCTTATGACGCCTTGCAAAGTTACACCAGCACCCTGAGTCCGTTCGGGAACAAGCGGGAACAGAGTTACAGGAAGCATCAGAAACAAGCGGACTCGTATCGGAGTAAGGATTTCGTCGCCTCCCCTCAGCTACCCCAAGCTTACAGCTATCAGTACTCGTCTTACGAAACGGATCAGCCGCGGCAGCTACAAGACAGCGTAAAGTCGGCCGACGGCAATTTCGGAGTTAAGCGGTATAACAAGAGCTGAAACTTGCCGATTCACTTGCGACGAACGTATATGCGACACAGGGCGGTAGAAAGATGGTGCTATTATACGTAAGATAAGATGTACATTACCTTGTTGTTATTGTTTCATACTTGTGCGAAGTCGTCCAATTCACGCACATTATCCTTCCATTATTCTCAGCGATCTTTTCCAAGACGCTTTGTGTATCAGGTACTCGGTTAATATTTATTAATGAGGCGTTTACTTTTCACGCGAGAAATTTCCCTCGTTGTGAAACTCGTGACTGAATCACAATATTGTACGTTGCATAATTTAGTTGCCTTCTCGATTAAACGGCGAATCGCAACTGCGAGATAATCCCGTCGCGTAATCTCTTGATGCTCCGAAACGAATCTACGTTTATATAAAAAATAAATACCGCGTTATCGCTCGTGAGGTGTAATTACGAGATGAAACGAATTACATTTTCTACCTTCACTCTGCGGAATATGGAAAGAAACATATCCACAGTGCGCTTTCTAATTCGTTATAAATGGAGTTAAGTCTGTTCTCGAATAAAAAAATACTCGAGCATTATCCGCAACTGCGAGCAGACAGATGAGAAGAGACTCGCCGTTCCAACATTCAGGTGTTTCCAATGATTTACTTTCGCGTGAACAACTGGATGAAAGGTCCGCTCGCAGGTGTACTGATTGCGAATTAATGCGATTGTACCTATATCATTTCTCCGATCAGATTTATAGTACTTTCTTTTGCGCGAATAGCGATTTGTCTCTCTATACTGTCGCAAGGCGCGTAAATGGATGGTCGATGGTGAATTTGAAAATTCACAAGGCGTGAAAAGAACGCGACACAACAGTGTTTCTTTCCCCCAAAAGTGATGTTTATGTATCAGGACGCGTGACGAATCTCTTGCGGAGTTAGAAAGTCGCAATGTCGCGTCGGGGTCTGACCCAGTGTGACCCACGATTATGCGATCTATTTATAAAGCGTACGCGTTCTACATACAGGCAGATTTTGTATTCGTTTTGTAGTCACTAGTAATAAACGATCGTTTATGTTCGCTTTGACGTCTGCACTCCTTTCTCTTCAGCCTGAGTACTGCTAACCGGTTTCCCTTTTTTAGTTCCGTACGTTACTTTCGTTCGATGAGCGATGAGATCTCGTCGCTTCTTTTTTTCATCGCTGCCGCGTCCCTTTCGACGTAAATTATACGCGCCATCGTCACATACCGCGGAGTACACGAAGATCAAAGCGATCAAGATACGGAAAATTATACGGGTTTCAAGAATGAAGCGTATCGCTTCATAAAGATAATACGCTTTATGCGTTGAGTAATTAATGCGTACGCGATATTAAACTTTCATTTCCTACTCGGAGCCTACAATGTTACCGAAGTCTATGCATTTTGCTGAAGGTGCTCGGAGTTTTTCTTCAAAGATGGTGAAATTCATGTCCTCGAACATTCACGTAGTAAGAATATGGATAAGGACGTATTACTTATCAGTGCCGTATGTTCAGTGGCGTATCAAGGAGGTTATTCATCAATTTCGTATTTATCAAACAGAATTACGTTCTTATACGTTTATTTCACAGCCTAAATTAAAAATGTTAATTTGAAACAAAGTTAACGTAGATATATGCACATAATATTACAAATATGAAAATATTACTTTAAATTTTTCTTATTAACGCTGTATTGATGTGTTAGTTAATCTAATTAATAGAAATACATAAATAATATTTCAATGCATGCGCAGTGCAAGTTTCATCGAATTTTTATCAAATTTATATCAGCTTATAGCCTCTTGGAATGGAATAACTTTCGATTCAAGCTCTGAATAACCATCAAATTTGTGGTGTTGCTTTTAAATGCAATGTCGATCGATTTATAATTTTACCGTAATTTTTTCATTATTTCAAATAGGTGACACACTCTTAAACATCAAGTTTCACATTACAATGTATATTTCGAACCACATGCAAAACACAATCCCGCGCGAGTTGCCCACGGTTGGAAAAACGCGTAGAAAGTTTAACGTTTGAAAGAAGCCAGCGTAAGTGAGCGGTAAATTCGTCACAGACAGACCAAGAAGATGCACAAAGTTGACAACTTTATCTGGAAAGTCTACAAGATTATCAGATGACGCGCCGCATTTCTCGACCGGCGGTGAATCCGTCTCTGCTAATTAACCCCCGTACGCTGTACGTTCTAATTTATCTCGTTAATGCCGCCCCGCTCTGTTCGGTCGTCTGAACGCGTCGCTAATTAATCGTTTGGAATTGGTCGTCTCTTTTACCGCCTTGGCGCGAACGTGGAATCACCCGAGTCACGGTCACGGCTCCAGAGAGAGGAAGAGATCCGGATCGTGGCAACGTCCGGTTGAACGTTCGGGCGTCGGCCGTGATGGAAAGGGGAAATGAGGCGCGATCCCGTCCATTCGAATCAGGTCCGGCGCACCGAAAGGCGATCGGCGAGATGAGAATGTTGACGAACTGCCTCTTTTTGAATTTCATAAAACTTGCCGCGTTTGCGGAGGCAATGCGGAAAGTACGGGGACAACGGTGGGAAAAAGAGAACAGGGGAAAATTCCGTTTAAAAGGAGAGACGCGTTTTAGGCTGTTTCATTTGTCTCACGGGATGTCTGGGGACGATTTTGCGATATCATCGATCGTTAATTCACACGTAATTGATGGTGCGATAAAATTGCTGCTTAATCACGTAGACTTGATTGTTGCGAATGAGTAGGTAAAACCGGACGTGCAGTTGGAGGAAATCCCTTTTATTACCGACGATTATTCCGATTGCGCATAAAACAATATGAGCAACTTTTCAACCGGCATATTTTATCGGTTTATGCGAGGCACGATAGATCTTGTCGACGATCCTGACGCGAATGTACATCAGGCGAGTAAGTGAGAGCGCCGTGGCGCGACGTTTTACTTTATTTTGCGCATTCCCCGTGTGCGCGAACATGCCGATGGTTTAAAATAAAATCGGATGGACCGAGCCTGTTACTTTCTCGCGGCGATTCGATCTCGCGATCGGCAGGATACACGGTGACCCGAAAGCTCGAGTGTTACTCCTCGCTGAAAGCGTCGATATAAATTCCGGATAACGAGGTTGCAGCTTTTGGCGAAGGAGGTAGAAAGTGCTACGCACACGCGTACATATTCGTTACTGCGACCGAAGCATTATTTTCTCTTTATGTTTATGAGCCGTCGTGCGTCGCGCGAGCGAACAAACATTATTTGCATTCCAGCGCTAGGGAATGGTTACATTAAAAAATAAATAATGTTGTGATGATAAAATTTATTTACGTGGGAAATACGTGAGAGAGCCGCCTTTTATTCGTCATTTTACCGCAATTATGCGCCGCTCGCTCCATTTCTTTCAAAGTCGTTTTTCGGCGAGCGTGCCACGCGTGCGATGCAACATTTGTTTTTATAGCATTTTTTAGATACCTTATATTTTATATTATGTTTCCTTAGGGGGTTAAATTAATACGATACGCTATCGTGTATCATTGTTTCGCGGGATTTTAGATAAATATTAACATTTTAACCAGAAAACGCGAATACGCGAATTTTTCGAATTATGCGTATCTTAAAATTTTATATACACACGTTATATGTAGCGATATAAATATAAAAAATAAACCATGTCATTCACAGTTATTTCCCGCACATTAATGGAGTGTTAATTCTTCTAATATTCCTAAGTTTTCTAATATTTAGAAATTACTCAGAGCCGCATATATTACATCAAAGAGAGAGGGAGAGATAAGTGTATGCAAATGACGATCACATAATTTGTTGATAATTTCGAAAGTGACTCGCGGCGTGGTTTTTCAGTTGGGTCCGGTATAAAAAATTTGGTAGATTGCATCGCGGAATTGGTGGACTGTAAGCGAGCACATCGGTCGAAATCGAGAAAGCGCGATCAGCTCGAAAGGTCAGATTTTGCATTTTTTTCGTCGCTTCCCCAAAGTTATGCTCGGTCTCGTTGGAACGTCGCGTCGATCTTTCTCGCTTCCGGATTACCGCACGATCCTACTCCGTTCCTCATTTTTACGTGCATCTCATCAGAGCATGCATTGGATAAGCGGCCGAGAAAGTTCTCTGACTTAATTGCAGTTAATTCGTCGCAAGTGTAGCCGCGCCGGCGAATGTTTGATGAAGCAGTGCGTAATCGGTATATAAGGATACCATCCACACCCGCGGTTGACGGTAGAAAGTTCCGGTCTCGACTGGTCCTCCTCCTCCTGCTCCTCCTCCTTCTCCTTCTCTTCCGCTTCGGCAGGTGGATTCTACCTGGGAATGTCCGAGGAAAGGGTCCGCCTTTGTGCGACTCGACCGGCGGAACACTTCGACTTCTGCACAAAGAGAGTGAGATCAACAAAGAGATCGCGAGTCATTACGAGACCTCCTTTCCCTTCCGTGACTCCCGACTGCATCGATCACTCATTTTTGCCGGGATCTCTCGTGTAAGAAAAGCGGCTTTCCTGGCCCAGCCCTTTTTCCCATTGTCTGTTTCAGACGGTTGGGCCTTCCGTTTATGAACTTTCGGGAACACCTTACAGCACGATATGTCGTCGATAAGGAATTATCCGGCTGGATAGACTCGTCGGCTAACCCGCTGTCTTCCGATATCGATCAGTCGGACGGCACGGTGAAAAATCATTCGAATATCCAATGCGATCTTCTGCATAGTTCTGTAATGTGATCCCACAGGCTGTCGGCGGGATCGCTTTCGCCAATTACATCGTTTAATAGAATAATGATTCGTCGTTATGTAATCTTGGAAAATACGAGAAAAGTTAACGAGCTTGGATCTGTCACCGTTGGTCTCGTAAAATCAAGCAGCGTTCTAGCTGCACGATCTCCCGGGGTGAAAAATGAACGTAATTAAAAATAGCGGTTAATTTATACCGACATTTTGTGCGTATATCTCATATGTTAGTATTTCACATCCGACAAGAGAATTTTGGTAGTTTAATATTAATGTTAAAGTGCCAATATTAAAGTGCCTTAAGAGGATTAAGGATAAAAATTACTTGAAAGTTACATCAATTATATCATTTGAACAGTTATGTCATTTAAACGCAAGTTGACCGATTTATCGGGAATGTAATTTTTGGCGAGTTATTTTCAAATACGGCTGCTTCATGCGGATTCCGAAGATACATCGTTGCGTTCAAATCATGTAATGGGATCGCGTGTCCAGATCTTACAGCTCAATCTCGCATGCGACTATTAGACACGCGGTGGTGAGAATAATCCACTTTTCCACAAGTGCGTACGCCATTATGCCATTCAATAATCGGAAACCGCTACTTCCTGCGTGACTACATCGATCATTTTCTCCATTGTTCGGAAAGATATACAGACGTTGGCGCTTGTTTCTCATTATGCCGAGCCTGAATTAATAAACTTTCGGACGATTTAGACGCACGTTACTTATCTTGGTAATCGAGTTGCAAATGAAATTTCTGGTGAAGATTAATTGAGAATCGTCCGAATGATCGCTTTTCTTTATTTATTGTTATTTTACTACTGTTATCTTCGGTGCTTAAATCACTAAGCCGATTTTTATTCTATCATTTGATACGCATAAACGAACTTTGTTATGTACATTTTACTATTTATTACGCAAAGATTAATTTTAAAAGATTAATTTTAAGCTCGCTCACATTCCGTGTTACGTTGCAACGACGCTGTAGATAAAAAAACTTTATATAATTTGGCCTACTTTACGTTTTCCTAATCTGGCTTAGTTACTAAATGTACGGTTGAGACGCACTGACTCGTTCACAATTAGCAATTTAATGAACTGAATAATCGGGCACGATAATTAGCGCCGTTTTAAGGTGGTGGAAAAACTGGAGGCGATTTACGTGGCAAGATTACCAGTGCCGATAGTGCTACTACGTCGGGCACTTAACGCACCTTCCTCCGAGCCACGCGCAACGCAATCGGCGGTTCGCAAGCTACCACGATTGCACAGGCGACTCGCGTGGAAGGACGATAATGATTAAGTAGGTGAAGCTTATTTTCAGTTTGATCTCTTCGACGATACATCACGTTCCCACGAGATTGCGATTTAATAACTCTTTTCCTATTAATCTTGTTCCGACGGCGCGTTTAAGTATGCCGTATCTGTATTCTGCAGAAAAATTCGTTTTCTGCTGTCGTCTTGATGGATGCAAAATGAAATGTTCTAAACGAAATAACGTATCCTCATCTATCAATTACAGATTCGTTGAAAAAATTGCGCTTTCTAATTCACGAAGACTTTTGCTATACATATGAAAACGTTTTGCATAAGTGCAGGTTCTTCGTATATATCTGAAATTATTCGATCGCTCGGTTGACGAGGCTGAATATTTAACAGTTGACGGAAATTTACCTTACACTTTTCTCCTAAACTTGATCTTTTATATCTATAATTAGTTTCCTAGTTTAAACGAATAATCTATAATATCGTGTGGAAATATGTTCGTTGAAAATAATATCAAGAATCGGCACGAATGTAAAAGTAATTGATTCTCCCGGTATCGTGAAGAATGCGGTATCATTTATGTAGGACATTAGTCACACATTCTCTGGAATGAGTTCCAGTCGTGCGATCTAAAGAGGCGAGGAAGCAATTTGTCGGATATATTCACTTTTACTCGAATTGCGATGGAATTCTTTACGATGTGGTCCACGACCGACACGGATTATCACACACGCTTTAATCAAGAAGCGAAGTGTAGCTCCATGTAGGGGATGCAGTGGGTAGGGGTAAAGGCTATATAAGAGAACGCACGTCTGCTTCGGTTTTATAGTAGAGCTAGGTCCTTTGTGTCGTGTCTGTATTTTTCGGTATATTTGCAATATGGTAAGTATGCCGCTTTGACTGGTTTCCTTTAATACCTCAGCGGGATAAAACCACAGATTATACAACCGCAGCGCGGAGAAATGTATAATTTTACCGGCGAAAAGGGGTATTCCGTAACTTGATTATTGACGAAAACATTCATGGGATAAACTTTCTTTTATAGAAATACATATTCATGAAGCAAAATCGCGCTAAAAAGAAAGTTATTTCCGTCACCCATGCGGCATATTTTGTCAAATAGAAAAATTTGAAATAACATTTAGAACGTTATCGTAAATCCGTGAAATTTTCACATAATTTTTGCACGCCCTAATCTTTCTTAAAAAATAAGTCGAAATCGTTTATTTAGTAGTTTATAAAATGTGTGCTGTTATACAATCCTCTCGAGCTTATACGTGACTTCTTCGTGATACGTGGCATGGTTGTACAATCTGAGTGAAAATATATTAAAGAGCAATAAAAAAAAAGAGAAAGAGACTCGTCCCCGTGTGCGTGCGGTGATACACTTGTTTGGGGGAGTGGCTCGCCCCATCCGAGAAGGAACGGCCGCAGTCTATATAAGAGTGGTCCATGCCGGATGTTTGACCCAGAACTTCGCGTGCAGTGAAAGTGTGCCCGGTGCAAATATATTTTTGCCGGAAACAATAATGGTGAACACATAATATAATTAGCCGATAATTCGGGATTATCGATTGTTTCGAGTATGAGTATAAGCGATTATCATTACACATTGTCATTACACTTAAATTTTTTTCAATTTTATATTATATGTTATCTCTATGCTCATATATGTAAATATTCGTGCCTGTAATAACATTGTTATAAATAATCACTTTTTCATTATAAAGTAATAACAACAATTGAGAAAAATGAGAACGCATTCATATGATATATAATTGTTCATAAACATAAAAGTATAAATGTATACTTTCGGGATTATATTTGTACTCCTTACGTTATTATATACGTACAAAGTATCCCAGATCAATATGAACAAATTTCGTGAGAGCATAGAACGAATTGAGGTGAACGAAAAGATTCTCCAATATTTTGCGAATAGCACGCAAAATTTCGAGTTACTTATTATTGAAAATGACCATGTATAGAGGCTTTTTTAAATTAATAAACTAAAAATTTGTTAAAAATGATAAAGGACTGTTTTAATCAAAGTGGCTTGATTTACAAATATATAAACAATTGTTGTATCTAACAGCAAATATTAGTACATTGAACTTTGAACTTCGATTCTTGAACCTGTCGCTAAGTACAACCGCTATCAGGTACTTGCAGATTAGGCCATTCTAAATAAATAAGTCTTTATCATTATAATACGCAAATAACACGCAAATTTTTAAGTTATTAATTAAAGAAGCCTATATACTTGGCCAGTTTCAATAAGTTTCAATAGTCAATAACTCGAAATTTTGCGTGTCATTTGGAAAATGGTAGAAGACTTTGTTCACCTCAATCCGTTTTACTAAGTTTACTCTCACTAAGTTTGTTCATGTTGATTTGGAATATCCGTAGATTGATAATTTATTAATACGTTCTTTTCACAATTGCATATGTATAGCCAGAAGAGAACTTTTTAGGAAATCCATAATCTCGCAATTTTTATCGGACTGTAATAAAGCTAATAAAGCTATAAAGCTGTATAAACTTTAATGAATTTATTAAAGCTTTTATCAAAGCAATGTAATTGTATGTTATCGGTGCTCAAAACGTTTCGATATAATGATACATTTCCTTCGCTTATATACGCGTATATCGAGAAAATAATTATCTTTTTCTCTTCCTATGTCACGTTAGGAGTATTATTTGTACAATTTTGCATGTGCAAAGTTATGCATTATCGGCTCATATAATTAGGGGGAAAAAATATAAAAAGGTCTAATTAGAAAAGAAGGGTGCAATATTAAGATTGATAGCAATTTCAACTTTCACTTTCCATTACAGAAAGTCTATTTAATATTGGGTTTGCTGGTAACGGCTGCGTGTGCCGAGAAGAAAATTAATTTAGAAGATATCGAGAGAGATAATCTGAGGGCGGAGAGTAATGCCAAAGCCGAGAATATCCATGACGAAACAAAGTACGCCGTTAAACCCAATGTTAACCAGCAGCAATATCAAATACCGAGCCAATATAATAATTTAGGTGGCCATCTCGATGGGGGATCATACATCTCTTCCCAACAATACCAGGATTTAAAATATAGTGTAAGATGTTAATTGAATATTGTTACATACAAATAATAATAATATAAATAATAATATTGTTGCGTATAAATTTCACTTACTTTCGTTAATTTTCGGCATTATTTTAAAATATCCATTAAAAAATTAAGATAAAAGTTATTGTGCAATAAATGTGTTTTATACTATATTTTATGTCACATTGTTATAATTTACATTTAACAACGTTCCTATCGTTTTCTTGTTTTGTTATCGTTAGCAGGTGCCGCCTGAGCAATACATTCAACCCAATCAATATGCTGTTCACGAGGCACAATACCAGCAACAAAATCAAATTCCACCGCAGCAAAATATTCCGCCAATACAATATTACAACGGATATCAACAGCACGTGGAGGTACCTGCGAAAGGCGTTGTATCGAGTGCCTTCGAATCTCAGAAATTCAGTTACCAACCGGAAGTAGTGGTAGGCAATCACATTCAAAGTGTTCAGCAAAAAGCAGTCACGGAAAAATACACAAATCCTGTTAGCAAAGGTAATGCGAAAAGAGAAAGCTATCTATTATCATTTTTAATTTACATTTCATGTCATAATATTTCTTTAGTGACTAGACGGAAATTTTATTTGTCTTTCAAAATCGTAAAATTATACTATTAAGAGATTGGAAAAAAATCTTCAGTAATTATTCAATATTCAGAGAGAAGTATTTTTTAATCTTAAGAATTCTTGAATCCTCTGAAGAAAGTGAAACGATAAAATAATAATGCTAATTATTAGAAATATACGCGTGAAATACACTTTCTCGTTTCCAGGAACTATTTATCTCGATGCTCCAGCGACACAACTGTTTTCTTACTATCCTTATTTAAATATTAATTCCGTGGATGCGAAAGGTGTCGGATTGGTTCAACCTTCATTACATAACTTACCGAACGCAATTCCGCAAATTTCCGTACCTGTGTACACTCCTGTATACAACCAAAAACCATTAGTTTCTCCTATCAAAACGCCCTTTCCATACCCTACGGTCGTACCAACAACACTCCCGTCCAAGGTAAATTTAATTTGTATTTTCAACAAGCACGTAATTATTATTAATTATTATCGTAATTATTATTGTATGTCTTTATATAAATATTAAATCATATAATATCTATTACGTAAATATTATATTATAATATTATGATATAAATATTTATATAAGTCTGAACAATTCGTTAATAACATAACCATAAATGTTTCAGGTGACGAAAGGACCGGCTTATACACTTCCGGTCACGTCGAAAAAGCTGAATTCGTCTCCCTTGCCGGCCGTACCTTTGTACGTTCCACCCCAACAGTCGTTTGCTCAGGGAAAAAAGCTGTTGTACACGCAAGCTTACGTCGCGCCCTCGCAGCCGCAATACATACAACAATTAATTTACACGCAGCCCGGCGTGGTTTACACCGATCCCACCGCCGCTTACAGTGATCTCTACGCTCGTATACCAGCGTACGTTCAGGAAAATTCTCTTCACGGTCAAGTAAATCAATATCAAACTCAGCAACAAGTATACGTTACACCAACGATTGGCCATGAAGCCCCGAAAGAGGTACTGCAGGAGCAAGTCGGCCAAGAACTTCCACAGGACTACATCAAGGTCCGTATGCATGTGATAGACTTTGATAGATAGAATGTTGAACGAAGCAAATGAGATAAGAATGAATTTGTCCATTATCGACATTTCGTTCAAACAACGTGACTGACGTGATGACGTTGTATTTATTAGGGACAACCTGAGTTCTAGTGGAAATAATAGTTTTATATAACTCACGCTTTAGTCGACGGGATTATAATTGGAGATTTAAATTACGAGCGACATCGTTAGCGGACTAATTAACATAGTTTAATTAGCTCCTTCGCACGATGTCGTACACCGGGAATGGCATGTATTTTTCACACGCGATGTTTTATTTTTTACTTTTATTTTCAAATAAAATGGATAATTGTACGCTGATTCTTATAAAATAATTGAGCGCATCTGGAATTAAAATTAATTAAGAGAGAAATAACATTAACTTGATTTAGTAACAACGAGATAAAGATTACGCACTTTTCTTTTAATAGCTTTTTCATCTGTTCTCCTTGAAACATTATATTGCACTTTAAAATGTAGAAAGTCTCGAATATCGCATGGAAATTTCATCGGATCACGTTAAATATATTTGCGATATTTTGTGATATACTCGACACGTCTACGGTTTCCTTTCAATCTTTCAGCTCAACATGATGCAAAAATTTGAATGTAACATTTGTTCTGAGCAGGTGCCCGATGAGCCCAAAACTCACTTTGTACCGCCGCAGTTGCCGCCGCAGAATTTCAAACCAGGCATTACGCAACTGGAGCCTGTTTCCTACGAAGATGAGGAGTCTTTGCAAGTGAAAGATCACTCCTTGTCCTCGGGGCCGAAGTCGCTTCTTGATACGTACATTCCGAGCAAAATCATCGCGTCTCAGGATGGTGCCAGGTATGCTAGTGAGAGCAACGAGACGCATTAAAATACATCTCAGTATTATACTTACCTGTCGTAACTATCGTTATAGGTACAGGGAAAGGCCGATAACATTGGAAGGGGGTTTTCTCCCCTCGAAAGTGAGTTTTGCGCTTAAGAAGCGCAAGTCCGAGTAACGGGGACCGCCGCGAATGGCGTGACGATTGACGAATGTCATATACAAGGGTCAGTACCAATACACGGGAATTCAATTACTAGCGATTACGACGACCGAGGCATACGTGGACAATATCGAAGATGCGCTGTCCGAATCTCGAGACCGGCGACATCGTCGCATCTAGTCTTTCATTGAAGATTATGCAAACTCTATGCTGTTCTCCTTTACATTTGTAGAGACGCGTCCAGTGAGCGGTGTATTTTGTTTACGATTTTTCAATAAAACTCTAAATAAAAATATAATTGGTAATCTTTTTTCCTCAACCTGCATAGAAAAAGTCGTAACAAAAATATATTAGTAGTATTATTAATGATATAATATGTTATACTTAATAATGTAGTCACTTGCACATCTGTCTTATTAAAATTTTACATATGAATATGCTTTGTTTTATGATATATTATACAATTCAACAAAAAATAACTTTCTTTTTACCAAAACGAGACTAGTCATTGACTAATCGAACTGTTGCAAAAATTTACGTTTAGAGGTTTTATGACATTGAATCCAAAGTCAAAATTGACAAATTCATAATGATGAAATTAGTATTTGATAAATCGTCAATGATACAATTCACAGCTTTTCCGCGATAGTCCCTATATTTAATTATGAATATCTTATTAACTATAACCTACATAAATAATTCCTTTTAAGGGCTGAAAGCCCGAACAACATAACTTAATTTTGATTGCAATAAAACTTCTCCAGCGCGCTACTATCGTAATTATAACTAAATACGTGAAAATAGCCTTTTTCTTAATTTTAATTGCAAATTCTTCAAAATTGTGAGGTGATAAAGCAACTTAGAAATCGGATTCGTATTTAGCGTCTAAAAAACTATGTATGTAAATATAATAACTAGTCTCGTTCTAGTATTTTTTTTTATTGAACTGTATTATTATTCCATTTGTTGTTCTATATATTTTACTATTTATTCTTTACTTAAATAGTTAACAATTTTAATAATTTCGTCATAAATAAAATAATTATAAACTCGGAAATTGAATTCTAATAAATTGAGTAATTATAACTTAATTATTTAATTTAGCATTAGTTTTATTAACAGTAGTTTCACATAGTAATAGCACGTTCAAGAGATACACAATAATGTATCCTGTACAGAAAAAAGAAAGTTTCTTTCACTCTTTTTTCTCCCTTCTCTCCCTCTCTCTCTCTCTCTCTCTCGTTGAAAATAAACTGTATTGTTAATTACTTTATAAATTTTTTGATATTATATTTTCTCTCCGACAAATTATTTATTTTAACAGAAAACAAATAATTTACTAATATTATTATTAATCTTGCAGAAGACTCCCCCTCTAAATTACACCAATGATTTCAATCCATTCAAGCTATATCTACATCTAATTCATTGAGTATTTCGCCACACGTTCAAAGATCGCTAAAGTCGATTAAGTCGATCGAGCTGAGAGCGACTGAATCGCGCGATAGAGAGATCCGAAACGTTTACCTTCTCATAGATTACAGCCGGTGAACGACGACGTCGAGTTCTTACATCTTCCTCACTATTGCGAAAGAAGCAAGATATCACCTTTCAAGATATAATTAGCATAAGTGTTACAGTTTGAACAACTTCGAAAGTTTTGCCGATACCGTTAAATACGACGAAGTTATTTATCGACAATGAAGTATCTAAGTTCAGATAAAATGTCTGATTAACGTTGACATAGTTTACAATTTGTAGAGAGACAGAAACGTTGACATCAGGAAGTTGACCGCTATGAGGTACACATGGTGTATGTGTGTACCTAATGTCAAGGAATATATGTATGTAAGTTATGTACTAATGTGAGCGCGCTATATCAACGAAGAACACCACCACACGAGAAAGCTGATGCGACGGTGATGAGCGGTGATGATCCAACGGTGTAGGAGCGTAGAATTAACCATTTGAAATTCTGATCGCTGCCGCGCAACTTCGTCATTATCCATATTATGCATGGGATGCTTCCTTTAAAAAAAAAAAATGTATAATTTGTTAAAATTTACTGCAGTGCTCCGTGATATTTTCAATTAAAACGGAATATGTACTTCGTACTTCGCATATTATATTTTTAAACGTGGACTAATATATCCTCTCATAAAATGTAACACATTCTTGCCGAAAGCGTCGATTTATCCAATAATATTTTGGATCGGCCATTTAATTGTGATCAACAAATTGATTATTCACGACAATCAAAATATGCGTACGGATGTAAAATTATCGTTCAGCTTGAGTTATAGCGTGAGATGTACTTGCATGTTCATTTGCGTAATACAAGAAAGCCTGTGCGATCAAGAGTCAACCTGTCAAACGGCGCTACGCTACTGGCAGGTATCTTCCCGTATCGAACGCGAATAGCGTTCGTTTCGCAGTGGTGAAACTATAATGATGGTGTCCTTCTCACACCAAGAGCGAGGGCATATAAGGTGGGATGTTCTGGTCTCAGCTTCATCAGTACCAAACATACACGACAAGTCCGCCAAGCCAGCAGGTTTAAGGTCGGCCGTCATGAGTCTTGCTAGGATGCACGTAAGTATTTGAATCAAAATTACTTTGTGACTATTCCAACATATTTAATGCCCTGTGGAACCTCCTCTTTTGCCCCCATCCACCTTCATTGCCTCACTAAGTTAACAGTGCGTTTAACTGTTCGTTTGTGACGTATCATTTTTTTATTGCGCATGTTATAAGCCGTCGAAAATTACATTTGACATATTTAGTGAAACATGGTGAAGAGTCTTTGTGTTGGAATTTATTGATACTTTTTTATCAGCTATTACTGTCAGTGCTACAGGTTTTTTAAAGTGCATTTTACTTCCTCAAACTTTGTCGTGATAACTTCATATATAGAAATAATATTATATGTATAAAGTACTACATTTCTCAGTGTTTCTTCTTGAAAATTGTAATTTTCTTTCACTTCTTCGGCTTCTACGAAAATTAGTTGCAAAGATAATTAACAGGGATAATAGATTTGGGCGTATCTAATACCACAGTACGCTTCGTTAACAACTAATAAATATTTTATAATTGTAATTATGGATCCCCAGAATTGAGAAAAGAAGCCTAAACGTTACCACAAATTACTGACTTTTACAACTAGAATTTACAAATTATTTGCGGGTAACTGAAAACCTATTTGCCGCGTGTTGACTTTAATATAAATAACATGTTATTGGCAGAATTGATCGCGCGGCATTCCGGTTGCAGCTGTTCCGCATAAATCTAATAATCCCGCCGGTTGAAGCCTTAATGCCGAAAATCCGCGGGAAAAATTTTAACCGGAACGACCGGCAACGTGTCAAGCGTACACGTGTGCGCCGCAGTTTTTCGCAATCGCTCCGAAAATTCTTCCTTTTTTTCTTTTTCGCCGGCCGATCACTTCCTGGACTCGACCGGACGTAATTGCGGTGAAAGTGTTTCGGATTTTTCAGCCACCACGGTCGTACGAAGATAAAGTAGTCGTGGCAGATGCTCTTGAGTGAGTCAGTGAAAGTCCTCGCGGATGAGCCACGCATCTCCCAATTCGTAATCGCGAGGATCCGATCGCGCTTTTTCGCGCATTAGGTAACTAGCGGTTTCGTGCCAGCGTAACAGTAGTGAGATCTTTGTGAAATTCGTCAACTCGATTGCGACACACTGCTGTACGTGCGCATGTGTGTCGCCAATTTTGACTTGATCCACGTGTTGACGACTAATCGTAGTAAATCACTTCCGTGATACGACATCGTATTTGTCCGCGTCAAAAGTTACATATTCATCGGCTTGTTGATGCCTGAATTATAACGCAGCAGCATTTAGCGTGTTGTTTCTTTAAGACGAATACATTATATAAAAAGAAAGTCGACTGATATAATTCACATAAAAATATGTCGCGTCTTGTAAAGCTTAACCTGGTCTTACAGGAGGCCCGAGAGAAACTGACCGTTAAATTTACGGTACAGCATAATTTATAACTGTAATTAAGTAACTTTTTTATGGCAATTTCTTTTTTTATGCGTGTGCGTTCATTCACAGCGTCGATTTAACATCAAATTGTGACTTAAATCACATAATCGTAACTCAATGCATACGTTTCTTTTTTCACTCAATAATGAATAAATGAGATGAAAAGAATTCACTGATAAATTCTCTTGCAGATTCTGTTTGTCTCTTTTGCCTTGCCTGTTGAGGTGGAAAACGATGCTTTCAGTTGCATATCGTCGTTCACGCGGAGTACTGCCGCCGTGCGTTTAAAGAAAGCGGTGAAAATTGCAAGTGCGCGACGAATAAAACCCGTTTTAGCGATGCCGACCGACACACTTGACTCTGACCCTGCGGGAATGCCTCGCCTTCTCTTTTACTCCGAGCGGCTTCTCCCAAGGTCGCAATTGTGCGATCGTTACCTTCGCGGCTACACGTATCATCGATTATATCGTCCGCGGGATATCGATAAATAACCCGAATCCAAACAGTGGATTTCCCAAAGCGTATTTCATCACGGGCAAATTCAACCGGGATAATTCCGGCAGATTTCTTCGCGTACACGAAGCGACCGTGTATATTCACCGACGAAGGGAAGGGAAGTGAAAGTGCGATCGCCGTTACCGAAGCATCGAGATCGATGACCAACACATTGTTACATCGTCCCGGCGCGATTTCTTACACGCGGCCCTGACTTTCAGATCGCCGCATTCCTACTGGTGCTCGGGCTCTGCAACGCGGAAAGTACCGGAAGCGGAGAGATCAAGGTGAACGACTCGCTTGCTATCGAACGCACTGTTGCCGACGATGCCGGCGCCGATACCAGCGCGAAAGCGGCTGTCGATAGCGCCGAGGAGGAGGCTGTCGAAGAGAACCTGCCGATCTTACCTCCGTTAATACTTCTGGATTTCGACAACGGCACGGCCGACGATAACGCGACCGCCGACGAGAAATCGAAGCGCACGGTGAACAACGGCCTCGGCTACGGCTTCGACCGGAACTCCCTACTCGCACCGCGAAAATACAATTACTACTTTCCCGCCGGGAAAACCGGAACCACCGTGAGCATAGAGGAGTCAATCAGCCCGTTTCTTCCACGGACCATCATCGAGAGAGCGCGGCCGAGACCGGTTACCGGTGAATCACACGAGAAGCCCGGGCAGCAAGGGTCGTTTAGCGGTTCGGCGTCCGACCGGCGAAGCCGTATCTTCCGATATTACATATCGCCCACGGCGAAATCTCAGCCGACGTTCGGCCTGCGGACGAAGTTGACGAAAACGACTAATTCTTATCAAAGGTACCCTTCCATCATCAGGCCCTCCGTCAAGATTTACTCGAACGAAGACTATCGGAACGGCGCGTACGCATCTACCACCTCGCGACCCTTAGCGTACAGCTCTACGGAAGCGACGGGTCACGTCACTTCGAGCCCGCAGAGTTACATGGCCTCGAGTGCGTACACTTACGTCACGCCGGTCCCGACGACGTACGAAGAGCCCTCTCAGAGTTATCTGGGACAAGGTAGTCAACACACGATAAACGTGCAGGGCTACTCGAGAGCGGTGCAAAGTGTAGATTCTTCGACGGCCAGTCCCGAGGGCGTCACTTATCTCGAGAATGTAGACGTTCGGTCGAGGACGAGTCCTCGAGGTTACGTTCGACCAGGCTCGAACGTGGTGGAGCCGTCCTCTCCCGGATCCGCGGAAGTGTCCGGCTACGTGGAGAGCGCCGGTCCCTTTGCCGATCTGCCTAGATACACGGTGGAAAATGGCGTCAGGTATGAGAACAAGATTTTTTGGAAGTATCCGGACGGTAGAGTGTCCGACGTGCCCCCCATGACGTACGAGACGTACTCGGAATATCCAGCCGCGTTACAGGCCGGCAAGCCTCAGGTAATGTCCGTCTATGAGTCCGCTTCCACGGAGAACAGCGTGCTGTCGCAGGGCCCGGTGCAGTTCCCGATGGCGCCGGAAAGCGGCGCGCCGCCGAGTCCCTTCATCTCCGCCGAGTCTCTGTCGAAACTGCCGCAGCAGCAAGTGTATCGGCTGGGCTACCAGAATCTCGTGGGACATAAGCAGGCTGTTGCGCAACAGGTGAAGGCCAGTAGCGGGGTTTCAGCGTTTGCGACCCCGTCGCCCCCGAGGAACTCCTTCAGGACGAACAGGAAGAATCAGAAGAGTCGGTACGAAACGTCGGGCGGTCCGGTCTCGAGATACATGGTGAACAGCCCGAATGCAGAGTACACGGACTCTTACACGACGCAGAGCACCCCGAGGAGCACGACACCGTCTAGCTTCTTCCCGCAGACAGGTGAGACGTTTGCCATTTTTTATCCATCGTATTATCACAATTACTTACGCATGAATATTTGTTCGATCTTAAGCCTAATTCGATTTCATCAGCACCGTTACGACGCAACGATCTTGCGCTTAGCGTCACATATGTGTGACGATAAGCATTTTTTTCTACGTCCACATTATCAAACTATTAATTATCGAATTAGTAATGTAATGTTTTTTCTCTCGCCATGTCCGCGTTATTGAACTAATAATTGTGTAATAAAGATTACACGATTATTGTGTAATCCTGTGTAGTCTGTCCTTTAAAATAGACTAAATCTGTTTTATACAATTATGTAAAAAGAAAAATGAAGTGATGCGTTTGTGTGCCCGAATAAATTATGCGAACGTGTTGATGAGTATAGAATCATTTCTTTTTTTAATTTAACACAGTTTGCGATGTAACATCGCGAGCGTAATAATGATTTAAAAAATACATTTTCAGTTGGCAGTAATCTGCCGAGACAGACCACCGCCAGCGGCAAGAACCTGGAGAGCTACTCGAACTTGCAGTACTCGGATCTCCTGAACTACAATCCGTCGATCTCGCAGTACATCAAGAATCCCGCATCCATTCTCAACGTGCAGCCCACCTTTGTGCAAGCCGGAAGTTCTCTGATACCTGTGATCATTTTAAGAGTCGATGGCGTACCTCCTATTCAACCGAAGGCCACGCCGAATGTGAACCTAAAGGCTCTCTTGCAGCAGTACCTCGTTCAATACGCCAACAGTATCGAGGAATTAGCGCGGCCATCTAATTATGATCTCGGCGATGATCTGACGAAGGAGCAAAATTCCTTTTCCATAAATCATCTGCGGGAACTGGCACGACTGGCGCAGAGCACAGGCCGTGATCTGATCGCTAATCCAACGGAATCTTACCTCGGAAGATCGAGTTACGACACGAGCAACTTGAATGCCGAGAAAAGTCTTCCTAGCGGAAAATACGGTCAGCGCACTGCGGCAAGGCCGAAAGTGAAGAGCGTGCAGATCGTGGAGGATCCAAGATTCCCGAATTATAGAGAGAAAAATTGAATCGCGCTTAATCGGTAAAAAGTAGGAAGCCGCACATCTCTTAACTTTCGTGTTCTGTTTCTTAATTCGATTTTTGCGCCGTAGAAAAAGCGAAAGAAGAGAATTGCTGGTTGAAAAATTAATAATCACGTTGTCAGTAGACGTTAATATTGTGATTGCAATGAAAACAGACGCGAATTCTATAAGACGTGGGAGATTTTTTGTTTTAATTTTTTTCTTTTTTTTTTTTAAGAAACTGATACTACATGCGTTAATTTAGAAAAATACATACGCATGAATAACCGATAACACGATGGAACATGAAAGTTGAGTCGGAATGACTGATCTATGTAACAATACGACATTGGCTACCAACACTGATGTTACCGATGATACTTGGAATATGGACGCTTTTAAGAGTATCTTTTCTTTTGTGCACTATTATCGAATATGCGAGCCCTATTAAGTATTAGATAATTATCATCTACATTCTATTTGGCACATCACTTTTTTTCAGTCTCGCTATGAGACACATCGTGCCATGAAACAAGTTAAGAAAATGAAAGGTGACGATCGATAATTAGCGATGCGAAATAGTATTTAATGTGGGATTGTGCAATGTATTATAATAATTTACAATATGTACCTGCGCTACTGATTTGCTGAAAACTCGCGGATAAGCCGTTCAGATTAATAACACCCGTCGTTTTTGGGAAAGCAGTAGTAACCGAAGTAGATTTGTTGCTCGGTGAACGTACCTATTAAAAATTAGCCAAATTTCCACACTTCAGAAAGGTACCTTATAAATCCTAGCGCTTAAGAGAGTTAAGGTAATCGTAAATTGTATACTGCATATTATAAGCAAATAAAAAACGCCAATGAGAAAGAGTTTTATATATAAATTAGATTGCCGTGTTATTTGTGCCTGAAATTTGTAATGAAACTTACATTTATTTTTAGGAAGACATGATTCTTCTTTTTTCATTTATTACAAAATTTTGCACTTCATATCTTGCATACGTTTTCGAGAAATCGCCTCACCAAATTTTAATCTGTAAAATATAGTAATTATATCGTAAGAACAAGTCTCATTCTTTTAGGTGTATATGACTATATTCTACTAAATGAAGTTAGCTGCAAGTATTGGGCGGTACAGAAAGCTGTAGTAGCGGTTACACATGCAGGCAGAAACTCGGCATAATTGCATAAATTTTCGTGAAATATCAACCTGCACAGAGCTGCTAATATATAATTTTCTCTCTTGATTTCTTTTCCCGGTCTCTCATGGTTCGACAGTGTTACGTCGTTTTCTTAAAAAAAGATACGTTTTCCAACATCACCCTTCAAATTAACCAAAGAAGCCGAGATTAATAGAAACGCAGGACGTTACACCGGCGACGTACGCATCATCGATATTAGGAAAAGTTGGTAAACGTACTTTCTGTTAAAGCGCGCTTTTCCCAATAATAATATGATATATATCTACACACAAGCGAAGTAAAAGTTTCCGTCTTAGTAGAAATTATTATCGATCCGCGGGTTGCACATCAGCGACCATCGAGCGCAATTTACTCGATGCTGGGAACGCTCTCTTGCGGGCGCCGGTGCGTATGTGTGCGTGTATGCGCGCATCAGAATATAATGTACGAATTAATAAAAAAGACGCAAGAGCGGTGCGCGTGTCCGCGCGTGTCTGGAGATATATATCGATGTGACCGGTGCCGTTGAACCGGGCAATTAGCGTTAATTGCTCGGCGATAGCGTGAAGAGAGAGAGATAGAAAAGGAGAAAGAAAAAGAAATGTGAGGGAATGGTTTAGCCTGCTATAGTCATATCGCGCGGTGTTAATGCCATGTTTTCACAACGAGAAGTTCCGATGATATCTGCGTTGCATCTGCAGCGGCACGGCAATTAGACTCGAGGCATTAAACTGAACGCTCGGGCACGAGCGCGCGGCGAGCGACTACACGCAGGGAAAAGACTCGCGCGTTCTCGCTGCACACGGACGTGCACCTTCGTTTCCACGCTACGGCGCGGACTACAGATCGGGAGGAGTAGGCACACCGGGCATAATGCGTGTGTTCTAGAGCGCATAAAGCCCCGGCGGAAAAAGTACTGGCCGAATTCGTGGCATTCCGGTCGGAGGAGACACTCGAGAGAGCCCGGAGGCTGCACCGGCGAACCACCGGAAGCGTAATTCACGATCGATGCGGTCGTAACGCGAATGGGACGGCACGTCGTACTCCGGGCGCGCGTCTCCCCGGGTGCGTTTAGTTTTGCCGCTTGGGAAATGCCAGGCGATGCGTCTCGCGAGATTGAAATTGCCCCCCCGGTTTTACGATACGCGCGCGTCCCCGTCGCGCATTCGCACGAACGCGAAATAAGCGGTTTAATAAGGGGAAACGAACGTTTTACGGGAGCCGAACTGTGGCGAGATGTAGTATCTCTGTTTCCGTACATGGTGGCTCCGACCGCTTGCTCGAGTTCCATAGTAATGACGAGCGGGACGCACATCCCGCGATACGGCCGGACAATATTTTTCCAGGCGCGTTCGCGTGTCACGAATGAAAGTATCCAGGCGGCTGTGTGGTCTATAGGATAATATTTAGAACGATATTTTTCACTTGGGCACCAGACTGTATAAAGAAAATCGCGTATCTACTATGTGGCTCAGTCCTCGCGTGGAAGCTCGCCACGCAGGGTCCTTCGGTTTACTCGAGGCGAGGATACGAGGAGCGGATGATCGCAACCAATGTGTACGTGGACTGTAGTGTGACGTACCCGGTCTTTCTGATTGTGTTTGATTTCCGAACGAAGAGTCAACGCATTTTCGGCGAAAATGATTTATTCTTATGTAAGTACCCGGGATCGGTGCGAGATGTATTGTGATAGTGTGAAGTTTTCTGTGTGGTGTGGCCAAATCGTTTTGTCGTTTCACTCCTGCGCGGAGAGATGGAAAGGAAGGGATATGTAAATTAAAACAAATTCATGTTGATTCATTAACACAAGATGCAACGAATGCAATTTAACGTTGTGAGAATTTTAATTAATAATAACGTATTTCATGTGGCACGGTGCCAAATAATTTTACATACGCACATATATCATATGATATAAAAGTAAAAGAAACAAAACACATTGATATTTCCTCGATCGCTTAATTATATATGTAAAATAACTTTCTATATTTGCGTTATTTTTATTAATATTATTTTTATTAATTTTATTTGTGTCAATACAGGAATTTTATTGATTCATAGATATTGCCAGCAGTTCAATGCCGCGGTTAATGATTTCAATAATAGAATTAACCAGAAGTTACTTGTAAGTTTGTAACTAATAGATTGATTTTAAAAATTATACTTATTTAAGTTTAAAATACGCGAAAATTTTATTCAAGTCGACATCGCAATATTATTTTAAATAAAATTAATTTAGAATAATCCACCTGAAAAGATCCACCTGAAACAATAATTTTAATAAAATTATCTTCAATCAAAATTTATTATTTATATTTTAATAAAAATATTTCGTTAAAAATCATTTTTCCTATACGGAAAAAGAAATCTGATTGCATTAACCAGAAGTGCACAACCAAATTTTGGTTAAAAGAAACAGAATTTCTGGTTTTCACGACCCAAAATGTGGTTCTTATAATCAGAAACTTTGTTCTCTTCAACCAAAACGCAACTAAATCTTTGTTCTATATAACATTGCACGGAAATTATATTATTATAATTATCGATATTCCTAATTGGAGAAATTAGTTTCTTAACTATGAGATAATAAAATATATGCAAAATCATGTTGGAATCGCTACATTACAAATTACGGAAAAATTGCTGTGTATCCTGGTGCATTGGATCTTCCGGTACCATTAAACGCTTTCGAAGTCTGATCGATAAAACTGCTCCCAACTAGGTAAAGCGTATACTTTAACGGTCTTCATTCCAATCGACAACTTCGACCGACTTTTTTAACGGTAGACACGAAGAATTACATAGTTCAAATTGGCTGTGTTTTCTCTCCAATTACTTTTCACCGACACTCTCTAAACGGTCGAAGCTTTGTGTTATGTGCTTGTATTCCCGCGCATTACGAAGAAACTGTCATTCATAATACAATTATATACAATTATATTTTATGTTTTGCAAATAACTTTTGTTCCTTAAAATGGTCAAATTAACGATACGCTTGTATAAAGACCCATTACTGTCAAACGGACTCGAATGCTCATGAATCAGTGAGAAAGTCTACGAAGATTTGCTTCCGTGCACATCCAGTCCTTATTTCCACCTCACACGCTCGCATTTTACTTTTCTAGTCTGCTTTTCTTTTCTAGGTCATCTCCTTGACGAAACAGCAATTATCACCACTTACTATCATGCATCGCCTATCCAAACTTTGCAATGTATATGTTGCTTTCTTCTCTTAATACTTACGATATTCGAGAGATGTTTCTAAAAATCTCGCATGTTTACGGTAATTTTTGTGTCGTACGTTTATTAATGCTGAGTACATAATAGCTACATATTAATATTAGTTAAACAACATTGCACGTATCATTTTCACAATTTCTTAAAAAATAAATATATATATAATTTCTATATTAAAGTGTAAATTCTACATAAAGAGGAAGATTTCTCGTCTTTTACATTTACATTTTATTCTATACATTTATTCCGCGATTATTGTAATTCACTTTCTCCAATCTTTGTAGGTGATATTGCTATTTCTTAGCTGGCCACAAACGAGATGCGCGGAGGACGTCGACGCGAAAGGGGAAGAGATCTTCGATCAGCTCGCGATCGCGTCGGAAAACGTGATGTATACTCTGAGACATTCGAATGCGACTTCGAAGAATCTCAGAGCGCACCTGCCAAGCGTCCCGTCGTTTATAGACGCGACGGTGCGCTATGAAAATTCCAACGGTTTCATACCCATCGCACCGCCTACGACTGACACTCCGTCGTACGACGAAGACAGCAACACGACGAACGCCGTAAGTGCTCGAGAGAGCTCCAGCACGGATCGGAAAAAATTCGAAGACGACTTAGCGTACTCCTCGGAAGCGAGGATCTTCCTGAATCTCCCTGGACCGCTGACGAATCGCAGGTCTTTCGATTTGCAGGAGAGTCCGAGTGAGTTTGAGCTGCTGAAGGTCAACAACGACACCCCCGCAGTAGCCAATTACCGGGAATTCTATGAGAACCTGCGCGGCACCGTGAACGGAGAAACCGACGGCGAGCCGGACGCCGGGGGTGCTTCGGCGCACGTAAACGGAGAAAGGGGGAAGAGAGTCGAGAGCTACATGCGCAATTATAGTCGACAGTCGCACCAGGCGAAAAATCAAGATCCGTACGTTCGGTACTACTCGTACAGCGACGGGCAAGATGCGAAGAAACTTACTTACGAACCGGAGAAAGTCCCCGGCAATCATCGCCAGCAGGATGCCGCGAACTACGACGGTCACGGGCAGAGCGCTGTCAGACAGAATGTCGCAACGGTCTCGTCCTCATCAAGGACGAATTACGGGGTGAACGGACTCACGCACAGCGGCACCCAAGACGGAACTTATGACAATGTGGCGGAGTCGTCCCGGGCGCGTAACAAATTCTCCAGGCCGGTCGTGGTCGCCGAGCCGAGCGACTACAAGGTGGAGGCAAAGTTCAGCGGCGAAGCGGAGAACGATTTTAAAACTTCGCGGAACTTGGAGTCCTCCAGCTCGGAGACGTCGAGTCACTACGACGCTTACAACGACAACAGACAGCGTAGTTACCATCGCACGGAGGACTCGAGGAATTTCTCGGACGAGAGCTCGGATTACCCCGATTACCTCGAGCGGCCCAGAAGACTGCAAAATACTCGAAGACGACCGGATTCCACGAGAAAGCTGCCGAAGGAACACCGAGGCACGCTGGCCAACAGCGAGGAACAGCACGGCTACGACGCCTTTAAACTGAGATCCCAGCGGTACCGGGCGAAAGTGAATCCATGGGGCAATGACGCCGGCATGAATCATCAAGATGAGAGCGTGGAAGACGTCAGACACGATACCAGATACGACGCCAGAGTCAGCGGCACAGAGGCCAAGATCACCAAGGTGCATCACTTGTCCAGGCCGAAGAACAGCAACACGTGGAGTCAGCTATCGCCGAATCTCGAGATCTCTCATTCCAACGGCATTGAGCTCGATCAGATGGAGAAGCCGAAGTACGTCCTTCCCGTGAAGGTGAATTTCCTGCCTGTGGCGAACTTCGACCATGCGACCGCGCTGGGCAACAGTCAAGGCTTCGACGTCTCGAACGCCCTCCTGCAGAGCATGGTGACCGCCTCGCCGATCGGCGCGTACACCACGAGCGCTCCTCTCCTGAGCACAGCGTCCTCCATCCTCGGTCAGAACCTGGCAATGTCCACGTCGGTGCCCGACATCATCGTCGGGCAGAACTCTTTGCAGAATCCCGTGCACGCTGTCGTGCTTTCGCAGACGAACGGGCAGAACAAAATCGCGGACACGGCGACCTACCTGCCGAGCACCGTGGCGCCGGTGTTCGCCCTCACGCCCAGCCTCACGCCGACGTTGCAGAGCGTGCGGCTGCAGAATAACGTGACTCCTCGAACTGCCTTCGCCGTAACGCCCACTCCCACCGCGGTCGTTCAGCACCTGCCGATCAGCGGAATGCACGCCGGTGTGCAACAGCTGATAGTGCCGCAGCCGACCGTCCAGACGTTCCCGGGTTTCCTGCAGACGCCGGTCCACGCGAGCACGGAGTACCAGATCCACGTGAACCCTCACGGATTGCAGGGTCAGAGCTTGATGAGCCAGGGTAACCTGCAAAGCGTACCGACAACATCCACGCTGCTGTCCAATCAGCCGGAGCACAGAATCATATCGCCCGCTGAGGCGCACGGTAAGAAAAACGTGTACGCCACTTCCGGCGGGTCCGTGCTGGCCACCGCGAGTCTGGCCGTCGGCCAGAACGAGCAGAAGCAGCCGAGCAACGTGAATTCGTATTATCTGCACAACCACAACGCTCAGCAAGTGGCGAGGCCTCAGGAGGAGGTGTATCACGTGATGAAGGGCATCGACCTTCAGCCGAAAGCGAAGACGTTCTTCCAAGCGACTCAGGTGGTACCGACTGTACTGCAACCGAACCCAACTCTGAGCAGCCTGGCGGTGAGCACTCCGCATTACGTCAAGCTGCAAGGCACCGACGAGGCTGTACAACAGTTGCAGTTCCAAATAAACAGGGCGCAACTGTTGAAGAACGGCAGACTGCCCGGCGACAACATGGTCGGCCACTCGAACAACGCGAACAGCGTGAACGCGCATCTGCCGAACGTGGGTACTAAGAACGTCGAGATTGTAAACCCGAACATCAAGCCAAGTCCGGTCGACACGACAGTGAATGCTTTCAACGCGATGCAGTATCCGGCGGCTGTTTTGACGACGCCTATCCCGATCTTCAGCACGATCGGCCCCGTCACGCCGCAAACCGTCAATCTTCAGAATTACGTGGACTCCTTGGCGGAAACCGGCGTCAAAGCCAAGCCGTTAGGCACGGTGGACCTGAAAACGTCGCAGAATCAGGAACGGCCGGTGTTCAATCCGATCAACTTCGTCCCGAACGTCGATATCATAAAGAATCAGAACTCTCTGAACAATAAGTTACCGTCCAGCGAACCCGTCCAACAAGGCCTGAATCTGGTACCCGTAATGCCCGGCGGGAACTTTTTCAGGCCGTCGTATTCGGCGCAGAACGAACTGATATTGAAACCGAAATTGGCTTCGGACTTGCAGCAGTATGCCGAGGAGATGTTCAAGGAGTCCCTGAAGACGATGTACAACTCCCAAAAGTGGAACAACGACAGAAAGCCGGCCGGGAACAGTTCGAGTAACTCCGAGTCGAGCGACTTGGCGAAACTTACGCTCGAACTGCAGAAGCTGAAAGCCTCGCTCTCGGAATCGAAATACAAGGATCAGCTGGTAGCGCATCAAAGCGAGAATAACATACGCACGACAGACCCGCCTAAATCTTCCGGCGACAAAAAGAAATCGGACGCGCTGATGGCGACTCTGGAGCAACTGCTGAAGAACCGACCCTCCGGACCAATACATATTTACCACGGCGCCGGCAGACCGGGTAATCACAAACAAAAGCCTTCGGGAGACTCGAGTTTCGCTTTCCACGACGAATTCCACGATGACACTCACGTGCGGGAATTCCTCACGCCGCCGAGACCGAACCGTTTCCGCACGAAAGGCGTCTTCCAGGAAAAACCGATGAAGAACAAACGGCCGGCAGCTATGAGGTTCAAGAATGGACCGAGGAAATCATCAGGAAGGGGACACTCGTCGGCCAGACCGACCGGACTGGAAGCGTCCGCCAGTAACATAAACATACATCTGGACGGATCGCATTATCACAGGTTACCCTTCGACGACAACGTGGACTTTGAGACTCGGCGTCAGCCGTCCTTCGACGCGTACCCGACGATAACCACGTCGTCGCCGGAAGCCTTCAGCAATATACTGAGCGAGCTCAGAGCGTCGAGTAACAAGGATTACGACATCAATCATCCCAGGATACATAATCTTCTCGGGTTATTAATGAAAAACAAGCAACTGCCGAGCAGAGGCGCGCCGAACAATTTTCGCGACAGGGACCACTTCCGGCAGTTCTTCGACCGAGAGAGGCGTCGGCTGCAGCAACAGTTTTACGACGACACCCTGAAGGATTACATCTTGGACAAGTTCGAGGGTGCGTCACAGTCCGGTTCGATCGTCGACAGGAAAGTCTATTCGGGGAACGGCGCCGCATAAATTCGTAATCAAAAGTACAGGCGAAACGGTCGATCACGCGATGTACTCGCCGGGTCCGCGAATGACTCGCAAATCCGCTCGCGGAAGGACTAGTAGAATTAGGTAATAAGCGTTTATCCTGCCCGATAACGGACGATTTCTTCTCGTTCGCTTTTCGCGTTAATGAAAGCTGCATCGCGCCAGCATCGTTCGCGCCGCTCGTACTGAGAGAATGTGTTTAATTCTAGCAAGTAATGTTTTACGCGGAAGTTGTAAAAGCAATCGTTAATGTCGAACGCATTCGTACGGAACGCTCGACCGACGGGGGAAGGCAATTCATCGGTCATTTATAAGACGCTAGTATTGTACATATTAACTTATATGGAAATATACGTGTCGTGTTATTTGTACGGCGTTTGTCGCGCCCGCCTGTTTTCTCTTTTTCCGTCAATATTTTCTCCCTCACCCGTTCGTCCAAGGAGATAATAAACAGAATCTCAAACTAGGTAATCACTTTCCGCAACGAGAAGAAGTGGAGAAAATCCGGATGGAAAAGAGATGCGTATTAGTAAAATTTCACTCTATTTGTGGGACAATTTTGTCTGAACATTTTGTAAATCTTTATATTTCGTTTTTATCTAAACATACCGAAGATATTTTTTTATATAGTGACACACACACACATACATATACAATGATTATATTATGACAAATATATATTAAATTTTGAATAAAAATATAGATTCTATATATGTAAGTGTTATATTAAAAAAGAAAATAAAAAAATTTATATATTTTCAATAATTCTGCAAAAAGAATCTTTCTTCAGAATCATATTTTTCATAAAAATAAAATCAATATGAAATTTTCACATCCGTATTCTCAAGACATTTTAGATTGCACTAACATTCATAGCACTCCTTTCATACCTCTCCGTGACAAAATCGGATAAAGATTTCAATCTCCATCATGAAGCTAAGCTAATAAAAACATTCGACGTACTACCGTGAGGAAAGCTCCCATTTCCAAAACTGGATCTTTGTTTTGTTCCGACCTGTTTTCATTTAATTTGGCAATAAGGTAAATATATACGTATGATCTCATCTATTCATTGATATTCACGCGGAGAAATATTGCACCTTGTTTTATATGTCGGTGAAATCTTAATACAACTCTCTTCTAATAAAATGCCTGTGTTTTTGTTACAATTAATTATTTGAAAAACGGCAACCAGTTTTTATTAAAAAAAACTTAAATCGATGAGAATACGACCGCACTGTTTCCGTTTGACTGCAGTAATCATTCATCCGTGAAGGAAGAGACGTTCACCTCGTAAGGCATGTATGTAACAATCATTAACTTCTGAACTTACTCGATGAAGCGCACTCGCATTAATCCATTGGAGCATTTTTATTGCGCAACGTTCTCACTTTCTCGGAAAATAACCTGAAAATTAGATAGAAATTAGTTTAAGAGCTCCAAGCTAACTCACAAAATTATTACGGCGGGTATGGTCGCGCAAGTATTCTTGGAACAACAGCCAATAATGCCGTGAAGAAAACGATCATTCTTGTGGCAAACGATGCGTTAATTATTATCTCGAAAAGAGTACTCAATAAACTTCAGAAACATGAATAATTATGCAGCAACTTGAACGGATTTGTTTCTGTTGCGAAAAGCAAAATCCCATCTCACCCTTTTTCTTTCCAATTTATTTTATAAACATTTTGTACAGCATAATTATATATATTTTAATGACGCATACACACACCAGCCAATTAGTTTCATTTTTATTAATCAACCGTGCAGGGACCGCATTTAGTGGATATTTATTAACTTTGACAAAACAAATATCAAATTAATTATTTTTACAATGATGAGTGATAAACACAGTACGATAACACTCTTTTAATATAGATGGTGCACGTAATTAGGTCGCAGAAAATAAGAGAAATATATCAATAAATAAAAAGAAATAAATTAATAAGAAAAAGATAGATCAATGGCACGTTGTGACGGCTTCACTGATCAGGGAGAAGTGAGGTGATTTGACTCGGTTTTTCTCGATACGCTTTTTACCAAGTTTAGAAAAGACCAGCCCATTCTGCTGTCTCGCATCAGTAAACGTCGAATATAAAAGATGAGAGAATGTCGGTCGCAGTCAGTTAACGTCAAACTTTGGTGTCTGCTCGTACTGACTAGGCGAGTATCATGTTGGTACGTTTCTCCAGTTTCTCAATAACTTGAAATAATCGATACTTGATTTATCGTATAATGCGCGAACGTCTATATATATCATAATATTATAAAAATATCAACCTGTAATTTGTTCAATACGCTAAATTGTGTGATGTGATACATTCGTGATTTATAATACCGCTGACGTATGTTTGTGTTGAAAGCTGTAAAAGATATTTTAACGCGCAGCGCGTTTACACAACATGTAACGTGTTATTTACGCATTTATTAAGAACATCAATCTGAATTTGATCAAATTGTCACCTCGGTAGTGGATTGATGTCCTTGATAAATATTTATTTTTCATCTTTTTCATAAACACTTTGAAAATAATCTAATTTCTAACGCGTGTGATACATTTTCCAGGTGGTAAACATCATTCCCTTTATATTTGCGGTATGTTCCGCCACGAACATTATAATCTCGAGCGGCACCTCCACTTCACCGTCTGCTAAATTGAAACGCGGCATCGTAGACCCCGGGCCCGGTGCTCTTGACACCCAGGAGCAATTCAGAGGAACTCAAAGCACACCGAAGATCTCACCGTCTAAAGATATCAATTCGAAGTCATTGCCTTATTATGGAAAGGCCAAAGCGTCGGATATCCAGAAAATTTCCTATGCCAGCCCGAATCAGAGATCTGGTTCTCACGCGTACGGCAGTGTGCCAAAGTTTTCTTACGTTTCCTCTCCTACTCATCAGGCCGAATCGCATCAGAACAGCCCGCTCGCTTCGTATTTCAATCTATTGAATAATCCGAATACGTACAAGGCTGCAACGAGCGCAGAGAAGCCGGTGGAGGCGTCGAAATCAATCGTGTCGCAGTCGCTGCAAAAACTGCAAGAAGCATATTCGCCCAACCACAATGCGTTCCATCCGGACAAATCGATCGAAATGTCCAGTTTCTCCGACTTTGAATATCCTTCTTATTCCAGCGTCAACAAAATTATCTCTCAAGGCTTCCAGAACGGCGTTTCGTCCCCTACCATGCAAATACCGGTGTACAAAAGCAGTTATCCTCTGTCGAAAGCTACCGAATACGCGAATATTTACGCGTCGAGCTTTCCAACGATGTCAAGTGCCACTCCGCTGTTTCAATCGTCGGACGAAACGAAACAGGCTACCAAGCAGAACGACGAGGCGAGCGTGGATGTGAACGGTAAGAAGGTCTCTCTTCCGATCATTCAACTTCAGAGCGATCCCGGGCTTTCCGGTGCTTTCCCCGCCTTCGAGAGTCAGCCGTTTCTTTCAAATGCGAACTATCCGGCCGAATCGAACTTCGGATTTAATTTTGGAGGCATGCCAAAGCCCAACGTGGCACTTCAATTGACAAACGCTTCACCATTTTTGTCGCCCCTGTCGAGTTTCCAAGGTCAAATCGTGCCGATTCAGACAGCCGGCAGTACCCCGCAGTTTCCGCAGTACAAAGGAGCCAGCATACGAGTTCATCCCGTTCCAAATGTTCCCAAAGTGCAAGGTAATTACGAGTCGCTTTACGGTCAACCACAATTACACTTTGGCAAGGAACATGCTAACCAACTTGTTAATGCTCAACTAAATGTCATCCCGTCTTCCATTTCGACGGAGGATATTCTGGACGACGTAGAGATAATTAATAAGAAACATCCAGAACCTCATCCCGCACAAACTGACGACGACGACGACGATGAAGAGGAGAAAGATATGAGTTTGTATTACGATATAATCTACACATTTGCCGTTAAAAATAAATACCTCTCGAGCAGAACATTTCAATTCATATTTTGAATTTATTTGATCCGTCTATAATTTCCAAGTCATTAATAAAGAAAATAAAAAAAACAATATTTCAGGAATAAACATATATTTTTTTATATCTGTAAAAAAAAATACTGCAGGAATACAAATGAATACGTTAAATTCCAGGCTAGACGATAAAATAAATCTGAAGAATGAATGTAAATAAAAGAAATGATTTCAGGATATGAAAATTCCGAGAAGGAAATTGAAGATAATTTTGACGAGGAGGACGAACATGATTCGGAAAAGCGTTTCAAGGAACCGCCGATGACGGAGGGCGACTTTAAGCCGTCGACATCTTTCCCTTTTAAAGAATACGACGAGACATTTGGAAAGTATACAAAGGAAACCGATGAGGAGGATTCCGAGGATAAACCATATCCCGGCTACAAGAATCCTTCATCGAACGATGACGCGGAGGAGGAAGACCCGTCTTCATCGGAACGTCGCGCTGAATACGCTGAATCCCCAAAATCGCGCGGGTCGTACGAAGAGGAGGATGAAGAAGAACAAGAGACTCGCAAATATGAGAAACGCGGGGAAACCGATGAGGATCCTTACGAGGTGGAACCTAAGCAATCGAAATATTACGGGAAAGACTTCGAGCAGGAGTTTGAAGAATCGTACAGGGAAGAACTACCGAAACAGAGTACGTAGAATTTATGATACACTAATGTTAGATGCGCGCAAAATGTTTTGTTGTTTTTCACAAAGATTATTTTTGTACGTTCAAAAGACCGAAACTTTGGTACACATCTAATAAATGACGCAACTAATATGCTTATTTTATGATTAGAACGGCCATTCTCTATGTCGATATTTAATGTTTCCATTTGTAGGATATGTTCATGTGAAAGAAGTACCGGATATAGATAGTTACAACAATCCGAAACCTTCTAAACGGCAGCCGGAAAATAATGGCCGATCTCGTGTAAATCAAGAAGTACCCGAAGAATCCATGTTTCAAGAATCCCGTGTGTCTCATAAAAATCGGAAAATACCAAAGACCGGTTACAAAGACAACGCTGCTTACGGCTCAGACATTTCCGCTAAAAAGGCGAGCAAAGTGGTTTACGAAGAATTCTATGGATACAAAAACCCGAAAAGTGGAAAGTATTCTAAGCGCGCGAGAACCGAGTCTGCGGTCGAGAAATATCCGTCCGCTAAGAAATCGACCGCACACAAGGAAGATAGTTATCTTCGTGCCGCCAAGTATTACAAATTTAAAAGTCCCAAGGTAGGTGGCGGACTCGTCCCGAAGAATAAATATCCGCATTCGTATTCCTCCGCGAGCAATTGGAAATCGGGCAAAATCTCCACCGCAGAAACGGGACTTGGATCGAATGCGAGACAATTGGCAGATTCGGGCGACAGAGCTCCTTTATATAGACAGAGTTCAGTGAACGGGCAGGTGCGTTCTCTCACGAACGAAGAAATCCTTCGTGATTTGACGGGAATTTAATCGACGAAATAACCAAACGCTAGGTTACGAAATAATGTGTACTTTTAGATCGAAATTATTTAGCAACGTTTGGAGATATCGTGTGAGAAAATCTGCTCATTTCCAAATGCGGCTTAAAGAAACATCCCGTAGATATTCGTTCGTTGACGTATTGTAGTTGACGTAGTTGTAGATGACCGTTACGTTATTGTTTTTACAATGTTACTAACTATTTATAATCTTCTAGAAGATAATAACAAAGTATGTATGTTTGTTAACAACGAAAAATATACACATGTATATATGTATATTGCTTGAGAATTCAATATATTTCTTTCCGTTAATTAAATCGTTATGAATTTATTCAAGTTATGTGATATGTCATAACATTATGAACATGGATTTATTTTTTATAGTAATATAATAATTTTTCAATAAATATTAGTAATTTTTCTCGGAAATATAACCATTGTGTTTTACGAGAAATCTCAAATATATACATCATCTCATCATCCTTTATTATTTGATATTATAATTCCATTACAGTTTTATTATTACCGCATGTGGTATATAAAAAAATATATTACTGTTTTACGCGTTTAATTGTTTCCACGTACAAATATTTTTTTAGAAATGAACATTAAACGATGCAGTGTTGCAAATAATGTTTACCAAAAAATCGAAAGTCCTTAATTATTACGTACATATAAAATGTACGTGAATTAAATTTATCTGATATTTACGTTGAAGATAGTGCATCGTCGATAAGGTGCCGGAAGTATTCGCCACATACTCACTACTGAACAACTACTTCCTGAGTTCAGAGACGAGATATGATCTTTGTCCATCGGCTTCCAGGACGTAAACAGTCTCGTGTGCGGTGATTGTATAGTATACGCCCTGCAGAAAATCATCATTAGACAATGAAGACCTATAATTCTACCTTCGATACGTGGATTCTTACGTACACCTATAATAGTTTTAATTAATTCCGTGATTATCCCGGAGTCGATCGAGCATTCTCCGTCGTATCACAAGTTGTATATATATCGGGGATCCACAGTGGAAAATTCAGTATCATCAGCAACATCCCCTGCAAGATGAAGATCTTCGTAACGGTAACCGAAAGCTTCGGCAATTCTAGTTTTATATAGATAATATTTTACATCTTATTTCCATATTATTGCTTATTTTATTACCTATTTCATATTATAGTTCTAGTTTTATATAGATGATATTTTACATCTTATTTCCATATTATTGCTCATTTTATTACCTATTTTATATCATAGCGATTGAAATACTTGATTTTTAAAACTTCGTAACGCAAGCTTCGTGTGTGCGAGAAAAGGTTTCTTATTTCGGAATTTATCAAGTTATTTCGAGCAGCTTTCTGAATCTTCTGAATCTACTTCTGAATCTACTTCAATCTAAGAAATGTAATGGGAGATTTATTGTTAGATCGTGCTTTTCTCTGCCCTCGCGTCTTTGGTGGAATTGAGGAAGTCGGAGTCGAGGAAACATAAACGGGGAGTGGCATTTTTCGGGTCGCCTGGCTATGACTTCTTCGGCATTGTGCCAGCTTTCAGTCCTTCCTCGTGGGGTCCTACGAGTGTTGCGGCTTCTGCTTGGAACCCACCGAGCTCTCCTGACATAGCACTCACTCAGGTTCAAGTTCAAGCCACGCACAATGTGGCGCTTCAAGTACGCACATTTATTTACTAATATTTTATCATTTACTAATATGTTATGTTATTACGTCGTATATGTATGGCAAGAAATTCGGAAAAGGATATTCACTATTAACTTGTACCACAGGCCTTGAAGGACCCGTCATCAGGTACGCCCACTATTGCATACCCGCCCGAAGTCCTGAGGGCGATTCAACAAGCGAAAGAGGCGAATAATAATGTTGCCGTAGCTCAGCACAAAGTTGCGGAAGCGAAGCAAGCCGCGCTGATTCAACAGAAAATTGCGTTAGCGAAGGAGGCAGCGGCGAGGGAAGCTGCCGCGAGGTATGAGTAATTAATTTACTCAGTTCCCCATCATTAAGCCTCGTGTATTCCTACAAACTGTGACGTTTCGACTACGCTTGTTTTACGCGACGTCGTTACGTTTCCGTAATGATTTTCTTTCTCCGCAGGTCTCAAGAAATTTCGCAGCACGCTGAAGCCGAGGCTCGAGATAGCGCTCGTCAACTCGTAGCGCTGCAACAGAGATTAGCAACCCTGAAGGACTCGGTAGCAGCTGCTCAACGAGTGGCCGCGGCCAGGGAAGCCGCTGCGGCCGCAGCGATCCAAAGGAACGCGGCTGAAACCGCCGCCGAACTGCAAAAGCAGGACGTTGACAAGCAGATTAACCAGAGCGAGCAAGAAGCCAAGGCAAGCACCCTCGGAAATATTTTCTATAAATATTATCGTTCGCAAAGTTTCGTTATTTAATTTTTTAATCGAGTACCGTGACAAACGTACTTTATACGTGAACACGAAGCTTGCATCTTTCACAAGACAGACAAATCTATTTGTCAGAGATCAAATATTTTATACTACTGCACGCTGTATGTTACAAAATACTGCCCAATTATTTCCGATGTCATCATGTTTATTGTACAAACAGGAAAAGGACATACTAGCCGCGAAGGAGAATGCAGTGGCAGCCGCGATTCAGCAAACGAGCTTACAGAAACCTACTCATCACCCTTGGGGTTGAAAAGCATATCACTAAACGAGAGAATTTATTATATATTCTAGGTGACGGTATACAAAAGGGCATCTTATAGTCTTACGATCTTTACTTGATACTTTTGTAATTGTTATACGTAAGAATTGTTTCAGCAATAAAAGTTATACACAGTTTATTCTACGTTTTTCTGACCAATAACTCCAATAATTTACCTTTTAAGCAATGAAATATATCTAAAAAAGTGTCCTATAAATATTATAAGAGACTAATAAAAAGGTAATTTTATAATTTTTGTTATAAAATATATTTTATATAATCATTGAGTTTTATAGTTATGTTACATTAAAAAGAATTTATTTTTATAGATTTAATTCTCAAATTAATATATAGGAACAAAATCCATTTAGTTCATTATCCGCGTGTCATTAATAATTTTGTAGATAAGAACCATGTTTCGAACGCTGTCTTTACCAGTGGATGATAATTTACTTACCTCGACAATATACCAACGACCGGCAAAAAGTTGTATTAATTCATAAGAAAAACGCGGTACAGTTTTTTGCTAATATTGTGCAAGATAAAATATGTAAAATATTACATTACTGAATTGGCAAGATTATTTATAATATTCTTCTAACAAAGTTGCAAAAGAAAATTCTATTAAAATCCGCTGAAATGTCAGTAAAGAATATAATTTTTGTTGTCTATTTGCATAACTCCTTATTGGAGACAAACCTTTTATTTCCAATCCTTGATTACGTAAATATTATTAGTTTTTTAACTTTAACTTCCACTTTCATTAGAAAAATTTTACTAAAGATTTGTCACAAAGGATTTATAAACGAAGAATATTTAGTAATTTTTTATATTCTTCGTGCAGATGTACTCAGACAATTTCCTTGGCCACTTTTTTATAATTGCAATTATTGTTTCCAATTTTTACACAAACGATAAAACACACTTGAAGCATGTATCGCATACAGTGTTTGTATAAATATTTTAATAAAGCAACGATTGTAACTCGAACGAAAGAATACGTCAATTTGCACCTATGATTCTTGGACATTATTTTACAAAAGATATCAACAAAAGAAAATATTAATTATATAGTACATAACGAAACCATATCGAGTCATTAAGCCTTGCGAAGTATATCCATTATCGCTCTCCTGGTAGAAACTATATACTTAGCGCGTTCGTTAATTACCCAAGTATGCCGTTCCTTTACAGAAAACCCGAAGAACGTAGTTCTGCTAACAATACTTCATGATAAACAAGTGCAACAGTGGGGGAAATACTACGAGTCTCACGATGAAAACGTGTCCTTAACCTTTATTGGCGTAAACCATCGGCGTAAAATCTGTTATCTAATACTCGTGTCATACTCATAGAACGGTCATTATACCAAACCAATCGGCGCCGTCTTGGTTGGTTGCTGTTGCGTATTAGCACGAGACCTCTCCACAGATATATATATATATATATATATATCCACATATTTCCACATATATGTGGAAATTGCCGGGATGTGGAAACAATAATATTGCACTGTGAGTTCAGATTACAGTCTGGATCACAATCTGAACGTGTAATCAGCTAGATTTTATACTATAAACGGTCAAACGTGCGACAGCTGAGTATCACTGGTATTATCCTACAAGCAGCGCATATTGACAAAATAAATATATTCTAATGGAAAATGTATGCTAATAACATGCACACAGGCGCTAAATGAATGACAAAAGTAATGATCGAAATTTGTGATGATCAAATATTTGAAAATGTCATAAGATTGAATTACGATCAGTGAGAAATGAATTAATGCTCGATAACGTATCGAACGTTCGTTCGGTCGCTCCTCGAGAAATTTCACCATCTCCAGATCTACCTTTCAAATTTCTAGTATCCTTGCAGCGTATCGAGAGTGTTCTCCTATAGGAAGCGGACAGTGAAAGCTCCGGTATCCTTTCCGGCGAGAAGACGGGATCGACGGACAATGGAGGTAAGGTCAGTGTCCAGTTACGTGGAACGTGATGCCGGGATCAAGTGGCTACAACTTGTATGGCTCCACCGATTAGCTGGGCGTAGTCATTGGTGCTAAATCTGTGAGTATACACACACCCGGCGTACCGGAACCCTTTCACTCACCTCTTCACTTTCTTAGTCATCCGTAGTTTCCTCTGTCTCCCTCACGCATCGCCCGTCACCCTTACGGCGCCGCCACGAGTTCTATGAACCAGATGCAATTACGACAGAAGAAAGTCGTTCGATCAAAGTCACTCTTTCCGTGCCCCTTCCTTTTCCCAGGTTGCTGCGCCCTCGGCCATTTGTAAGGACAATGAGCCACTCTTTCGAGGTTCCGGCGCGACAAAAAAGAAGCGCACGGGTCAATTCCCGCCGGTGCGAATACCTCTCGGTGGTATTAATGATAGTTCGGGAAAGTAGGGAGAAGAGCACGCAAACGTGGTGAATGAACGGACGAAACACGACGGATGTCACGTAAGTATCTAGACTTTAGAATGTTTAAACTGTTTTCTACTTAGCCGGTTTTCGGACGGAGCGCTCCATTCATTAGGGAGAACAACGGGTTATGAGAGCGAATAGATCGTCTCGATTCAACGCGTCACACGATATTTACAATGTTTCCGATAACCGTGTATAAACTGTACACGTAGCATAACGGCGATCCGAATCCTTGATGCTTGCATTGTGGTCTAGATTATTTCATGCGAAGCGGCGCGCGAAAGGCGATGTGGGAATACTGGCGTTCCACGCATTCCTTGTCGTTTATTTTGGAAACCTCTGCAAGCCGCATCTCGAATTAACTCTATACAGAATATTATCTTGCGACAATATATAAATAACTGTGAAATAGAGGTGCAAGTCATGCGCAAGAAATATCACGCGAGCAGCTGTACGTTTGTTTCGTTTATTTCGAACGAGAGCCTGAACCGAATTAGAAGCGGAGAAAACGCAACCCGAACCCACGTGATCTTCGAGCCGCGTTAATGCTTAACGAAGCGCTCGTTAAACTGATCGTGATTGCGCACGATCGATCATTTATCACCCGTCGTCGCTATCGGCACGGTGGACGCGCTCGTAGGAGACGCTGTCGTTGCAGCGATCGAGAGCTCCACCTTTCACACCGCGAACCGGATGATACTTTCATTGGTTGCGCCTTTTCCCGCCGTTCTTCGTGCTCTTTTTGCTAGCTTCTCCTTCACCCAGTTTTATTTGCTTTCCTTTCTTATTGCGTGCGCGAGCCGCTCTCACTCGTCTCCAGCTTTAGCTTGCTTTTTTAATAACGTATATTAGCGCAAAGCCAGGCGATACTTTGGTGCGTGGTTATTAATACCGCCGAGTGAATGACAAGAAACCCCGCCGCCGTTTTACACGTTGCGTATCTAAAAGACGTGGAATTCCGTTCGTATTTTTTTTTTGCACGCGGATAATGACGCTAATGATTTCGCATGGGAAACGCCCGCTTGTACTTTATCGCAAAAAATTCGCGCGCAAGTCTTTTCATTTCACCGTGTGTTACGCTGTATTTACGCTGGAATGGAATAAGTAGACACGTTTAGGGAAAAGGTGGTGATTTATGTACGTGCGTCTCGGTGCATTATAAGGTGATGACCACTCGTGCGGTTCACTAAGTTCATAAGTTATCGTTTCATTTACACGTTATCATTCGCGTGGCATCCTAGTAATATTTGCACCGGACCAGTTGAGCTTTATCGCGTTTCCTGGTCGGAAAGTTGATAGCAATCCGCGGGGGTGGGCCAGAAAGGTCGTTTGCAGGGAGGTCGTAAAGGTCCTGTTGAACGCTTCGATTACTGCAGAGTGAAGCGATTTATCTCGTGGATGTTTTGCGCTTTTCGGTCGAGTAACATTTCAATGAGCTCCGTCCGGACGATTTATGATTTACCGTTGCATTTCATTGCATCGAATTTATGTAAAGTCGTGATCATCGGTTGAATCATCCGACTCTACCTCCACGCAAATTGAGCTTTCTGATGTGCAGGGTGTTGCGTCGGTATATAAAGTAGTGTGTCGGACTGCTATTGCAAGGGTACGCGTGAGAGAAGCGCGAGCCGATGCGAGTAAATTCGCGCGCTCTCACTCTCTCATGTGCCCTTTTAATCCGACATATTACTTTATATGCTGATGCAACATTTTGTATATATATGCACAATAAAAAATGTTATGTAAATAACGGTCCACTGAACTTGTTACTTTAACATGGGATTACGTTAAAAAAATACATAAATATATGTAAAATTGACACATTAATCTGATTGAAATGTTACTTTTCAACATATCCACCTTATTAAGGTGATACAAAAATGTTCAGTATGCCATTATTTATACAAAATTCTTTACCGTGTATGCTGCTAAATATTAAATGATCGTTTAGTAGCGCGAACTGTCCATGTGATCTGGTCCGAATGACCTTTGTCTCAGGCCAGACATTGTCAGGCACTCCGATTGAGAATCGCTAGTGATGCCATGTAGCATCCGTTGCAACAGTGTTTCACGGCCGAAACAAAAGCACGTTCTTATCTCAGCTGGCTAGTCTTACGGTCTCACTTTGCAGTCGAGTAGATTCTAGAAGACCCGTTTTTGATTTACTAATCAAATATAGAGATGCAGGCATGCAAGTCTGGTTTCCATGAGAGATATCCAGATGGGTAGGGGAGAGAGAGAAAGCGTCATCTATAAAAACGAACGGTCCATTGGAACGAATCCGCAGTATCCTCTTCGTAGTCCCGTACACGCTCGTATCTCATCACGACATATTCTGAAAAATGCTCCTTCTACCCTCAGTAAGTAAGAAATAAAGAGAGAAAAAACGCGACGGATAGGACCCAAGCAAGACGGGGTGCGCGTGGGAGTCGCGAAAGCGGAGATTCATGGTGCCCGATATCTGCGCGCGTGAGTTCCGCCTTTACGCCGAACAATAGCGATGGAAAGTGACTGTCGATATTTCCATACTTCCCGCGATGTGTAACACTTTGTAGATGCCGAATATCTTGCGGGGGTGAGTGATGATACGAATCCGACGCGTCGCCAGCAGTACTCTCTTCGCAGGGAAGAAAGAACACCTCGACGACAAATGTTTCCTAAGTGTTCGCACGCGAATAAAGACGTTTGTCAGGGATTTTTCTACCTCGCTCGCACATTCATCGTAAAACTAAGTATAGAAGAGTTGAGACGTTACGGAACAGTGCTGCGTGCTTTAATTGAAATTCATCAGATCTTGAGCAACTCGTCAACACCATTCAACTGTCGCGCTACTTTCATAAAGATATCGCATTGCTTTCATAAAACTGTTATACGTGGCAGTAAATAACGTTAACAAAGAATTGCGTGGGAGAACATTTTATTTCTTTAAACTTTGTTTCCTTGTTTTCCGTTTATTTTGATTGTATGGTTTTAAAAGTTATAACTGTGTCACAAAGGTAAGAAAAAGACACGCGGTATTAAGGAATAAAAACTTTTGTGCGACTTGTTTTATATCAAACGTGCGTTTGTTACTTGCTTATCCTTCTCGATACGTTATACTGGAAAATTCAGATTAATTGAAGTAAAAGGACAATCGTTAATTTAGTTATTCCAGATACTGGTTGCATGTACGTTAACGAAGACAACACTCGCTGGTTTCATAGAAGGAAGTGACTCTGGATGGCACGGGTGAGTAGACACGATGAGAAAAATTTGCTCGTTGTACTTATCACTTCCTCTCTTAGCGTATCTCATTGTCTCGCCACTAATCACCATATTTTAATAAACGTATAGCACCACTAATTACGGAGTCACGAGTTACGGTCCCAGCGACAAGGATGTAAATGTTCATCAGGATCTCTCCTCTTACGGGCCGTTTTCTTCTTACGGAAGTGACGGTGATTTTCACATCAGCCATGAATTTAATCCCGAACATACATTCGTGCATTCAGTGCCGATTAGCAAGCACGTGGAAATCACGAAGCCAGTAGCGGTGCCAGTCATAACGAATATCGGTAAGATCTCGCGAGCTGTGTTAGTAAATGTCGAAATTGCGGATGATAGCTGGTTGATTTACGTAAAGTGTATAACTCATCTGCATTAAGGATAGAACAAGGAAATGTATTCATTAGATACTTAACGTCGCATTTTGAATCGTCTGTGAAAGTGGAATTCATGAGAAACATTCTCATTTATTTGGTCGACACGCGAGCCTCGGGGAGAAGTTGCATTTCCATTCGAATGCTAAAGTTGCAAAACTTCGTGGCTATAACAAGTAAAGTTACGTACTTCATACCGCTCTTCCTATTTTCTCAAATTAAACGCATGTCGGTCCTTTCCGAAACAAGCATTTCCACAATTTTATTTCCCTATTTGTCGATAAAGATAGATAAAATATATGACTGCTAAATTGGACAATACTATATCATCATTACGAGCATGTTTGCGTTATTCAATGAAAAACATTTCGTAAAATTGTCAATTAATATTGTATCACAAGAGATACCGTAACTTTTCGTTTTGTATATATTATTCAACATGACAGAGACCGAAAAACCGTCTCATTCCATCGTATCCGTATTGACAGAAAAAAATAATTTTTATAGAATTAGAAACTCCCCGTTGTTACAAGAGCAATTATTTGAGCTACCTGAAATTCGGTTTTTCTTTCATATATTTGATGAAATTTCGAGTTTGAGCTCTTATGTCGCATGGAAATAATACAGGTGTTCCAGTGGCGCAACCCGTGGCGATTCCCGTGCCCCATCCTGTGGCCGTAGCCGTTCCTCAACCTTACCCTATTCACGTACCAGTCGCTCAGCCGATCGCCGTACCGGTCGTGAGGACCGTCGCGATTCCAGTGGAAAAGAAGGTGCCGTATCCAGTGGAGAAGATTGTACCGGTGCCCGTGGAAAAGGCAGTACCGATAACAGTGGAGAAACACATAGCCGTGCCGGTGGAGAAACCGTACCCGATCCACATACCAGTTTACAAACATGTTTTCTATCGGAAAACGAAAAATCACAACCATGGCCACCATGGTTGAGTATATCGAAGAAAGTGTTGTGAGATGACTAAATGAGATTCTAGCAGCAATAGGAATGACGACTCGTGAAGTGTCGTCCTTCGTGAAGTCAAACGTCGCCACGTGGTTTCGCGGTAAACTCGCCATGATTACTTTTATTGAGTTACAAGCGCTGCGATACACGCGACTTGTCGTTATAGGGCCGTTGACCGAGCATGATGCGAGATAATAGTACGCTCCTCTTCCTATATATAGGTTATATTTGTACTTATGTTGGTGCGTTCATCTGTTGCCAAATAATAATCTTATTTAATAAAAATGTTGTTTTCTATTTGCGTGTGATGTTGTTTACCTGTCGTTATTAACCTGTTATTAACCTATTATTATTTACTTGTTGCGCATTTCAGGAAATATCTATAATGAAATATTTTTAAAGAAAACACGAACAGTTTGTTTTATTTGCATATATATATAGCCATTGAAATTTTCTAAGTTTCTCTCTCCAATGTCACATAGCAGAATTCTCTTCCTTCCTGTTTTATACGAAAATACTTGTCCCTTTTGTCATAAAATAATAAATCATGAAAGTTATTGTTACACAATAGTATACATAATAATATTTATGCAGAAGCTACTGGAGTATATTTGCACTTCGGAAGTATATATTAAAAATATCATGCATTTTTCGCGCTTTCTTTATCAACGCGATCTTTTATAGTTTCTAGATTAAAAAACAGATGCACGATCAATGTTGATTGAAAGTCTACTTTTATTTTATGACTTGGATATTTGCAGTGATTTCTGCAAAAAAACATTATCCGTGTATAAATTGAGACTTATAATGCGATTTGCATTATGTACGTTACGTGAACATTCACTTCCTTTCATTTCCGTGATTTTCACAAACACGTTATATGAGATCATAATGTATAATTTTTATTAGTGATTAATTAAAGAGACTGTTTGAATATCTCTTTCCGGTCTTTCTTGATAATGTGTCCTTATCTGTAAATAGCGTGATTAATTGTTATACGGGACGCAATTTACTTCGGATTCTTCGGAAGTAGTCACACTTCAGTAAGCCGGCAATTTCATTTCTCTTCCGAGCTCAAACTAGTCGAGGCGTGAAAGTATTTATTATTCCGTATTCATTCCGTTTTATTGAATTCATTTTAACAAAATTACATATTTATGCGATAAGTTCTTTTAATATTTTTTGTCATAAAGTCCTTGAAAATATAATTCATTTATAACTTTTGTCATTTAAATATTTTCTCAAAATGACAATTTAATCATTACTTTGCGTAAAAATGTGTAACATGATAATCATTATGTTTCAAACAACTTTGTTAGAAAGAATATTAATTTTTCTTATTTTTTCCTCTAAAGGAAAATTAAGAATGGAAATCCCAGCGGCCTTCTAAAAGTTTCGGAGAAATTCGTAGCGCGTGGCAACTCTTGAGGGCTATCCTTTCTTGTTAATTACTATAATAATAAAAGACAGGGGCATCGTGCACTTGGATGCTTCATACACGGTTTCGTTATGCTCTCTTCACACGTGCGATTATAAAAGTTTGCATGCGTATGTATATGCGTGCGTTAAAATGAGTCTATCGCGTTTTGCGATTAAATCGCTATTTGTCACATAACGCGGTTAATAGTTTCATGGCTGAAAGTAATGAGATATGTCGACATGCAAAACGAGGGTACGTTAACATCTTCATTAATGCAAATATTCTTTACTTTGTGATAATTATCGCGATAAAAGTAATAAAAGAACACGGAAAATTAAATTTTACATAAGCCTTACATAGAAAAAATATTAGATCCATAAACAATACACTCACATGATACTAGATTCATGAAAATTAGTATTTATTTGATACATAAGTAAAAGGAATATTTAATTAATCCAAGTAAAAATATGCTAAGGAGTATTAAAGTAATTATTTATTTAAATCTAGCACTTTTTTCTGTGTAAGGAAAGAGGTTCAATGATTAACATATTTTATAATACGTTTATGTACATATTTACCAATTAACATTGGTATATTTAAACGCAAAAAAGTCTAACTACTATCATAGAATGTGCAGCCGTTGATGATAAGGAAGAAGTGGCCTATCGAAAAACAATCGGTTAAGTTGCAATGTTGATTAATTCATTAGGTTGCACTCAGAGGCTTTCGATATACTGGTGTGTATAGACGATGAATTTATTTAATAAATCGTTTATCAGCGCGACTTAAATATTGAATTTCGATCATTGACGAGTTCTAAATTGTGACATATTTGTAATGCGTACTAATTATTGTGATAGTATATTAATTATTACGAGATAAGTACCAATTACTATAATTTTTTTAATTTCAATTCGATATTTTATTTTAAGTAGGATATACAGAATTTTTCCAACATAACTATGTATTCTTGGAGCGTAGAATCTTGACTAATTTTTACAAAAAGAAAACAAATTCTACAAGGGTCAATTTTGCGTCAAGAGACAGCTTAAAATAGAAACGAATATCCTAAAACTGCTGATCACCTCTTCTCCTACCTTTTGAGTAACTTTTATCCAACTTCCATTTGGTTGAAATCGGTCGATTTAAGCCGTGAAATTAGAATAACTAAACGAAGCGTGGAGAGCGGCGTTCTTGGAACGAATGATGTGCGAATTTAACGACGTTCGGGAATAATATGTCGGAGTGACGGCGTGGTGAGCTGCGGTAAGGCGAACGTGGAAATCCGCGCATGGACACTCACTGTGTGGAACCGAATAGAAAATGTCTAATTTGCTGTCAATGTGAAGGCCGCGGGGACATGGTCAATTATTTTCACGTGCGCGGCGAGCCGACCACGGTGAAACAATTGCGCCGGGCGGGTGTAATTCGCCGCAGTGCGAAGCGAGACGAAATTACATCGTCTACAGTGAAAGGCCCCACAGTATATTAAGACGCGAAATGGCCAAAGATGTATCAGTCGCAGAACAGACTTAGCAGAGGTGTACCAGCCGAAACACGTGCGCCATGAATAAAATCGTAAGTACATCATATATTCTTCGCGGAAACAAATGAGACACTTAAAAGTACGATTCGTCTAATCAGACTTTGCTTCGCGCTTGGTATTCCTCGACCAAGACTCACAGCCTGAACTATTCCTATAATTTCAGTAATTTTTTTTGTGAAATTGCACTTGACGCTTAACTAGCAACACGTGGACGCGAGGAGAATAAGAAATCATTAATAAAGGAAAAATGACAAGACAAATATAAAGCTTTCGATATTTGTTTTATTATTACTATTACTATACGACACGAACTATCTCGGCTAATTATTTTCATATTTTTTGCAAATGAAACAATATTATTATACTTTATTATTTATTTTAAGAGAAAATTCCATTAAGAAAAGAAGGATACAAATGTCAAGATTAAATCAGGCGACGAATCTACGAAATAAATAAAACAAAAAGTTAAAAATTATAAACTGATATTTTATATTTTCCATATCTGTCATCTTCTCGTCTCTACTGTTTTTCCATATTTACTTTGTCACTGTACATAGGTGCTGTTTTCTCTGGTGTCCTTGGCCGCAGCCAAGCCGGTGATCGTGAACCAAGATTCCGGAAGTTACATGATACCAACATTTGCCGCTTTACATCCATATCCGATTGATCGATCCGATCAAGAAAGCTTGGGCACTTCCGGCGGCGGTGGTTACGGGGGTGGCTACGGCGGTGGTTACGGAGGTGGAGATTTCGGCGGCGGTCATGGGGGTGGAGACTTCGGCGGCGGTCACGGAGGAGGTTTCGACGGTGGGCACTTAGAATCCTCGGGCGGTCAATTCGACGGAGGTCATCAGGATTTCTCGTCAATCGGTGGCGGTCACGGTGGTGGATTCGACGGTGGTTACGGTGGTGATGATGGTGGTCACGGAATTTCCCTGGACGGTGGGCACAATCACGTTCACAGTGTTCCCGTCTCCGAGCACATCGAAGTGACGAAGCCTATAGCCGTGCCAGTCTACAAACACGTCGGTAACGTATCCTCTTATTGTTTTCCCGTGAATCGCGGAAGATCATATAAGAAACCAAAAGTTGCAACGCAGTAGATGTCGTGTCTCTTTATTGATAACGACTGTGGGAAACGGATTTGTTATTTCCATTTATTTGTATCGTCAAAGTAAACGGCATAGCTTCTTGAAATATGCACATAAAATATTTAGTACGAAGGCTCTATTAATGTTGGCCCATTTCCTAAGCATAATGCCGTCGGAAATTTTCAATTAGAGGCATTATGCATGAATATTCGTGCATTATAACAATTGATAATCCGATGAATCGGCAACGATATTTCAAAGCAGCAGTCATGATATATAAATATTCGAAAACATCGCGCCTAATTGGAAATTTCCGATGTCACTATGCTTAGCAAACGGGACAGAATTAATAGAGCCTTCTGTACATAGACGCTTTTTGATACAGCACTTATTATTTCTTTGAACGAATCGAAATACCTCGTATACTTCCGCTTGATTCATTGCGCGCATGTTGGAGACATCTTCTTATTGTCCGAATGAATTCTTTTCAGGTGTTCCGGTACCGAAATCAGTGCCGATTGCCGTGCCACATCCGATTGCGGTTGGCGTTCCGCAACCTTACCCCGTGCACGTACCCGTACCGAAGCACATTCCCATACAGGTCGTGAAGACGGTGGCTGTTCCGGTGGAGAAGAAGGTCCCTTATCCCGTGGAGAAGCATATACCGGTACCCGTCGAGAAGCCGGTTCCCATCACGATCGAGAAACACATCCCCGTTCCGGTTGTGAAGCCGTACCCCATTAAAATTCCCGTTTACAAAACCATTTACCATCACGCGAAGAAGGGTCATTAGGGGCATGCCCGAGGAGCGAGTCTGTGGATTCTCATGACGAGGAAGAGAGGAAAACACGATATCTTAATTTAAAAGAGACCCTTAGCAACCAGCGTTTATCCACTTAGTGAATTTCGTAGATCGAGCTTAGGTATGTTCGATAATTTGCGTATATCGGATAGATAATTTATTAGCTTGCGGTAAGCATGCATTTTCGCCGTGAAACATTTCGAAAAATGTCTCGAACTAAATTACCCGAAACTTAGAAAATTTTGAAAACTAACTGCGCACGTTTAAATATTTTATTGAGACGCCAGGATTGCTTCGGGGTCAGTCTAATTGTACGCACTACAGCCTTATTCAATGTTACGCGATAATATGTTACCACCGTGGTAGAAGTCGATGTGTGAGAACCGATCAACTCGAATCGAAATGACACTTTTGATCATTCTAATACTTGTGCGCAGTGCTTTCTCGCTGCCGATAGGGAGAAAGTTCACGAAAAACGGTTCAGGTTTGTTCTGTTGATCGAGCGCTCGTCGACTGCGATTTGTTTTATATTTTTTGTATATAATATATAATCGCATTAAGCGCGCCGGTGCGACCGACGCATTGTTGAACTACATTTTTTTAAACGTTGTTGTTTTCGTTTTTTGAATAAAATACTTACAAAACCACACGCTTCTTTCTCTTTCTTGTTCGTCTTGTCCAGTGAAAGTTCACTGACGATACACTTTTTTCCATGTTCGTAAGTACATCAGAAAGCGCCAGAGTAATTTAATAAATTAAAGTAACGAGCTTCGTGCGCGCTTAAGTGCAATTAAGGATCACGCTCATTATTTATGGTAATAACGAACGATCGGAATTAAATTCGAAATATTGTAACAGCTACGTATAATATACATGAACGTCGTAAACCTTTTTTCTTAATTAATTAGAGAACAATCGTTTAAATTCGTCCATTGTTTCCACATATTAAATATTTCTGAACGGCAGAAAATTATTATATATTCTTCTTTTGTTTTCAAATTATGTATGAATTTGTTATTCATCATGTTTCCGAAATTATTGATAAAAAGGCTAAATGTCTTTTCCTAGTTTCTTAATTATATATTCATTGCCACATATATAAATAGTACTTTGTTATTTATAAGAAACACCTTTAAAATATTAAAAATGGTCAAATTTGATATTTTAACTAATTTGTGAATTTGCTTTCGTATATAATTAATCAAGTAAGTATCGATTATAATCCACCATGCGTTCCGTTATAGGTCATAGAACTAACAGCAGCTTTCACTACGATTTTCGATAAAAGCACCGGGAATTCTCTGGAAAGTGGACGTTAGACATTGATTCACTCAAGATGGACAAGATCATCGTGATCGCATGCAGCAAATCATCCGTGACGTCGAAGAGCATTATTGCGCGACGAGATTCAAGGAATTTTACGATCCCCGCACTTCACAATAAGAAATGACCGACAAAGAAACCAGAAATAATTTATATAGTACAAATCAATACGATTTTCTAACAGACGATAAAGTCAAGAAAGTTTCCACACAGTAATAAGAAATCGATTAATGTGAAATCGGAGATTGCAATACTTATTTATTTTTATTTATTTATTTATTTATTTATTTATTTATACAGTAATCATCCCTTTAATATAAGCTAAGTTCATAATTTACTAGGAATAACCTTAAATATACATTATTAATAATAATACGTAGAAAAAAAAAAAGGAAAAAAGCTTAGTGTAAAAATTGCCTGGGAAAGAAAGAAATAATTCACATTTAACAGTTTTACTGCTGATAATATCTAATTGTAATTAAAAAGGACGAATTTGATCGCACTACGTAAGATTTTTATTCTAATTAGTGTGTTATGTCATTATGGTATACACAATATTATAAAATTTTTCCATATCTAAAAAATATACATAACAAAAGAGAAATAAGATTGCAGTCTTTATATAAAAAAATTAAGTTTTTTTCTATCCTATAATATTAACATATTAAATAAAAACACATATAACTATAAGCGAAATAATTCATATAAATCGGTAATGTTATAAGTATAAATCAAAAATTTATATAAGAATAAACAGATGAAAACGAGTTGACTGACCGTAAGTACGTCATTATTGACGGTTAGGCATTAGATGTTACGCAAGATTGGTAATGGTGACTGTGAACGATTAGTTCCACAATCGAGCCATCGATGGCATTCCGTACAGTGAAGGTGTGGGGTATCATATCAAAGAATAGTGGGGTTACTTGTTTCTCTCTGTGCAGACGGTATATAAGTTGAGGACGAAAAGAATTTGTCTCGAGTAGACCACTTATTCATGGACGATAAAGTCATATCTTAGCTAAACGATGAAAAAAATTGTACGTAAAGACCCGTTCCGATTAGGCAATAAAATGCAAATCAAACTTGCATTTAACCAAAATAATCTCAACATGATCTTTAATCGTTTGGATTTCAAGTGAATCGACCAAATGCGTTTTGTGCGATTTGTGCAACGAATATTTATTTCCCAATTCTTGAATTACGTTTCTGGCAATTTCGGTGATGTTTAATGTTTGTTGTTTAAGATTGTGCTATTTGGAGTTATCGCCTGCTCTTGCTGTTCCAATTGGAATTTCGAAAGCCATGGCGGACATGGAATTACTTTGGGAGAGATTTCTATAGACCATCATGACATGGGTGTTTTCAGTCTTGGAAAAACAGGTTTGGCTATGTATATTGAGCTATTAATTATCGTTTTATCTCGCTTTATCTCTTTCCCATTTATTTCCTACGCATGTATTCATGATAACAGTATCGCCAGATGTCAATTGTATTAATAATAACGTGTGATTGGAACTTTGTAGACTGTTACACAGGCTTGATAAATGGATGCTGATACATGGCTTTAATTTTTAGACGGTCACTCTTTAAATTTCTTGGATGATCATTCGTCATTTTTAAGTAATATTAATGGATGGCATTCGGATATCAGCAGCTCTCACGGAGGCCATGTAATTCCTGTTGTTAAGCATATCGGTAATGTAAATGGCATTCATTTTCACAACGTGTGCTAATGTTTTTATATTCGCAACTTAGTAACGTACGCTATTAAAAGTTCACTTCGACAAAAAAGAAGGTGAGATATTTATCAAAGGATCCGAAGAGTTTGAAGAAATTGAGCTCTATAGATAATAATTACCTTTCTATGAAAGAAATTGATAACGCAATCTAACATACTATCATAACATAGTATGTTACTAATTAGTATTATATTATATATTAACATTTACACTAAATAATAAGATTGAATTAACATTACTTTATCACTCATTCCTTCACCGTCACTATTTTGAAATAGTTAATTACTTGTCGTAAGATATTTTCGAACTGTTTCTTATCGTTTTTATATATGTACGATAGGAATACCGACGATCAAAAAAATTCCATTGAATGTTCCACACCCAGTGGTACAAACGGTCATACAGCCGTATCCTGTTGCTGTGGTGATACCGAAGCCTGTACCATTTGAGGTGACTGGGCGATAATTAACGCAATTTCAGTAAAATTGCTCGCCATTATCTTTAGCTGACATGGGCCGCTCTCTTTTCAGGTGGAGAAGCAAGTAATTAAGACAGTCGAGAAAAAAGTGCCGACGCCTGTCGAGAAAATAATTCCGGTTAAGATCGAGAAGTTAGTGCCTTTTCACGTGGTGAAACACGTGCCCATACCAGTCGAAAAACCGTTCCCAGTCAAGATACCGATCTACAAGACCATCGTCCACAAAGTCCACAAAGGCCATTGATAATCTGCTTAATCTTACAGAAGTATGACTGTCGTTATTGTTAATATCCTTTTTACGTTGTGTATATGTCTAATCAAAGATCGCGCACATGATGCGTAAACTTAAGTTTGTTAGTACTACAACACACGTTATTTATTGAAGAGTTCGCAGCAGCATAGACGTAGATTCTTTCCGCTTATTTTTCCATCGAAAAATTGATTATTAGGTTATTTCGATCTAAAGAAATTCTTTCGACGTTTACACGTGTGTATTCCTATATAACCACCGATGTTATATAATTATGTATCTAACTGTCCTTATATTAAAGTATATAACAGATGCCTAGATCTTGCATTACTAAATCCCAATCTTCATCGGATATAAATCGGGTAAATACGTTTGGAAATATTTCTGCAATTAAATGCTTATTTAATTATTCATTTTGCTCGATATTAAATTCCAATATCACACGCGATCAAGCTACGTTGTAAGCTACGCTTTATTGGATTTCCAGTCAAAATATGAATCGCTTCGTGAAAAGTGAAACTGACAAGCAGAAAACTGTCGTATTATAATTTAAATGATAACGCTACGGTAATTTAACTCGCTAGTTTGAAAGCTCGTAGTAAATTAAAGCGGGATGTTAACGACGGCAAACATTGCACTCGTTATTTTTACGATAGTATATCGCCGTCATGAATTCATCAGAATCACACATCAGGATATAGGGATTATAAAAACGCTAATTTTCTAAGTGGTTCGGCGCATGCTAACGAGCACTGTGGCGATTAGTCTGGTCGGAGTATAATAAGCGAAGTTTCACCGTTCAAATGACTCCCGGGATGGGTGTTGGATTTGCATGGTCAACGAACGCGTACGGTCGTCTGATTCGCGTTCCACCTAACTTGGAAATATACGAAACGGTGTAAGACGACTGTGCACGCGGAACTCGAGGCGACAGTCGTTCCTGTACAACAAGCAATATATTTTGCCAAGTCCGCGACGTTCGCTGTTACATGCGAACAGTTCTGAAGTAATTTATGATACGGTCTGAAAATACCCGCGTGGAAATCCCCTGTCTTTTCTGGTATATTAATTTACATACGTACAATAGTGTTAAAATGACACTTCTTATGCACTGTTTAATGTCTTAAGTGTTTTTTTATATATTTTTTTATCTGTGGGCACGATTTTTCCCATACTCTTGCATATTAATCTTTCTACGTATTGATAATCATAAAATCTGCATACTCCTCCGCCCACACATACTTCACTTTCTATCAATATCTTAAATAATATCGTAGATAGTATCGCAAGTAGCAGAACTTGCACGTGCTACATTGCCAAAGGTAGAAAAAACGAAGAATTTCACGCGGAAAGATCAACATCGAAAGTGAAGTGTAAATTCCATTCTCTTTCTCTTTCTCTCTCTCCCCTTGATATTGTCGAAAGTGAAAAGGATCTCATCGTGAGAATTTACATTTCAATTACCACCTCAATATCGGCGAGCGTCGAATCGAAAAAAGGTAGATGCTTTTGGTTTGCAAAAATTACGCAACAATAATATCTTCCTATATACTTGAAAAAGGGAAAAAAGAAAACAATTACGGAAAGCATTGAATGTACGGTAGCGATAAAAAGCTAGCAGCGAAAGGTAAATCTATAGATATATATATATAAGATTGTTTCTTCCTCCAATCGCGATAGTTTCGATCGTTGTAAAAGGAGGAAGAATGATCTTTCGCGACGTAATGATTCGACGTAAGAAAAGAAAAAAGAAAAAGACGTTATAACGCTTTAGTGTCTGTAAAGCAGATTTCGAAATGGCTGCGGTCGCATACTTTATTCTTTCATTTCCGAGTATTACATCCCACGTTAAGCCGTCATATCGCCCATTAAGCATCCTTAATCTTCGTACTTTAATGTCACGCGAAAAAACGGGAACTAGCTGTACAAGCGATTTCAGTTGATGCGATTTCAGTTGATTTTATTTGATTTGTACTCTAATCGTTCAATGAATACAGTTTATAGTGCGCTCATTTACATAAGCTTAACACGCAATCGTGAACAATTTCTAACGTCATCGTTTTATGTTTTCGGGCTCGAGGGGAAATAGACACTCTTCAATTACGGGAAAGCCGATCGATCGAGCAAATTTGTCGATGCGTCGAGTACAGATAATTAACGTTGAGCGGCTTGAATCAGGAAGGCGCACGTTAATACTTAATACACAATCACCATCGGTCGGCTTTTTCCTTTTGCGGCACGATCGCCGTGATTGTCGGTAGAGCAAATCGACTTTGAACTTTACTTTCGCCGTGGGCTTTTTCCCACAGCAAACTCCTTCCTTCCTTAGCTTCCTTTTTCCACATTACCGACGAATTCGTTGACTTACGCTCGTTATTTTGATGCTTCCGCTGAAGGAGAATTATGAGTTCACGGCGAGGTTCTATTATCGTGATTATTATGAGAAATCTTCTAGCACATTACCTCATCTCTCTCGGAGGAATTTTATCTTACACGAGACCGAAGAAGTTTATATATCTGAATCCAACGTACCTCGATTTCTGCTACCAGAAATTAGTAATATCAGAATATTGTCTCTCTCTTGTAAGCTTTTATAACTTACGTTTGAATTATAATATATAATGCAATTGTTGGGTCAACAAGCTATATCGTTTCGCAATTTTTATTCCCACTAATGCATGGTGCATCGCACGGTTTTCCAAAGAATATAGACTTTACCGTTTCTTTATTTTACGTAGGAGGTTTTAAGTTAAGGTGTCAATATGAAATATTAGATTTACAAAAATTCTTTAAAATTGCAATATACAATAGTAATAAATAATAAAAGGTACGTGTATTGATTGAATAGAACAGGGAGACGTCTGTCAATGTCAAGGAACACGACCGTATAAATTAACACTTTCTCTAATGCCGAGGTGGTAGGTCAGGGCTCGGTCGTAGTTGTTGCGCCATTAGTACACACCGAGAACAATTGAGATCACACCGAGACCTGGGCCTGAACTTTCCTGAATGACAGATCGTGAGTATCTGCGACGACGGCGACCGTAGGTTCGTCCAATTTTCCACAAAAGCAAATTAGCGATATCGCTCCACCATCGGCGTTAATTGAGATGGTCTCTGTTCCAGAGTAGTCCTGGAGTTTCTCCACGCATTAGAAACGGTATATTTACTTCCACGAACGACGAACTTGCCGTGCGAATAATTGACTGGCGAAGCCTGAGGAGCTCGTGGTTATTTAAAGAATTTGTTTATCGTTTAATGTCATACTCTGGATGAAATTGAACGACACAATGCGCGCGCGTGATGTTGATCGTTTTTTAAGTAATTTTATTTTTCGCGCTCTCGCTGTGTAACTCGTAAAATTTAAGCTAACTGTGTAAAATTTAAGCAAATTCTACACTTCCACATTTACTCGTGTATACACTTATAAACATTGATTTTTCTTTACTTCTTTCCGGGTAAGATTTCCTTTTTGGGGTGATCACGGGTGTATATATAGTTATTATTTTGATTATTAATGGATATTGTGCACTTTACGTTAATAATCCATTTTTAAGCTTATTTCACGCCGCCTTTCACAGTTGTCTTTCTATCTATGTGTAATATTCCATCCGGAACCCTTTCACGGAACGTTGTGTATCGTACTTTCATTCTGATGTATCGAAAAATGTATCGTCTTTTAACGTTTTCTCCCTGCTGCCGTATACTCCACGTTCACTTCCTGATGAGTCCAAAAGCCCCGGCAAAGCGGGAATTGCCTCGCCGCATGTCTATCGGGCGAGTTATGTATTCATGTAAGTGAGCGGAAGTCGAATTCGTATATCCGTTGGGCGCACCTTTCTTGTTCACCGAACCGGATCGACGTAGCGAAAAAATCCTCGACGAGTCACGGTATATTTTGTCTCGAGAAAATCAATAGTCACTTCAGGTAACGACCGAATCATCTCGCCGTTCGCTCGCAAATTTGTACCTACGGCGGTATATAATTTAATTTGCGATCACTTTACCGGAATTATATCAAAGTATCTTTGAGATAGTATATGCACGAAGGTACATTTACCTTCACTTCCGGCAAACGGAGGACTCATGCGCGTTTGCGGTTGCTCGAATGTACCTTTACAATTTTCGTTCGCCGCAGAGTATCTTGCTGTTCGCACAATGTTCGCCTTTCTCGAGTAATACAACAAAACCCGGAAAACCGATGAGATATTTGTTTAATTATATTAATCGTATTGCCTTGCGGTACGTGTTATATAAACAAAATTAGACACAAAAGTAACCGTGCAGATTTTATTGCGCTTGTTTCTTAATTCGACAATAAGAAACATAGGTATTGCACGATAGCGCAATTAAATCACAGATTGCTATTACTTGCGCTTTTCCTGTCCTTAACGTTTTATAATATGCATAATCATATATCTACTTCCGCGTAAAAATTACACCGTGTTCCGTAAATCTCAGAGGAAGAAGAGAATTTAATGTATGTGTGTGTGTGTGTGTGTGTGTGTAAAGTGGTGCGTGAGTATAATACAATTTTCCCACGACAATATATAGAGTCCTTCTCAGGATGGCGTATATTGTTGCACGATCTGAATTGTAGCACGATATATCCTGGAAAGATCCGGAACTCTATCTCAGGATATATTAGTGAAAGGTGGTGGAATCGAAGTATATAAGCCGGATCTTTAAGCTACTTGGTCACTCAACGCTCGATTCTACGTGTTTGCACTATCATTGCCTTCTGCAGAGCATCGACATGAATCAAATTGTAAGATTTAGGCGTTCATTTGCATGTCGTGCGACTTATGTGTTCACTGTGTTAAATAGTGTTACTTAATTTAATGAAAGAAAAAGTGCAAGTTTGAATAGAAAATGACGAAAATAAATTAAATTCATCGGAATTGACTAAATAACATGATGTGTGCTTAAATATTTTGAGAATTGCAATTATTTTTAGAAATTGGAAACATACATATATATTTATATTTATTATATGAAAGTTATTCGAGCAATATTGTTACATAACCTTTTCTGGTGCTTTCGTAATAATAAGAATTTCCAAATATTTTCAAGTTACGATGTTATATCGTTTGGATATCAGAAAGATAAGGATTTTTCACGCCAAAAAGTGATAAGTAATTTGAAATTGCAGATTTTGTTGTTGAGTCTCGCGTCGTTTAGCGGCGTAGTGTTCGCTGGCTACGAGGAGGACCATGGTGGTTCAACATACGAAGAGAAAACGAAGCATGTGGAGATACCGATAATCAAGAAATACGGTGAGTTAATATTCCGTGAAACTTTAATTTGAATTTATCCAGTTCGTTATAAAGTCTATTTTCACATATTTGAAAATTCTCTTGCATTTATATGCCCGAGTTTAAGAATCGTTGAAACATAAATAACTACCGGAATTCTCATACGGTATTTGCGGCAAAGTACGTTATATTACTATCTAAAAGCCTTATCTGTAGAAGATATGTAATTAATCTCTTTGTTTCAGCCATACCTATTCCGCACCCTGTGCCGGTCGAAGTGCCCAAGGAAATTAAAATACCAGTGCCTCAACCCTATAAAGTACCAATCGAAATTCCTCATCCGTATCCGGTCGAGGTGGTCAAACACGTTGAGATTCCCATCGAGAAGCCTGAGCCTGTCATTGTAGAGAAACATGTAAGTTTAATCGTAACGTCGACTTTCGATATCTTTACGCGCGGTACAACTTTCGTTTAGTACAGAAGTAGAGTAAGTTTTGCTTTTACGAGGCATAATCATAAGTAATATCAACAAATATCACACAGTTCTATTTTTAGTTTACATATTCACTTATTTGTATTTTACAGGTGCCTTATGTCGTCGAGAAGCCGTATCCCGTCTACGTAGAAAAGAAATTCCCCGTGCCGGTGGCGAAACCGTATCCCGTCCACGTCCCGATATACAAACACGTGGTTCACTACACGTCTAAGGGTAAAGGATGGCATTAAAACTTTCTAATTATTAGGTATTATCAAAATCGTCCGCGCGCCGAGGGAAATTCATCTTGGGGGACTTCTCGATTTCGGCCGGAACGATTGCATACTAACACGAATTTCTCGCGAAGGGTATCATTAGGGAATCCCCTCGTAAAAACCATTTAAACAATTATATGAACGCCTCTCTCAAAGATTTATTGTCGATCGAAATAGGGGTGTGTTTTAATAGCATGCGCTAGAGAGCTTGACTTCGAGGTTGAACCTGCCGAGTCGCCATGTAGATAATTTGTTATGCGTTTCCTTCACCGTTGTTAAGTTTTGATAGACTCCATGTGAAATGCGTACTCGTTTTTAAGTATTTGTTAATAAACGATTTCCACTGAAAGTCTCGTCTCACTCGCTGATCCAAGTCTTAAGTTAAGTTTGATGGAGCGGGTCAGGGAAGACCGCAATGATACATTAAATATAATGACATTATCGAGCGAGCCGTCAAGCATGACGCGTCGCTCTTTGCATCTGGTTACTTGTGTAAAAGGCGGAAGCTCGAGGAATCTGGCTGACGTGTCAGATCGCCCGATAACGCGAGATTCTCGCATCGATTCCGTGTGATTCCTTCCGGCGCAAAGAGACCGTACGAAAAAGCGCGCGTGTGTAACCTACTGTTTCGTTTCCTCGTCGAGGACACGATTACGATCGGCTAGAAAGAAACTGGCTACAGCCGGGGGAGCGTTGCGCGCTCTGATCTCGATTCGCCATAATGAGCACGCGCGTTCTTACACACCGACGTGTGAAACCACTTTTACTTGCGATGCACTTTCACTGTTCCGCTCGGCGATACGGATAGCACCGTGCACGATTTAAATCTCGAGATCGCGATCCTACCCCCTCCCGCTGTCGCGCAACCACACCCTCGGTGCGCCTTTCATAAATCAATATCGCTCCGCGCACATCCGCGCCGATCCGCAAAAGTCGCGGCAATGCTTTTCCCGATCGTCGATCGCGATGCCTGCGACCGATTTTTTGCACGCGGTAGAGAGAGGTGCTCTGTTCCTAGAGATTTGCGGCAAATGTCCGCTTGTTCATCGTCCGTGAAAATTACCTTGCCTCTCGGCGTTGTTTGCGGTGAGACGCAAAATGCTTCAGGAAGAAATCCACGTTGCACCGTTCTGTTATTGATTACTTCAAGTCACATATTATTACTTATGCAAGGAATTATGTTGTTAATTTATCAATATCAAGTTCTCTTCGTTGCCGTCGATGTTAATACAATAGCGGGCCCGTGAAAGGAAATTTCATTAATTGTACATGAGCGTCGGTATTTCGACGAACAGCAATCATACAACGTTTATTAACAGATTGTTGAACAAACAAACTAGACCATGACATTACCACATTTATGCCGATCGCTTATCTTTGTCTCTCGCACCGATACATGCAACTGGCCGTGATCATGAGAGAACGATGTCGGAAAAACGATTGCGTGCACCAGCGCCGGAGACTCTCTCTTGAAATCTCAGAACCGTTTTATCACCCGACTCATCAGAGGAAGAATAACAGGCTGAGTGATACATTGGTGGTACTAAATGAAAAAGTAGAATACCACTGCACCGCGCGGGTTATATTTTTCCGTTTTATTTTTCAATAACGATAACTACTCAAGTTTATCATAACAACTTTTGCTACATCTTAATTTCTTCAGCTATTAGGACTCTATCTAGATTTTCCTTTTTCTATGAAGGTTTCCGGTATATATTATAATACCATAATTTTAATGACCATAATTTTAATGAAAAGTCATTAAACGACGAACACAAACCTACGTGCATTGAACATGTGCATAGTATTTTCACTAATAACTATTCCCGATGATTAATGGTGTCATTAAATATTTCCATAAGGTTGTACATCGAAATGTAATTTAAAATATAAATATAATATATAATATTTAATTTAAAATATAAAATTACGTAAAAAAAGGAAAAATTGCAAAAACAAGTGAAATAATTAAATTAATGTAGAATTTATGAGTTTTCTATTTAAATTAAATTTATTATAATTCTATAATTNTTTCTATATTTAAAAATATTCATAACAAATTAAAAGTTTTAAGTTATGTATTCAAAGTTACGTTACATCACTTTCCACATATTGATACGTCTAATAAACTCTCATAATAGGTTATTATATGTTACATCTAACTTTTAAATCAAATTCAATGTAGTTATGTTTCATGATGCGTACTCATGATAAAATTCCTGTTCAATTTTCATGTTAGTCAGAAGCCAGATCTAATTTAATGTCCGTGAATGAAATAAATCTAATTTAATGTCTGTCAATGAAATAAATAAAGAAAGAAAAAGGAAACGTGTATAATTTTTTTGTATATTTAAGCAGGTTTTTTTATTTATTGTTCATTTATAATTTGCTAATAAGAACCTAATTTTTAATTTTAATGAAGAATTCGATATTTTTAAATATTTACGCAATATTTCTTTAGTTTGATATATTACAATTGAATTGATGTACGTTTAACATTTTATACTGCACAATCTACATTTGAATGTGACACGTGGATAGTTATTATGCTTAATTAACGTATACAATTACTTTCTGAGAAGATTTATGCTCACGAAATCTAATTTTGTTATAGTACCAGGACTAGACGATGTTGCTAATTAGGAACGATTACTTCGTCGTTACCACTGTGTTCTGCGATGTATGCCACTGTTGTAACACGTTCGTCTGCGTGCATGATAGCCAGGAGCATGACGGGAATAATTAATAAGCAGTGGATAGCTTGTTATCTACCCAGGAATCCTAGGTGCAAGTGTACCGCAATTCATCCACCCCAACATAGAGTTTTGATAATTTAGTTTGCGCATTCTAAAGTTAGTGAACGTCAGGAAGATTGGAGACTGAACCGCTCTCGGAGGCTGTCGTTATAGTCGTGCAGACTTACGTAGCCGGCACTTGTACGTGCAAGCGTGCACTTATACACCGAGACCAGTTAAAATCAATGTAATGAAGAGAAGGGAGAAAGTAGCGTCGGTATATAAAGAGTTGGCCGTGACTTTGAAAGCATCGTAGAGTCTGTAGTGCGCTCCACGGACAGGCATATCGCAATAACCGATTGTCACGGCAAGTGTACCTTCATCGCGCGAGCACCAAGATTATGAGACTATTTGTAAGTACTTTTCAAAAGAAACTTTGTGTGCTAAATCGCTCGGTGTAACTTTGTGCGTTTTTTAATCTCCGCCGTAATACGTCATTACGCGAATTAACTTTCGCAGAGATGAGAAAAAGAAAGAGAGAGAGATAATAATTATATACATTCATTTAGACAAAAGCGGGTGTTTCCTTTAATAAGATGGCAATCATACGCTTGAATTTAACCAATTAAGTTTTCATAATTATAGGTCGAATTACGTCGAATTGCGATCGTTGATCTCGTGAAAAAGAGAAAAGCAGATCTCATTTTTCTCATGAAAGGCAATGTTACAATTAAGCCGGCGTAAATAAGGCAAGGCTGCAATTAGTTATTTATTACGAAATTGCTTGCGCTTTGCGTGACACTATTCCGAATATGGTTCGCTAAGACGGCTAGACGAGCGAGTTGTCTGCGCATTGGGCCGGATAGCTGTATCGTGAAACTATTGCCAGAAGAAGAGTACCGGAGTCGCGGAGAAAGCGATTAGTATTGCTCATGCTGACGGGGCTTTCATTTTGGAACGCTCGATCTAACGACTCGCTTGTTTTTGTAGATGCTAGCCATCATGGTGGCCATGGTTTGGGCCTCCTACGAGGAGGAGCACGGCGGAAGCACGTACCATGAAACCTCGAAGCCGGTGGAGATTCCGATTTATAAAAAGTACGCGATACCGATTCCGCATCCGGTCCCAGTTCCGGTGCCTCAGGAAATCAAGGTTCCGATACCTCAGCCGTATGAGGTTCAAGTCGCAATTCCGCATCCGGTTCCCGTCGAGGTGGTCAAACACGTCGAAATCCCTGTGGAGAAGCCGGAACCGTACATCGTGGAGAAGAAGGTCCTTATTAATAACATTTATTAACGAATCATAACTGTAAGACATACTGTAATTTGAAAGAGAGCGATTCTACGCTCGAAGATAAATCGGGAAAGTATGTAAGACGTCATTTGTCCTGATACTGTTAAATATCGTTATTTTTACCACCGCCTTTACCGTCGCAGGTACCGTACGTCGTTGAGAAGCCGTATCCAGTGACAGTGGAGAAGCATTTTCCAGTGCCGATACCTAAACCATACCCAGTTCACGTGCCGGTGTACAAACATGTTTTCCATCATCAGAGCTCGGGGCACGGCTGGAAACATTGATTCAAGCCAGCCCGAACAACTCCCTGCAGTATCTTTATGCCAAAAATAGTAACGAAGCTATACGAGAGCAACGGTAGATCGTAAGCGTTATGATATCTGTACATAGTTCGTTGTTGTACATGTAATGTTGTGTTTGTGGAAATAAATCGTCCGTTTTCGTAAACGTCAATCACTCATCGTCGCTTTTCCTCCGAGCGATTAGAGCAGGGCTAATCTACGCGTCAGCGGCGTGTTAGGATGAATTAAAATACAAGACATTTAGGCGGATGTTTGCAAGGAGATTTTTAATTGCCCGGACAGACTTTTATTTCGCTCGATTACACGTCTATCAGTTGGATTTGCTGAGAATTACCAAATCAAGCCGGCGATTTACGATCTCGAGCGATTTTACGCCCTACCAGCGATTATACGCGCGCGCTTGCGACAAGCACGCGGTAAATACATCAGGCGTGTCCGACTTTTTCCGTGAATGCATCCATAACCACCGTAAATTACGGTACACCAGTGTTCCCACGGGCGACGCCTCGGGCGATCTGTCGCGTTATGGGATCCCGGTTCTGTCGCCGACCTGGCGTGTCCACCTCGTGGTAAATGACGACGAATAATGTCAACGACGCAATGCGTCGCGCCATGCCCAAGGTGCGGTCTCCTGCGCCGCTGCAGAATTTATTCAGGAAATACCGGGGCGCGAGCAATTGCATCATAGGCCTGGCGACCACTTTTTCCACCGCTTAAGGGAATCACATTCGACTTTGGCTCGGCAGAAACTTGCCCTCTCTAAGTGGAGCAAAAGTTTATAAAACCGAGGACCGCGAGCGACGCGCCTCTAGTTTCGTCCAGGACTCCCGCTCCTATCGGTCATCAAACGCGATCCCAGAAATAGGAAGGAAATCATGTTCAGGATATTGGTAAGCCGACATCGCGCAGCTGATGCCCTGCATTGAAAGGAAAAAGTGCTGCATTCATAAATATTTGTTAAAAGGATGTTGTAGTAATTACTTAAGTAATGATTTCATTTGAAATAATAAGTAAATATCACTCGAACGTAGCACACTGAAGGAAAAGTGTTATATTTATGTGATATTTACTTGATCCAAATGAAATAACGATTCCGATCCCTCTCAGCAAATATTTACTCGAATTGTAGCACTTTTTTTCAGTGTATGAATTAGGGCTGTTAATATTCTTTCCATTTTAAAACGTATCGCTAGACACGTAGAAAATATCATAACATGCTCAGCCTTAAACAGTTTCAACTAAATTTATCGATTAACTGTGATTCTTCGCTTATACCATATGTTACTGTTCAATGTTAAATAGAAGAAGATTATCGCAGAGACGCGGGTGATACGTTCCACAAGATTGCGAGAAAAGAACGACCCTTCGTTTCTCGCATGATCGCGACGTATTTACACTCCCCAACATAAATGTCCTGTTTAATCCCGCGTCATCGACAATGTAGCGAGTCCCTTTTCTGCGACATTCATCGGCCCTTCACGTAACAATCGAACCTTTACGTCTCCCCAGCTACCATGCTTGATATGGCTGTCTACGGTGCGTTCGGAGACCGGGCTGCACATGGACATGCCGAACGAATCGCTGATGGACAAAGTATCGGACACCTCGATACTGAAGCTGAAAAGAGAATCCTACCATCAACCTTGCGGACCGGTCTACCCGCATGTTCCCGCCTACGCACCGCCGCCCGTTTACGTTAAGCCCTACGTCCAGCCGACCTATTTGAAGAAGGAGCTGGGCGTCCAGCCCTTGGCTCACTTCCAATATCCCCAGCAGCCCTCTTACACCTCTGTGGTGTCGAAGCCGGTCGTCTCGTACGTAAAACCGCTGACACCTGTGGTGAATTACCAAACGGTGCATCAGTCGGCGCAGTATATCAAACCTGCGATACCAATCTACCAGAAACCCGCCATGTCCTACGCGCCGACCTATCAGAAACCGTTGTACTACGCATCCGCGTATCAAAGTTCTATGTACCACCACGACATGCCGAACATATTCGTGAAGAAATACGAAGCCCCAGTCGCACCGATAGTCTACCAGAAGCCGGTGATTCACGCGCCCATCCAGTACGCCGCGCCGAAGGTGTTGCAGCTGCCAACGCCGCACGTGTCCTATGTAAAGCCCGTGGTTCATGCGCCGCCCGCATATGCCCCGCCGTCCGTACATAATTCCGTTATAGTTAAGCCTCATTGTGTGTAAATCGATCGCACGTTAACGCGGATATCGACGCACGAAGGGCTTCCCTGAGCACGGCTCCTGAAACGCGTTAAAGGTAAATGATTGGCACACCGACGGCTTTCCATCGATCCGCATTTTGTAATCTAAAAGTTAAATGAACACTCGAAGCATCGAAAACTAAAGCATTGAAACAAGCATTGACAACAAAGAATGTAAAACTGCAAAATTGTACGTAAAATCGTGTGAAATAACGTGATGGTTTGTACTGCGACATACATCGTCCCGAGAATGCCATTTATATCAATATTAGTTATTACCGAATTAGGAAGAAGAACGTATTGTCAAATTTGATAGAAAATTGATGTGAAGCGTGTAATAAAATCGGCTCCTTTTTCAATCCATCGTTTAATTGACTCCTTATAAATCATGTTTTACAATCGATTTTGCTTAAAGTTACGATTCGCCGAAGATCCTTCAGCTTGTACATACGTAGAACATACATCGAGCATCGCCAATTTGGATTCATGTATGCGAACGAATCAGTCATGATGTTATTTTTTGTACGTTTTATAATTTCAAAATAAAGCAGGTTTAAAATGTGAGTATGTGGATATATTACGCTTTAATCATGATGATAACGAAGATTTCTCTAATTATTACGATAAAACTGTAATCATATCACTTCTCGAGTTTCATATCATATCACTCTTTTTACGGTCTGTTAGTTATTACTTACACATTATTTTTCTACTTTTACTCTAGCGAATTTTCCCATGCACTGTGGAGCGTGTAACATATGTGGTTTATGAAACTGTCTTGAAACGTTGTAATTCAAGTAAAAGCTATGACGGCACAAGGAACGATTTCTTAAAGGTAGGCTTATTATTATCGAAATAATACCATATATATGTGTGCTCTAACGTTACGTTAAGCAAAATACTTTTACATTAAATAATTACATAATTTTTTTACTCTCTTTTGTCGACTGGTTTTCCCTATGAGTTAAATATACATATAATTATAAACGATTTTTTAAATTTAATTATAAAAACTTTATACATACGCGCATATATATATATATATATATTTTTTTTTTTTTTTTAATGAAATCAGGTTACATTAAGTCCATGAGAACTGGAACTGGAATGAATTATAGATTCGACGTCAGTGAGCTTAACAACCTATTCTCGAGGATTTCGAAGAATTACAGTTTCGCCATACACATGTAATACCACTCGACCAATTGCATAACTCGACAATGAAATGGCGAAGTATCTCGCCGTTTTGAAATAGCACACACGTGCACGCTTGCGGGCGTAACCAGCTGATTTTCCCATACCCACGTACAAGCGCGCCGTATCGCGTCCACGCGAGAATCCACACCATAAAGCACGATTGTAAACATCCGTCCATGATGCATAATATTCACATGAACTTGCGTAACGTTCTGCGGCTACCGCTGTATAAAATAGGGGACCATGAGAAGAAGACCTCAGTGGGACCGACCGAGTGTTTGAAGTGGATTCATTATGAGATACTGCGTGAGTGAATGTTAGAATTTTAAAAAGTGGAACTTCAATTAATGAAACGATCCTTTAATTCAAGTCAATTGCATTCTCGAAAGGATAAAACGTTACTCAAGTCAAATGATTTTTTTTTCACATTTACGATCAATTGATTCGCGAATGAAGGGGATTCAAATATAAAATTTAAGCCGTATTTGATTTTTTCTGCCGCGAATCGCAACGAACGAACATAAAAGCAAATTAACTTGAGTAAAGAGGTTCCGCTTTACAAATGCGTTTGCACATTACTTTCATCGTTAAGACAATTAAATGGAATGAATGTAATGGAAAAAGAATAAAGCGAAGTAAAAATTATTATTTCCCACGTTAATAACGTGAAAAGTTCAATAAACAATTAGCGAAGTTTCTTCTTGACGGCTCGATATGACGAATTCCAATTTGTTACGTTCCAGTTGTATTTATTGGTAGCCGCCGTCTGCGAGGCGAAAAGAATATCGAGAGAAGTGGATTATGTACATTTTCCAAATTTCCGGACGGTTTACCACGGCCGTGGTGCTACCAGTTATCAAAACGTGCAGGTTGATAATCACGATAGTATACAAGTGCCCACGAATTATATAGATCAAGCGGAGATTCAGGATTTGGGACACACACATCACCAGGCAGTGATCGTTCCGATCGAAGAGCCTCACAATGACGTACATTTCGATGTAGCTGATTCAGGTAAATCGAAAGACAGATGTATGATAAATCGAGTCGGAATATAAAATTAATTCATTGAATGCATATAAAATATTATCATAATTTCTTTCTTCTCGCGTTATAACTACACGGAAGAAAAATATTAGCTCCCACAGCTAAAATTTAGTTTCTACAGCTAAAAACTAACTCTCATAGGTAATAATTAGTCGTCCATATGGTACAATTGAAGTTGAGTTAATTTAGCTAATTTCTTTTTGTCTCTATATCTAGTTTTTAACTCCCGTAGCTACCTTTCTTTCCGTGCGCGTTAAGAATACTTGAGGACACACAATACACACTAAGCACATAACTGCATGGCGCTAACTGAATGTTTGATAATTGTTTGAATTTTACGTGTTAACAGAAGATGATTTAATATGTTTTTTCAGAGCCTTACGAGGAATTTACCGTCGCTGATGTTGAGCTCAAATCCGACGTGCTGGAGCACTATTTCAATCACTACGACGATGAACATGACTACGATTTTCATTTGCAAAAATGATTTACAAACCATCATGCTCAGAAAAGCATTATTATTTTTCCTTCCGTTATTTCTATTAGTTAATAGGTATTAAAATCTATAATAATGAAAATCTCAGGTATTATTTAGATTTGCCGTGTATTACCAAGTAATCGATAGAAATTCAATGTAGAATATGTTTCCATGTCGTCATTAATTGCTGCGAAATTGATTATCCGTAAGCCAAAAATATAAGAAAAGAGAACTACGAAGTGATTTGCAATCTTTTTATTTCGTCTTGCTCTCTTATATTCAATATATATATATGTATATATGTATATATATATATATATATATATATATGTGTGTGTGTGTATATGTATATGTATAGGGTGATATATAATAATTTATGTAAATAACATTATTATAATGAAAACAACAACGTGGTAATCATTGTGCTAGGCTCTCGTTTAATCTTTATTTACAACCCTATGTGACCATTCGTGCGAGAGCTTCGCCCCGCCAAAGGGCGCTCCTTACGATCATGGTTGAAAATTGTACGATCTCGAGATTCTAATTCTCTAATATTCTAATCATTATCAGCAGTCACGAGAATTATCGGTTAAGTCCGACCGTGAGAGCGTCTCTCAACTCAAGGTATGTATGGTCTAGGAATCGTCACGGTAACAGCGAAAAGTTTCCTCTCGGAATTAGGCATCGACTCACAAACACAGACGACAGTTTCACACACGCACGCATATACACATTCTCCTCTTCGATAGACTTCGACAATAGTGTTAACAATCGAAAAATATTTACTTCGACGTTTATCGGGCGGTGAATGTCTCTCACCGCTTAATCAATCCCGCGATCGTTATATATACATATATATTTTATATACGAATATATACCTAATACTTGACTAGAGATCACTTTTTTAAATTTTATTGACTCCCTTAATAGTCTAGGTACTCGGACAGTATGGAGACACGAGATGTCTGTTTATATAAAAAAATACTCGGCTGAATGAATTAGAAACATTAGTGTGGTTGCTTCTGTTTGTCTCTGCTTCTCACAACGCGCGACATGCGTCGGCAGATACGAGAACGATAGCTAACGAAGCTTGATCCCAATTCCAAGTATAATTAACGATAATAGTAAATCGTCTGAAAACAGTCCTCATTGTCGTAGCACATTACTTGCTACGGAGGAGAATCGCGGAGAAACTCGGCTGACACTCGTTACACGTAGAATTCAGTCTTAGGTTCCAGTTCCATCTCCTCGTCCTTGTACATATCCATAATCTGAAACAATTGTTTGTATATATAATTAGAGCAATCATCTTGAAAAGTTATTTTATTGTTGTAACAAAGTAAATGGATGGTAACAGATGATTTCTTAAATTGATTTCTTATATCGATCAATTCTTTTTCCAACTAATTATTAAAGAGACTGACAGATAAAAATAAAAAATTACATCAGTTTAATATGATTTTAATATAACATTATCTATGCTTGATTTATTTTCAAATATATAATAAATTATAGGAAAAATAGAAGAAAAAATAATTCTTTAGAAAAAAGTTTATTAAGAAAATATATATAAATTATAATTGTTGTATAAATAAGAGAAACATAATAAATAAAATTAGTTTTATATACTTAATTAAAAAACATTAAGTTTGCTTTCACACGTAAAACAAGAAACATACCATAAATTAAATTAAATTCTTTCAATATAATTTCATATAATATCATAAATTTATTAGTTAATACATTAATTCGAGATTCTAAACTTTTATTATCGAGATAAAGCTTTGTAACGTTTCAACTTTTTAGAATCTTTTAGCGACTGACTTAATAATAACAATATAAGTGTTGTGTGCCATATATCAGTCTTGATATATAAAGGAAGTTTTTATGATTAATGTTAGATCGCAAGTTATATGTATGATTAAAACCTATGTTAATGCGATGTCTGTCTACGCAAATGCCACAAAATTACACTATCGGGAAAAATCTTAGCCTAGCGAGGGTCTGCTGCCTTACCGCGTTCATATCTTTCTGCAGCTCTTCCAACTGCTTCTCATGGATCACCTTGAGTTTCTCTTTCTCCCTATTTTGAATCATCTGAGCGACTTTACGCTCCTCCATGAACTTCTTCGTGTTGTTCTGTTGCTTTTCTCGAAGCCTGCCCTCCTTGATCCCTCGCGATTTCAGAGTCTTATCGTTCATCACCTCCCTCATGCTCTCCACCGACAATCTCGCTTGCCGTGCGTTCATGTCCTTGATCTCGCGCTCGTGCCGCGCGGTCAATTGCTTCTGCTGTGCCAACTGCGCAGTTCCACACAATTTGCACACTTGCGCCCGTCGCTCCTCCAGGTGTCCACGTACCAGATCGCGTTCTTCTCGCCGTTGTCTGTCAGCCAAACGAGACCATTGAGCGGTCTGTTCGGTAACGGCGCGACGAACGATAGAGTCCCTTGAAATCTCCGCTTTGCTGCAACAATTTTGCATTCGTCGTCAAAATTAGAGTATAGGTAGCTCTATATTTACAAGTTTGTTTTAGAAATTCTATCAAATATCAATTCTAACACACATTAGCTGTTTATTTTGATATAGACTGTTAGACAAATGTTTTTTTTTTTTACAAATGTAATAAAGAACTCGAGTTAAACGGATTGTAGAAATTACTAACTTCTTTCCTTTAATAATTTTCTCTATAGCAACGCAATGTTGCTTTTGGACCGTGAGCTTCTCCTTGTGGTGCCTCTTTCTCAACGACTCCAATTCTTTTTGTTGTTTTCGTAATACTTTTTGATAACCCTTCTCGTGTCTCAGAGTATCCAAGGTAATCGGATCGAACTTCATCTCCTCTGCAGAAACAAAATGATGTAAGTACGAATCCACCGCTCAACTGGCAATTCCCGCATCTTGCAATTTACCTCTCGGTTTAGCCGCTTCGTGATGATGAGGCGCTACAGCGTCCATATTATTCTTGCTATCGCTCTCTTCGATTCCCAAGCCGCGCATTTTATTCTGCGACATACTTTCGGTCTTCCTAAATGCTCGCGGCGCTGTCAAGGCGTCCATAAATTCTGAAAGAAATTTTAACAGCTTTGAATATAGCATTTGAATTAATGCAATTAATACGTCATTTAAGATTTTACGATAATATTGCAAATACATGTATGTATTAAGTTGAAAATAAAAAGAGTTGTAAGAATGAAGAGTTAAATTCAAGCGTGTAAAGGATGTTTTGGTAAAAAGCTTTTCTGAAATCGTACGATAATATGTATTCCGTGAGATATCCAAGCGCAATATATCTAGATATAAATCGCACTTATCTTCTTCATCGTACGATTAAAACATAACTGAGATACTGGCCGTACCTTGGAAACCGTCCGGCACGTAAATTTTAATGTCGATGTTACAAAACAGCATAGGCAGAGACATGGGAAAATTAGCTTCGGTTCGCAACGCGATGTGTCGATATCCGGCTTGCAAACCGTCCAAAGGAACGATTCTTTGCCCCAGCAGTTTGCCGTTTGACTCATCGTATACTGCGAATCTCAAAGCAGCCAAATCTGGCAGGACGACTTTCCTGAAGAGGAAAGGCTCTTCATTATAGACGGGGTTCAATCCGTTGGCAGGAACCACTCTGGTGCGAAATTCCTTACGTATCGTATCGGTTGGTAAACCGTACATTTCGACTTCCACATAAGTTCCAACTTTCTTGTCAGATAAGAACTGGCCTGCTATAACCTGTTGCAATATTGGGGTAAAAACGCATGAATAAATAAATCGTAAGTAAAGTAGACTTTTCACATAAATTCTTATTTAAATTTTCAAAAATTCGATTTATATACGACATCTAGTTTAATGGTATTGTTGAAAAACAAAATTATCTTGCATGATGTATTGAGTTTTTTTAAACGTAGATGAGAAAATGTTAAGGCATGATATCAAGTCTATCGAAACGTCTGGATTGTCGTCGAGAGGAGAAACGTACTTGAACACTGCATTGTGTGGCGATTACTCCGTCCACGGGGCTCTCAGCGAAAGGATCGAAGCTCCTGTCGGCGCGTCTCATGAAATCCGGCTTTAACAAATAGCCCGAAGAGCCGTTGTACTCGAACTTGCCTTGATTCAGTTGCATGGGTAAATCCGCGGTCTGGAAGTTCAGCGACACCATTTGGCAGCCAGCGTTCCAGAAGACCTGTTTCGCGACGATCGATTATTCAGAAACTTTCCATTCGTTACAACGCAAATTGCAGCCTCTACGAGCTTGTTTACCTGCGGCATGTAATTGGAAGAGTCAGCTCGGGTACCTTTCGGATAAATTCGGCTCATCTGCCGTTTGTTGTAATTTACGAACTCGATGGCCGACGTTTTTAAGTAGTTCAGACCAGCCGTTTCCGCGAAGGAAGACATATTGTGGTGAAGATTCTTCTCTGAAATGGCGATTCGCTTTCGTTGCATTTTCGATCGTGTGTCTCAGTTGGGTACGATGGATACGCGCGATGCTGCATTTTACTTAGAGCCGTGTGAAAATGTCGCTTACGTTCGGCAACGTCGAAGCCGGCGAATTTGACAGGTTGTGCGTAGTTGACCATGGAGGACAGCCACGGATGTACGTTGGTTGTGCTTCCAGTGTAAGGCAAAGCCGCCGCTAGCTCTATACTTTCGCCGAGACCTGGGCCGCTGCCAGACTGTTGCTGCTGAATGCCGGCCACCGCAGACGTTACCGAATCGACACCGGAATTGTCTTCCTGAGAACGAGAGGACATCGCCGTTTTACCGGAGGAGCCGCGGCCATCCAGTCTGATTGAAAGTGAAGGGGCACTACCGTCTCGAATCTGAGGACCGTAATGAAAGTTACCTTTACCGGTTGCTGTTCTACGACGGCGGCGACGGACGGCGGCGCGCTCGAGTCTTCCTTGACCTCGTCCTCGATCACGAATTGACCTTGCTTAAAGAGCTCCAATTCCTGCTTCTCGACCTCGGGCTTTAGGCGCTTGTTCTTAATGAGAATCTTGCGTTTCAGCATGCTGGGCGGCGGCAGCGGCACTCCTAGCTCCAGCTGTTTTAGTGATATCCGTGAGTGCACTTAAAACCATACGCTTGAAAGAGCCATACGATTTTGCATGATCGACTTATCGCAAGCGCAAGCGTGGGTGAACGCGGAGAAAATTATCCACGAGCACCGCGAATATTTACATCCGTTACATCGACTCGATACGTTTGGCAGGCCGAAAAGCAAGGAAACATCTAATAATTGCTCGAATGCGCGAATCGTGCTTTACAGAAACTAACATCATCGGGTGTTTTGCGATATTCGCGGCGTTAACTTACCGGATATTCCTTCAGTGGTTCCTTCAACAGTAAGTCGCCCAGTATCTCGTCACAGTACTTGGCCAATTTGTATTGCTGTTTTTTACTGCAGTGATTTTCGAAGCTAAGAATCACCGGGTATTCCGACGTGACGAAGGCCGTGTCTCTTACCGCGTATATGACGTCTTTGAATAGAATATCGGTGCACATAGCTTTGCCGTGAGTGATTATCGGCTCCTCGTCTTCCCCTTTGCCGTCCCAGCAGTCCAATTCGACGCATCTTTTAATTCGGATCGCAAGCAAAAAATAGACATATTAATCACGCTAGAAATCGTCGGTTAACAACAATAGCGCAGACGCTGTTTGCGAAAATACAAATTGCGTTAATTTCAAACTATATTGCGGTCTACTAGAAACACCGTTTTTGTCCCTCCGCGTTAGTATTAGGATATAAGAACTAATCGATAATCCGATGAGGAAGTCGACGATCGATTTGATGTCCAGATATAATATCACGCGTATTCAAATATAGACGCTGACAATCTGGCGCAATCGCCTTGGCTATCAATATTCATCAGCTATCGGCGAAATCGCCAGAACATATGCATCGGAGATCGGTTATGATCATTGTTTCAATGTCCTGCGCGCAAGAGCACACTTTACCTGCATCCGGCGAGTAGAACCTGTCTGTACATTTCGACGCTGCTCTTCCCGCCAAATTGTCGTCCGCTCAGGTACGTGTTGTGACTCGAATTGATATAGTAGTGCGCCAAGGATTGGTCCATATCCATATAAACGTCCAGTCTGTCGAGAAAAACCGGTGCGTTCTCGTCGGACATCAGGTACCTTATGAAGCCGTCTTTCGTCATTGTTCCTGAAATCGTGATCACTTCTGAAGGGAACCATCTTACATTTATATATTCGTTCCAAATTTTCTTGTCTTTCTTTTATGTTTCTGATATTTACGTAGTTTTATTATGGACGCACGAGGGCGAACTGATATACATAGAAAAGAATCTATATAGAACGTATATATATAAGAAGGAATGTATATAGAAAAGAATCCTTTCACGTATGTACACGAGGAAGGAAAAGACAAACAAGGCTAAGAAACGTTTCACCGAAGATGATTTATTTAAAATAAAGCTCTTACTTTCATTGCGAGCAACCTCGTTCTGTTCGTAATCATTGATGATCTCCATCGCCCGTTTCTCATCATAGAGGGGATAGAGAATTTCGTTCAGGGTCGGATCTCTCTGCTTCTCGTTGAGAAAAGTAATCAGTTGCTCCAGATTAATCGTGTCAGCTTTACCCTGTGTTCTGCAATGTTTAGGAGAGATACACGTGCTTGCCTTACAGCCCTTCAAAAGTTTCGTATCTCCAATACGAGGACGCAGTGTACTCACATAGATTGAAACAATTCTTCTATGTCGTTCCTTGGACATATTTTGTGATATAGCGCGTAGAAAGCGTCGAAAGTGAAGTCGTCGGGTTCTATCACGTCGTTCTGAGCATAGGAAAAGTATGTGTATTCAGTGTTTTCCTAATGGATAAAAGTGTCATCTATTTTGTCAATTGTCAAAATACCTTTCCGCTAGGTAGGCCTAAATCAGAGAGACATTGGTAAACTAGCTTTTCTGTTTTACCGGATGCGAAAGTTCTCGCGACCACTTTCACCGGAACTTTTCCATTGGGGTCCACTAACATTCTCAGTCGCATCCAGCTAAAATAGTACGAAGACACCTCTTTTATTCACCGATTCATTTTCCGAATTAATTTAAGCAATTTATTTTAACATACAAATAAGTGCGAATATACCGGCAACATATATTTTCGTCCATCTTAATCCACCGAAGCGTCATAAACTTTGTCAAGTTATTGATACAACGAAGTCTATATTAAGATCCCTTTTAAAAATAGATCCATTCAAGTTGACAGGCAAAGAATGACTTTTAATAACTTTAGTTTTACAGAGGCAAAATCTTATTTCTTTCATATTTAACTACGAATAATTAATGGTGACATTTATTACAACTAATTATCGATGGCTAGTGTAATTATCATTAACTATTAATTATTAATAATCAGTAGTTATTAATAATATCGTGGATCTTCTAAAGCACTTAGTGACACGTGTTAAAGGTTAAACTGAACAGGTCAGAAAATATCTTTTGCGTCAGACCTTAAGAAAAAGCGAAATTACATCGATATATATACACATATATCGGTCATGAAACATTAAAGGCTAATTATTCCACAGAAGTACATATTGCTAATATTTACAAACGTTAGTGCAAGCGTATATAAACACAGATGTATATATATATGCATTGGTAAACTCACTGTTTCTTCAGACACGTGAGCGGGCAAACGTTGTTCGCTTTGACGTTGTGCGTAATCGATCGAACGCCATCTAACCATACCTATGATGACATACAGAAGTGACATAATATAGTTAGTTCTTTTTGCAGGACACGCGAGAAGATGCACTAAACTATGTCACGAGAGATATATATAGTATTAAGTCAGCAATAAATATTGCCAGTCGTCGCATTGTAGCGTTGTAACTATAGTTTTCAAGTTTCAGAAAAAACCTGTTTTGCCCCATTTTTTCTGTCCCAAGGGTACAAAAATTCGTTTAGAAAAATTCATGCGTGTTCGGTTAAAATCTGTTACATTTACTTTTTTCCGTAGAAAAAGATAAAAAACCCCCCCAAAAAATTGCGAATAAAACAGACTTTTCACGAAACTTTAAAACCATAGTTGTAATTTAATTATTGATAAATAATAAGATTATTTTATAAAATCAAGAACTTGCAAATTAGAAAAATATTAAACCCTGTTAATAGTTTCAATTATTACAAAATATTATTAATATTACATAATATTACAAATTATTACCAAATAAATAATAAACGATAAGGATATTGGTAGGTAATTCTATAGTACTGGTAATAAACTAAAACACATTAAACCTATTTCCTTGCTAATGTAACAACCGATAATAAAATGTCTTTGAGAACGATAAGCGTAAGAAGCTAACGTAGCAAAACGGATATATATTAATAACGTAAACGGGGCGTTATTAGCGATAATAACCGTAAAGTTTCGTGCACAGCATAATCGCGATTACGTTCACGTGATTACGTCGGAGTCACGACAAGCGTGGCTACGCGGCATTCACTTCACTAACACCAACAATGGTGGTAATCCTAAATGTTACATCGTTATCGTATCAGACAGCCGATACTTTACTTGATCGATAAGTCTAATGACATGTGAACGGCACGTTTCCTCTATTATCGAGATTAGCGTTCGCGTGTGTTACCTTGGCTGTGGCAGAATCCGGACACACGACGTGCTGATAATTGATGTTAGTGTAATCGACACCGGAACAGATGGTGAGACTTTTTTCGTCTAACTGTTCGCCGTGCTTGCTGAACAGCTTGTCGTATAACTTCGGGTCCTGTTTGAAACACGTCCATTAATACGACGGTAAGAATGAAAAAGAGTATATGAGACTGGCTTCGATAAGTTCCAATACTATCGTCTCATTTTCGCGCAATCAAACAATTCCTTTACCTTGGGGATCCCTCCGGCCCTAATGTCGCTCACTTGACACAACTCCACAACATCGCCGTCCTGCGGAGAGGAGAAATAAGAAGAGAACAAAAACGTCCATTTTAGAATTCATGGGCACCTCGCTCCATTGTCCGAATGAACAAAAGGGCGGATGCAGCAGAAGGAAAGCTCACCTTCCCCTCGCTCTGCCAATAGATAAAGAAGCCATATTCGTCGACCTTGAACAGACAATTCAACTCGATTTCCGTGTTGTCCTTTTCCTCGGTCCAGCGATCGAACACGCAACCGCTGCGGAGCACTTCCGGCACCTCGATCTGCCAGTTGAACTCGAACTTCTTCGTCATCTCCGCGGCGTTCCGCCGACTTCCGGCAAAGTCTCAGCCCAGATACGGCGTTTCCCGGTTCTGTCAACAGGAATCGCGTTGAAAGCCTCAAAGCTCCCTTCAATGTCTTCTTTATGCTCTCTTCGATAGCATCAAATGTCTCGAAAAGGTATCTTCTGCTTCGTGTATCAAAGGCATAGAAGATCGACGTTTATGCTTCGTATATTCGTCAAGTAAATCGTAAATCGCGCGCCGATGAATTAGAATTGCTTATTCGGCCGGACTACCTTGTACGCAATGTCGTAAATGTTCAAGCTTACACATCGATGTTTATTCAACCCCTATTTATAAGTCTTACTCACACCGCGATCCTGATTAGGAAGTAAGCCGGATTTTCATAAATAACTGTCACGAACAAATGCTGAATCAATGCAAATTGGATTAAAATAAATGCTGCTTTAAGATTTGCTAAGTATGCTTATTGGAACTACCTGTTCTTCGATAAAAAAGAAAAAAAGCGGCTATGTTTAATGAATGAAACGACGGAATCTCTTCTTTACAGCGCTGCGACGTGAAATACCTCCTGATGTTAAAAATAAAAGACCTTAAAATAAAACACCTTTAGTGCAGATTAAAACGTGTAGTGTTCGTTATAGTAATTACACGGAAATTCTGAATGGCTGACGCTATATTGAATATATCGCAGCTCGAGTGCCTGGCGTTGTAAACCAAAATTTGACCATCTGGTGTGTGATGTACGTATTATTTCCGATAAGATCGTACCCGCTTATGAGTCAAGTATTCGTAAAAGAACGTTTTGTTTCAATCATCGGCTTTTCCTCTTAATAGCGGATGTCACAGATTTTGGATAATCGATAGTTCGTCACGCTACAAAGAACCTTCTAGCATCGTTGCACCGATTAACCTTTGTAGCAAACTTGCGCCAATGTAGGACGAAGCACGCGAAAAGTTGTCGAACGAAGCTAGTCATATCCAGGGAAATTTCGTTGCATCTGCACAATGTCGTAACGCTGTGGCATGACATTACAACTGGAGATATTTATCGACAATGACAGCATCGTAATACTTACAATGTTAAGAACGTCTCTTCCGGGTTGATTTGCTCATTTTAATTCGCGGCTGCGCCTGCAACGTAAAAGATTGGATTGGAAAGATTGGATTAACTTTCGAACAATTTTTAATTAAAACTTGCTGTCGCTCGTGTGTTTTCGATGACGCGAAGCTTGTTTGAAAAATGGACGCTGTCGACGATTTTATTACGGAAATATCATTACAACGAAGAGAAATCTCCCGGCGCATTTGCCGATACTTTTTAATAAAAGCTCTTGGTTGTACGTTCAAATAAATCTGCAGCCGTCGATTTTATTAACAGCAAAACGGGAGAAGCACGTGCATCTTTCTATTAAGATCATTTGTGAAATAAGTTATGATCGTGATTAAAATAACGCGAGGTCTGCATCTATGTATACGATCAATGACGTACATCCGCTACGCAAGAATTAAATATTTTAATAAATATCTATAAGTAGAATGCAATATGCCAATAACTTTATAGATGTTAGATAATCGATGAAAAATTATCGTATACGACAACTCATGTTTCGCAAATTGGTAAGTTGGATTTCGAATAAATCACAAATATTATAAACATTTTTTTTATCAGTGAGATATAAGGAAAATATAATTGTATGTAAGAAAACATAGTATTCGGACAATATATAAGTTGATAGAGATTCTTTGAAGACTATTCTATTTGAAATCTATTTCTCCCGCGTGCAAGTCTTTCTCCGAGTATGATATAGAAGTTAGAAGATATCCAGTTGTTAGTAATCGAGATAGCGCCCCTTTTCCGCATAGTTATTCCTCTCACGCCACTCCATTCTATTAACTAACGTGTTAATTATTTTTACGAGCAGATATTCCGCTTCTCTCTCAGGAATAGGTTTCGCTTCTTGATTAAATGGCTTGAACAATATATTCGTATAATCACATAACGACTTATTACGTATTACGTAATATTTAAGAAAGAGTGATGCATTAAATTCAGATAATGACTTTTTCACATTAAGTCTATTCAACTTGATGCATTTTAATTGTAACGCATATACGCTTCTCGTCATCATCGCTACTCATAACTTAAAAAGGGAAAGATAATATTATTATATAATAATCTTCTAAATATCCCTTCGTTGAGACATGTATATAAGTTAATTAAAATAGTGTAATAATCCGATTATTTCGTTGTTTATTAAAAATGTCGTGACATTATTCAAATTGAAAATGCATTAAAGTGATTGCAAAAAGCGGGGAGAAACACCGTATGACGCACCGTTCCTAAGATCTTTATTAATAAGTGACACGACATTTCGTTGTTTACGTAAAGGCCATCTAGTATGTCTTTTAACAGCCTCGATAATTTACGTAAATATCGTAACCTACGACATCTTTTAAATTAATTAAAAGTGAATCGATAAATTGTGAAGTATTGGGGAGAATGTTTTTAATACATATAAAAAGCGCAGTATATAATTTAATATACTCTCTTTTTACACGGTCATAGGTAAAAATAAGTTTTTCATATTACTTCATTTTAATAGATATCTAACATAACTGACCGGATACCCTATATTCATCCGTTGTATAACATGATACTTCGTAATTGTGCATTATTTTATCAAGAACTTTTATCACAAATGTTATTGGTATCAATATGTATATCGCCAACGGATGTGACCTGAGCTTTATCATAATTTATCTTAATTGGTACAATAGGAAATGGAAGCTGCCATATATACGTCATATTTCACACATACATATTATATACCAACACGAGAAGGCACTCACGATTAAGTACACATTTCTAAACACGGCCATAAAAATATTTGCAAAAAGCTAGACTAAAAATATTTGCAAAAAGTTAGCTCTTGTCAGCTTGCAGAAAATAACGTTGTTTACTCGACACCAAATTGCTTTCAACTAAAATTTTTCATGATGAAGAACTGACGCGATAAATAAAATATTATTTAACATATATCTGTAATGATAATATTATCATATTGACTTGTTCGATTTATCCAATGATAATATTATTAACTTGTTCTGCCACTATTTCAGTGATTATATTTTTACCGGTAGCAAAATATATATTTATATATTTTTAAGTAAGTTTGAATCTTTGCATAAAATTAATTTGAATTGCACACTTCATTATATTCACATTTCCTGTGCTGGCTATTATTATCATTGGAATGCAGTATCTACATGTATCTGGCGGTGTATCTTGAATTACACGTCAAAATAGAAGTACACGTGTATTTTTAAAAAATTTTGGCAATGTTGTTAAATCTTCTTCTGCTTCAGTAAGTTTCCATTATATTGTTTGAATTTAGAAATAAAACAGTCTTGAGTTTTAAACTATTGATAAATAGTGATCTGTGAATCTTGTCTTAATCTACGGATTTGGAGATATCTCAACCTTGGCGTTCAAGATATTTTGATTCTCTGAGAATCGAGGCTTCCGGATTTCAAATGAAGTTTATAATTGAAAATGACTTAAGTATAGAAAGATGTGGAGGAAAGCTATAAATTCTACCTCGCTGTACCTGGCAATAACGCGACACATGTAGTAACAGATCGTAAAGTTATCAGGGAGACTAAATATCACGATTGAAAAGTAAAAAACTCGGAAATAAAAAGAGGATCACATACGTTTTGGTAATAAATCACCTACTTTATTATCAAACTCGACCAAACAAAGACCAACATAAAAATTGTTTACTTAAATACACATGAAAAATTATATTCCGATACGAAAAAAAATATTCGAATTTAATCCACAACTCTGATCTACAACCTATTGAGAAAACAAATAATAGAGGAAAATATGATAGGATATGTTACGTTACTATTTCACACACGTTAGGATAGACAGATGTGCAAATATTCTGTAAGCGAATGCGCAATCTTGCTAAACCGTCCATTTGCGACATTAACCGCAACTTCCGAGAATTAACCGCATCCTCGCAGTTGCTTTTTGCTCTTGATGACGCATTTATCGTTGCCATTAGTTGCACAGGGGAAGAATTCGATTACTGTCACAGAGTAGCTTCTATAAATGATCAGCTGATCGTCGCGGTTTTGTCTCTGAAGCTTCGCATGCCGATCATTAATGATATTAGAACGTGCTTGCATTCAGCGAAATGTAATGTCCATAGAGATTCTTCAACTCCTTCTATCTCTCATAAGCGTAATGTTTACAGTTGAAATTGAATCGCGCAATTAACTACATAAACAAGAAGACACGTATCTCCAATATTACAGAGAAACTGGTCAGGAAAGTTTTAGCATAATATTCAAGCGTGTACCCAGCGTGACCGTCATTAACGAACTCTATAATCAAGCGCTGCATGTCTCGATCATTTTATTACCCTACAAAAGACGAAGGGGAATTGTTAAGTCGTCGTGTCGTGAAATTTCTTCGCGAGCTCAAGAACACGGGGATATCGTAATGCAGCCGTTATCATCGCAGAGCGCGCGTTATCGGCCACCGATATGAACAACGCAGGTACGTAAGGCATACAGAAAGCGTCTATGTAAACGTCGTGTATACACAGGTAGCATAAACAGACAGACGCTTCGAAAATATAATGTGACTCGTGCCTCTTCGGCACGATGAAGACATTTCTGGCGCCTGCCAGGCCGGGTATTCCCAAGAACCGACCGCGTTAACGGCACGTTATAACTATCGCGACTGTCCATCGTATTCCACCGGCTCGTTAACGAGGCATTGAGAGCACCGAGATGGTGAGCGAGAATGAAAACACCGTGGATAAGAAATCGGCCTGATTTTAATGGCATTCGCATCATTATAATCAGGCGTTGATAAAGGTCGCCAGCGAAATTAGTCGTCTCAAAGCTACGGTGAATTGCTGTTTAATAAAATTTACTTAATTTAATGGCAACGATCGCGAAAGCAACGACTGTAAAAGTAACAGTGAATATTCGACATAGAAATGCTAATTTGCTTATAAATCTTAGGTTTACACTTGTGGAAGTTACTAACACGTGAACGCGTATATAAACGGTTTACCAATAGATTGTGTAGTTCTTCGGGCTAGAAAATGATTTATTAGAATCGCTGTGGGGGAATTATGCCGCGTGGTCTCATCGTGTAGAACAAGAAACTTATGATTCACCGTCGCTTGCCAAACCACGGAAATATTTGTGTTTCATCTCGTGTTTCCTCCTATTTTATTATACGATTTTTCCATGCCAAGCGCGTTGCATTGTGAGTATGTTCACACAAGCGTGTATTCATATATTACCCGACACACGTTTCGTATATGTTTCTGTAAATGTTTTTAACCTTTGTACCCATAGCCTTAGGAAATTTTCAGGGATATCTGATGCTGAATTACCTATAATTATTGAATGTAATAATTTCAGATTCCAGGAGTTCAGTGCAATAACAAAGGCTGATCCGCAGTTAACGACTCGCGCATGTAAAGATGTAAATTTACATGTATATTAATATACACGTAATATAATGTGCGTATAAATTTGCTATAGAATATTAATCTTGGCTTTTAGTAGATAAATACATTTTTGTTATACGTAACACATATCGCACACGTATACGTACACATTGCTGTAATTATATATTATGTTACCATCGTGTATGACGATATTATTTCTTCTGACGCCTTCTTTTGTTTAATAATATTTATTTATGCAACGTGAATTTTTTAATATAGAAATAAAAGCTGCTCTATAATATTCGTAATTGCAACGAAAATGAGAGAATTTATTGCTATTTTCGATTGAGACGATGATAAGTTTAATATTAATTGAAGAAGCTTAACCCCTTCACTACCATTTTCTCAGCTGATCCTAAAATACCAAAAACAAGAAGTTCTCGAAAATTAATGAAAGTTTATAAAGAGGGGTTTTGATGATGTTGATAAATTTCAAGTTAAATTAAAAAAATTTTGGTCATAAATCCAAAATAGCGGCTAATGTATTAAATTTTTATCGAAATTTAATATTAGTTTGTGATAAACGTAGAAGTTTCTTTAAACTATCGAAGTATTATATTTAATTCAATTTAAAACTTTAACAAAACAAAAGATCTCGTGACAAAAATATTCGAAAATTTGGAAAAATTCTCATTAAAAGGGAAAGATCTTTATTTATTTGATATAATATCTTTTTCCATACTCACAGCTGTTATTCAAGCATAGAAAATTTCAACGCAAGAAAGAAAGCTAATCGAGCCAGGATCCACGTAATCGGTAGAAAGGCGTAAAGATATTAAGCCGCATTTGCTACGTGAGATAACTGACAGTAATTCAATTACCTAATATTATCAATAATTACACAATTTCCGGTGTTTAAGAGATTGAATTACACTGCCGCGACATTGACCGTTCAATCACTTAATACATCTAATGCCCACTTTAGAAAGAATGGAAGCAAATGAGGGTTATGACCCGACGATATGTTTATGCTACACATATACGTGTGAGCCTCGGTGTTCTAACACACATAAACATATTTTCATTGTCTTCACATTTATTTCAAATAGAATGGTCATTTCTACTTCTACACAGAAAAAAATGCTAGATTCAAGTAAATAATTATTCCGATACTTCATAGAAAAGGATCCCACATCAAATACGTGTGATTTTGGCTTTCGGTGAGATCGTTCGAAATTCTTGGATTTAATTGATATTGACCTCCTGGGCCGAAGTTTAAATGGGATCAAAGTCCGCTACAAGCTTCTATCAGAGCTACAGTTGCTGGATAACCATGAATCCTAATGACAACAGATTGTACACGTGTGCATATTTAACAAAAATGTGCAAAAATTTAATGAAACATTTAACAAAAATGTAATCAACTGTTGCGTATGAATATGTTTGTATGTGTGTGTGCGCGCGCGCGCGTGCATGCGTGCGTGTGTGTGTATATGCATGTGTCACAACACAGATAAAGACCCCACGCATACGCGCGTGCACACATACACATACACAACATATTCATATGCAACAGTTAGTATATCATTTACATACTTCTATGCGCACATGTACAATAAGTTGTCACGAGGATTCACAGCCTTCCAGAGCGAACTTCGATCCCACTTGGACTTCGGTTCAGATTAATATCTATTAAATCTCAGTAAATAAATTTTACTTGGATCAAGTAAATGTTTGACTTGGATAATTTACTTGAAGAATATTTTCCTTGGATCAAATAAATATTATTTGAACCAAGTAAAAATTTGTTAAGAGATATTGAAGTAATTATTTACTTTAATCTAGCACGTACTTTTTGTATACACTTTCTTTGTATTGTTTACAAACATTTTTGTTAGATATATAACGTAATGGAATAATGAAGTGATACTATAGCCTTTATAATTTGCACATAAAATTCATGAAGATGATAAAACGGTTCATCGTTACTAAGAGATAAGATAGTAAAATCGATGACTTCACTGGCAGGAGATAATGATATTTTAACTTTAAGGTAGCTGATAAACTAAAGCAGCACATTTTTACAATTTCTTATTGCTTCACAAACAAACAGTACCACGTGGTTACGTTATTATTAGCTGCGAATATGTTGTGACGCTCATCGATATCATCCGCACGGTGATTCCGACACAACAAATCGCCCCTGATAAAAGTTACATTATGCAATATGTTCACGGCCGTAATGCGCACAACAATACGGCGTCCGCTCGTGTGTCGTATTTGCATTCCAAGTGATTAACGGAAGAGAAATTGATTGGAAATTTGTATTATCGTGAAGATTTACGTGCACGTATCTTTTCAAAATTCAGCTAGCCGAAAGACATGGAATATTTCGAGCTAAGCCGCATAAGCTTATGTACTTATAAATATATGTATATACTTTGCAACTGGAGTACGACATGTTTAGTTATCTTTCTCACTGCGTGAATCGACAATTTTATATTTTCTTTTAGAAAAAACAACCGTTTTGTGATGCAACATTGTGCGAAATCACCGTCTAATTGGACAATCGCATTGAAGTTACCTCCGAGGAATTATTACTGCGCTTTTTGTGGTGGAAATATTCCGAGGAATACGTCGCGTTTCCACGGTAATTTTGAGAGGCAACGCTGACTCTTTTCGCGAACTCAACAAGGATACTGCGAAGAAAACAAAATACCGGGTACGATCATTTAATCATAAGCCTTGAAAGAAACTGATGAGTCCTCATGTATCAATGCTGAAACTTGCGTGCGCATACAAATCGAAGAAGCTGTTATTAATATTTATAATATTATATAAAGCTGTTATAAAAGAAATCCGGCATTCTCGGATCGATGTCTATGCCGTGTGAAAAATGGTTTATGTTAACAATGATATGTAGTTATCACCGGGAAAAAAATGTCCTTGGCTCTATCAAGTTTTTGTTTTGCTTCGCTTGTAAAATGTGTCAGTAATATCGGAGATGCAGAGGCACACACTGTAATATTCCTTAAGCGAGTCGAGTTTTATTTTGGTTGTCGCGTCAGGATTACGCGAAACGCGAGGGGCCAGGGTGACCGGCTCCGGTACTCTCGGCGAATACGGCGCAAACGGAGTGCGGATGATGGAAGACGGGATCAGGTGTCAGGGACTGATGATCGACCCGACCTGGCCACGGGAGCGAGCGAGCGAGCAAGCGAATGTCGTAAGAGAGTATGACACCTTTTCCTTCATTCTCCCTCCATCTCGCTTCGCCTCACCGAGAGCGGCGCCTCCGGGTTCCCTTGACCTCGAAAATCCCTCGGGAAGTCTGCAGTCAGGGTCGTGTCCCCCCTCCTCCTCGCACCTGTCTTATATACGCCTTATCCGCAGCTTATCTCGCGGTGATAGTAAGGCGTTGCTAATTAGCAAGTCGTCGCCTCGTAACGCCTGTCGCTTCAGCTCGCGTGTACGTGTGTCGCCGAACACGGGGACGCGTAATGTGCGTATGTTACGCGTAGTAGCACGCGTGAGCGTACGCACACGTGAACGCAGCCGTACATGTGCACGCACACGCGAACCGGTGGTTACCGGGAGAAGCGAGGGAAGTTGAAAAGGCGTAGAAAGAGAGAAAGGAAGGGGAGAAGGAAAGAGAGAGGAAGAACGCGCGCGAGCGAACGCCGCGTGATGCCTGCGAAGGTGTGCGTGTACAGTGGGTCTAGTTAATGCTCACCGAACGATCGACTTGTTCTTTTATCAAGCGTCTCTCCGCGCGCTAGATTTCGTTCCTACTATCGTAAACCACCACCACGGTGGCACGGATCGCTTTCATCTAGTTTGAGTAGTGGAAGAGAGAAAGGGGAGAGTGTTTCGTGTATAAATTACAGCTGCGGTCATCCTCGCAACGCTCCGGGTAATTAGTGCGCTAATGCAATGCTGCGCAAGGAAGAAACGATAACGCGTTCGGTACATGGCGTCCAGCTCATTCACGTTGGTACACCCTGTATGCGAAGCAGGTAGACACACGGGTGAAGCGAATTGGACGGCGCCTGCCGTCCCGATAGTCGGAGGTAGCGCTAAATACAAACGTCCTCTCGCTTCATCGATTCAAGCGGGGGGAAATTGGAGGGAAGCAAACGACGGACGTTGATATCCGTCATCACCGGGGCTGACAGTTGCGAGACGCCGCGAGTTTGAATCTTCAGCGGGAGGGCCCGCGATCGTAATTTCGCAGCGCAGGTGACATCGCTCGGTTACTCGGCGGAATCGCGAGGGAGCAGCTGTCCGGAAGTCCGACGGCAACCCGGAAGGAAGGAAGGATCGAAGGATGTCGCGCCGGTGCGCGTGTGCGTGTGACGCGTCTCGTGACCGCGCGAAGCGAGCGTCTATGACGTCGACTGTACGAGCGCGTGCGAGCGCGCTCGCACCGTCCCTCGTATGTCCGCCCGAACTCGCGCTGATGCGAAATCGGTCTTACGGCTCGATCGGTCCCCTGCCTGCCTGCGTGGAGAATTATCCGTCGGACGGCGGAGCGTCGGCCAGTGATCTCATCCTCCGCCGACGAGGCTTCGCCCACACATCAGACGAGCACACGCGCCGAACTCTCCACTCCGGGAAGGAAACGGGAAGAGCAACACCGGATACGGAGGTCTACGCGTGCGGTCTCGCGCTCCGGTGCCGGACGCCTTCCAGGAGCGGTGGAAGAAACTGACGGTGCCGCACCGTCTGTTGACAGGCAAACCAGCCGCCTGGCTCGATACCGTCTTTTTCCCCTGAGCGCATGTGCCGCCCGTTCTTCCGCCTCCACCGCGTCGGTAAGAACGGCACCTGCCGGCACCGCCGCCTCCGAGGCTGTTGCATCACGCGCGTGGAATGCACCGTCGAGAGCCGTCGTGCGGCTTCGCGCGGTTATCTAAGAATACACCTGATCCGCGCGTTTTATCACGCCGAGAGCAAACGCTGCGGTTGAACGCTTCGATATTCCGCTGGAATTTCGGCGAGCTCTGCCGCGACTGATATATAGCAGCGCTTGCGCCCAGGTAATTTCTATCGCCCGTCGAAGTTTTATAGTCGCGGATTCGAGGAGCGAGGTAGAAATGTTCTCCGCGATAATTATTATCGTGTGTCGCAATATCCGTGATAAATAGTACTATCGTTTATCAGGCTCTTTCCGAGAGAGAGAGAGAGAGGGAGGCAGATACGTGAAAGAAGAAAAGATTAATCGCTTCTCTCCAATTATCGAGGGAAAATGTGTCATTTGCGGAGATGCGAAGTTTAGAGTCGATGTGAGCCTCCGCACATCGTAAAAGTATCGTACGATTGATAACGTACTTCTCTTTAGTTCGTATTCAATCGACGAGCAAACCATTTTACCTACTTCGTAGATACCTAGTAGAAATAGGATACAGTTTCGCGATATTAAGGTAAATTGCTGAAGAAATAGAGAAATTACACAATGTCGGATGATTGTCGGTCTGACTTTCCAACTCATGTTGCTACTGTATTAATAAATATGAATTTCGTATCAAATGTTGCGCGATACGCGTAGACACGGAGATAAGTGACTACACGTGTAGTTCGGAGCGAGCACATCTCAATCGCGTTCCGATGTAGAAACATGAACCCGTGAGTCACCGGATATAAATATCTCACTTTACACAGTTACGTGCGGACAAGTCGTATGTAAATGAACATGCAATTCTGATAGTCTAAAGTCGCGCTAATGAAAATAATAGCAGCAACGTGCGATTGAAACGCAGCCAACTGCCGCGAAACGAGCGCGAAAATCGGAAATGGTTACGACATGATGTTTTCAATGAAGCTTTTCGACCAGAAAGCTATTTACTCCTTCGAGGCTCCTTTAAGACTGACCATACCGCATTCATGAATATATTTGCAACTACCTCTCATCTGTAGGCGGATGGAAGGAGAATTAGAAATTGGTGATTTGGAAATAGACTAGGTCCGCGATTACGTCACTTAGATTTTCTCTGAATTCTTTTGTCTTTTTTACTCAAGAAGAAGAAAATATGTGTTATAATTATGACAGTAAGATTATATAGTGTTATAATTATGATAGTAAGATTATATCTGAGAGAGAGAATAGATATTTCTCAAATTTTAAATAGATAAAAATAAAAATGTATAGCATTTTTTATTAATTTGAGAATCACAATTTGGGAATCACAATGTTGAATGTACTGACTGTTATATTATGTTATATTATACTGTTATATTACAACAATTATATTTGTACAAAAATGACAGGCTAATTATGTTTGTATTAGTTGGCATAATAATGAAAATTAGAGATGGAAGATATCAATTTTGGTGCTCGGAGAGCAATATTAAACATCTCTTCTTTATCTACAAAGCAGCCACGGAAACTTATCGGAATATTATGATGAAATAACATATCTGTTATCATCTGAGTTGCTGAATGGAAAACAGTAACATATCGACAGATCTATCGAGTCGGTAACAAAGCGTGTTTCAGTTTAAACGGAAAGTTTGCATTCGGTAATTTATCATCAGTCTATACAACTAAACGTTTTGTATTAACTTCAAATATTTGTTTAAAAAATCCTATCTTCTTTTACATAAAAGTTATCAAATTTACAAAATTATCGATCACGTATGATATTTTACTTATACTTGGTTGGGAGCAAAATTCAAAATATTATTATATATCTATCGAATAATATCGATTAGCTGGTCTCGTCCTATAGCTATTAAAGATGCATCGCTTCATTATCGAGTAGTAATACACAAATTAGAGTGCTGTTTTATTTTATTTTACAATATAATATGAATAGTATCATATTTCATAAAATTTCATCTTTATCTCCATGTATTTCCCTATAGATTAAACTAATGTAAATAAACGAACGTTTTGTTTTAAGATATTTTTTTCAAAAGGGTGACTTTTCTTGCGGGCAGTCCATGTTAGAATATACGGTAGAAATGATCCCGTGGGATTGTCGCCAGTCGACAAACCTGAGGTTAGCTTCTCTCTCATGATACGCAGTGAAAAGTTAATTTCATCTTCATATTTCTATATTACTTCCCTGCATAAAGACCAAAGACAGAGCGCAACTCTTTGCACGAAGCTTATTACGTCAGCAGCAACACGAAAGCACAACGATATTAATTTCTACTATAGCGCTTATTTGCATATATTAGTCAAAGTCTTTTATTGGATAGGTAGCATTTTTTTCCAAACCCGTTGCTTTTATGTTGAAAATATTCTGCTGTAATATTCTTTGTAATGATAATGGCACAATATTTCCTGAGTCACGAAATTATTTGCAAAACTTTTACATTACTTTCTCGAATCGTATTGATTTTTGAATAAGGTAATCTTCCGAACTTTAAGTGTAAGAACGCAAACATTATTTCTTATTTCGAATGAACAATTTTTGTTTTCGCCTTTTTTATTTGTAAAAAAATAAATGCGTAAAGCGTGCTTACGGAACGAGAGATGTTTCGATCGATCTGATGCAAACATTTTCGTAATTTTACGTTCATATTTAGGATTATCTAACCCTAACAAATTCAAGAGGTAGCACATGTCGTGTATAACTCGACTCGTATACTAGTCAACGCAAGTGTATCCAAGCGAACATATGCTTTGAGCCTGGCAATCGTGTTCAATATGTGTTACATCGGTAACTACGTATTTACGCACCGGTTCCACGTGAAATCAATGAAACCTATGTGTGCAATTGATTTCCTTCAATATTATTTTAACGAACTTTAAGCGAAATTAATCGGTTTGTTGTAGTCGTGCGTGATTACGCTTAGTATAATGTACCGTTTCATAGTTTATACATTGGCTTTGTAACAGAAGCATGAGCTGTAATGTCGAGCTACAGTGTATCACGGAAAATGACCAAATTTACCTTTCTCGAAATCACATCGATAACGTCGAAATATTAATCCAACCATTGCAAATATTTATCATTAATATTTAATTTCATGCGGTTTAGTAAAGAATCAGAATTGCTTCAGGCTATGTAACGTGCCTTGCCTATATTGTAAAATATGCGATTAATATATGTGACATGCGATTTTATTTATCTTCGGTGTTTATTATAGTTGTATCACGTATAACTTTCCCTATACTTATGAAACGTATGATCGCAGTCAATATTGTTATATGCGATCGCATTCATCACGGATTGACTGGTATTGTATCGTTCCGCGGCATTTATCGCTTTCATGGTATTTCTAACTGCTGTTGGAAATAATTCGTCAAATAATTGGGATAATTCGACAAATAGAAGAAGTTTCCTCCAAATATTTGTCGATCGATATGTGCAATGGTTTGATAAAGTTGCGATCGTTATTTCCGCGATTTCTCTACCATAGATACTTCGTAAAGTTATAATTATAAACTTATCCTCTATTTGATCATAATTCCGTCAAAACTTGGCGGAGATCGCGTATCATCGATTTTGTGCGATTTCCTTGTTATAGTGAAACCACTTTAAGTTTCACCGGCAGCATAATGCGATTTTGGAAATTCTGATAGCTTCCACAGATGCTTTACTCTTACATCGCAATAATGAGATTAGGGTTTACAGAATAACATTTCATGTTAATTAGGCAAAAACATCTTTGTTCCTTTATCTCTATAATTAATATTAAACGTAACTTGTCGAGCAATTCGTACAATTTAATATCAATTTTTAATAAATTTTTATTTAATATCAATTTTTTTATATGTCTATATTATTCCATTATGATGTTTAGTATGTCTAGCATTGTTTTAATATCTTGCATGCCCTAAGTATAAAATCTATTTTTTTCACCATTCCCTCTCTCTCTCTCTCCCTCTAAATACTTTCTGTGTGATTTTTCAATTTATTATACAATGGAATATCCGCATCATTATAGTAGAAGACGATTTCTGCTCAAATACAATACGGGGATTCCGTTAGGAAAGTCATGTATCGGAATGTATTAAAAGAAAAATTTCAATTTGGACGCGTAACTCGAAAATACTCTTGTAAATGAAAATACTCCTGCCGAAATATATTTGGTCTCATATTATGCCAAATGCTTGCACATTTGTGGGCGTGCTTTTTGTATTCTCGGAGACTGGGATTTCGTCTGCGATCCGCGTGCCTCACATGTTAAATCGTCCAAGATTCGAATATCATAAACATATAGTACACCGCAAACTTTCTCGTACCTCTGGGTTTATTCGCATAGAAAAGCGCATCGTGAAGGATACGGTGCATACATTTGCCAGCCGAGTTACAAGAAAAACTGAGGTATGCAGCTACAACGACTATTATTACATTCCTCGTATCTAAGCAGAAATGACGCTAGTAGCTAACGAAGTAATATTACATTGTTCCAAGGAAAATGTTCCTTTCTTGCAACATTCCTCACCATAAAATTGTATTTTCTGCCAGTTTGCACCGCGTTGCGAATAGACAGAAATAGAAATCTTCTATTTCGGAAAAGTATCCCAAGTAATTTTGGTATTTATGCAAATGTTGAAATAAACTAACCGAATTTAAGAGACGTGAAATGTAAAATTCGAAAATATAAACGTCATTGGTTATCCTCTAGGCAGTTTTCAGAATTCATAAATGAGAGAGGCGTTTAAAATTCATTATAATCGTAACTTCTGTAAAATGTGTATATATATACGCGTATATATCGAATAATATCGTTAGCTAGCCGATGGATAGATCTGAAACGATCGTAACGGTTTTGTCAAT